GACTCCATTTGTCATCATGACTAACGTGTTAACTGTATTCATTACGAGTAGAACAATATTGTCACTGGTTTTCAACACGTTGACTCCGCTTCATCACTTTTCCTTCTCCGGACTACTTAATTTCCTCGTTCTTCAATTTTCTGTGTGTTGGTGGGTTAGGGTTTATATATAGTTGTGGCTAATATATTGTATTTATAAAAAAAAAATCTCCGATACAGTTTTACCGTCATTGCCTGTAGTTGGTGCTTTCGACTTTCGTAGTGTGGACTCTTGATGGACTTGAGTTGCGACTTGCGATAGCTTGAAATACCGTCATGTGAACATGACGATAACATATAGATCGATCTTATTCCGTAACTATGTGTATGAAAATACAGAGCCTTTGGCGGGTTCGTTTCTCTTCATTTTCCTCGTCGCTGTTCCCGATTTATGCTTTCACGAAAGTTTGGCAATTTGATTTGCATTTATTCAAAAGGGTCGGTTCAGGTCACAGATTTCAACTGTACATTGACGAAAACTTCTTCACGAATCAATTCTTTAATTTTATCCAGCTCGGGTTGCTTGTGAATTGCGCGTGAGGGATAATAGCACTTTTTGTTAAAAAGTATTCGATCGGTGGATCGAGAATGTGAAGGCACGGCAAGTTGGCAAGTAGCTAAGTGGGTTCATATGTTATTTGTTCATAAATAAATTGGCTAAATGATGATAAGGTCAAGCTCACGTTCAAGTTAGAACTTCAGAAGTCAGCTCGTTTCAAGCTAAGGGTCGTGGTTATTCATAGTTAATAATTACTTCCATTTTTTAACTCCTCTGTGCACATAGCTATCAAGGCAAGACGATGTCAAATATATTATTAATTAACTATGAAGCATACATTAATGATTTTTTGGTTGAGAAAACGACTACTATAAATTAAGCATAAATCGATGTTTTTGGTTTACAAAGTTACAATCAACCCGGTCTACTTACTTGGGTTTTCTGAGAATACAATAATAAAAGACAATTTGGTTGCTGTGGATACTGGATAGCATACATCCAGACCTTTTCTGACCATGATGATATAGTCTGCTTTGGTCTATTTTCGTATGATTTTTCTTTTGAGCACGTCAAAATGATTTCCTGCAGGGAGGTCACCGATATTTTCCACTGCTTCACAATGACACATTTAACTTCAGAATTCTGATAAGTATTCATTCATTTCATCTCAAAATGCATCTTGTCGGTTAAACGTGGATCGTTCCTCGTGAATCATGGATCTCTCCGTTCTTTATCGAAGTGAGATTTGCCTAAGAGGTTATATATATATTGAATTTTGTAAGCACAATCTTAGTTTTTACTCTTTTTTTGTGTGATAAAACTTTGTTTAAAAAGAGGTTTAGATTATTGCTGATTTTAATGTTGGAGTGACTTTAATCCGACTTTTCTAAGAAGTTTGTCTTTGTGCAAATAAGAGATTGGTTTACATTAGTTTTGAACCTAAAGTTTTCAGGTCCCAAACCCTTAAATAGCACCTCACAAAGAAAACATATATCATCCTTATAAAAATATTGTCATTGCTTTCTTTTTAAATTGAGTGACATTTTTTGGTTATATTTTTTTATACAAAATTCTGGAGTTTTCTTCTCCACCTTATGTGCTTAGCTTTTTTGTTTTCGTATATATCTCTAAAGGGGAGAGAGCACATATTAAAAAAGTCTTATCAATAAACAAAATGAGATAAGAACGATAGTCCACCAGAGATTGAACCATCGATAATAATGTTGTTTTTGTCACATTATGGACAGTTCTTTGATACATTTTCGACAAGTGTGACCAAAATCTATGAATGAACTTCAAACCTGTGCAGGGCAAAATTTGTGTGCTTAAGTCTTACTTGACAAATACATACAACTTATACATATCTATCTACTAATTAAGAAAAAAGGAAACCAAACCAAATGATTGAGAAAAGAATCTCCGAAATCACAAACCTAAAATTCGCGATAAAAAAACAGCAAAAAAAAAACTTAATATTCTGTTGAATCTATCTGATAAACGAATCCATGACCCAATTCTTATTCTGCAAACGACCTGGTAGAAGAATTTCGCGTATGTTGCATATATCTACTATGCAACATGTGGCCGTTGCCTATGTTGCAATTTTTATTTTTTTTCCTTTCCATTTCTTGCTTGCAGAATTTCGCGTTAACATCAGCCGTCACTTAGAATACATAACGTAGAAATAGCAACAAGTGTGATTAAGTTAGTGAAGTTCAATGGGAATATCGGTCAAATTGGCCGTTTTTAAGGTCATATAACCTTCTACTCTATGCACAGAATATTGCTGTTTCCAGGTCTGCGATTACCAAGCAAAACAAAAAATAACAAGACCTAAAACAATAATTAAAGACAAAAAAAGCAAAGGCAGGAGTTGAAAGCAAAGCAAAAGGGTTAATTATCCTTCATTCCTCTTCTTGTTGATCTTTCTTGGTTGGTCTGTAGATATCTAATCATTAGCTTTACTAACAAATAATATATAAACCAAAAATAAAAGACACATAAAAAACAATAATATTTCCCACCTTTTGATCAAACAACGGAAAGGCACATAATAATAATAATAATAATGAAACAAATTATTCTAAAAAAAATTATTTATATTCAGTTAACGTTAGCATAGCATACAACAAGAACAAGGTGTCATTATGATGATTATTTGTATGCTTATAGCTTTATTTCAGCTGTCAATAAAAGGTCATGATTTCGTTCGGGCCATACATTGTTCCTACCACAAGCAATTTCCTCCTCTTTTTCTCGTTCATGCCTAGCCAGAAAAGGGATTATCAATAATGATTATTTGTGTTACATATCAGTGGCGGATTCAGGAATTTTAAATAGTGGTGTCCTCTTAAAAAAAAATTAAATTAAATAATTATTAAATATGAAAATATTCAACTAGTAAAAGTTAGAATAAAAGTTCAAACATGTTTCGTATTATGAAAGAATGGTAAAATACATTCGGTGTATACACTACTCAACAAATCTCTAATGACATATCCTAATAGACAAGGGTAACCCGTAACTGGGTTTAATCGTTAGGTTTTGAAAATAATTGGGGATAAGAATAGCCTTTTTAGTGTTATATTTTGATCTAAAACATAACTACAAATGAGTAGTAGTATAATTGAAACTATATTTACTAATAGTAGCAGTGTTCCCAAGTTCAAATCACATAGACCCTGTCACTTAAATATTATTTGTACCCATATGCAGAATACTATAGGAGGTTGAATAATCATTTTCCATATTTTAAGGGTGTTCCACTATCACTAATTTTTTTTTTTTTTACCCATACACAAACTATTATCGAAGGTTGGATAATCGTTTTTCCAAATTTTAGGGGTGTTCCGGAACACCCCTAAACCTCCATGTATCCGCCTCTGTTACATATAGTATAATTATTGGGGAGTTTTATGGTAAGAAAATACTACTTGGACTTTGAGTTTACCAAAGTTTGGGGTTCAAGAGTACATTTTAAAAATCCTAATGAGTAAAATTCAGGTCATAACTCTCTAAATTCTACACTCTAAGATCGATATAATTAGAAACAACAATCGACGGTTCTTATTTGTCGAAATACATCCAACGTATTAGATGCATCATGTAACGGTTTATGATTTAGAGTTTAGATAATCAGAAACTATGGTTTGCTTGTTGAGAATTAGGGTATAGTATCATACCGCAAAATTCGGTTAATTCAAAGTTTTTAGCATTTTTTTTTAACCTAAAACTATGTGGCAGTCTAGATTTACTTGAGTATGACAAAAGTGGGCATCCGATATGGTTAATTACTACACTGTTCGTGTCAAAGTTGCACAGTATATATCAATAATCACATAGAATCAAAACAGGGGAAGCCTTTTTTACAATCTTTTTACCGGAACAGGGGGCAAAAGAAAGGCATCTTTTCAAAGAACTAGGGGCGATCTTTATGGTTTATCAGATGCCTAATTATGATCATTTGTTTTCTTAATCCAGCTTTATGTTAATTGTTAATTAAGGATGTTAATAATCAGTGGATGTCCTCGACAATGCTAAATTCCCCGTTTAGATAAAGGGAAGACAAGGACGCGCCATTTTTTGTGAGACAGACGGTCCTCCTAATTAACTCAGCAAACCCCAAAACCCATCATTACTTCATTAGTTACTCTACCTAATTACCATGAAGCATCAAAGTTAAGTTTTCAATCAGCTAGTGGGTCGACGTTGAAAGGCAACCAACCTAAAAGAATCACTCATATTATTGGTGACGAATGTTAATTACGGATGTTACGTCAGTCTTTTATAAGTCCTTCTCAAATAAAAATTGTTTCGATCTAGATCCTGTAATCCGGTGATTAGGAGTTCTGGTTGGGCTCCCTCGTTCGTTCTGTTGGGGGAGTGGAGGAACATATGGAGAATATGATAGTTTTAAGGCCGAACCGTCGATAAGGTATGGTTTCACAAACATTTAGTTGAGGTCGTCCTCCTTGAAGAGACACATTAGAATGGGTTGGGGCCTTAGGTAATGTGTCATAGCTGTGGACTCATACACATTGATGACTAATTGTATTAGTCGTATTAGGCATCTTAATACATATTAGCAGTGGACTCATACCCATGTGATATAAAGTCATGAACAGTTTGATTTGTTGGGAGATGTTTATTATATTCAACTAGTGTGGGCCTCGGCCAGTTGGCCGGAGGAAGGTAGGATGGCAATGGGTCGGGTTGGGTCGGGTTTTGCCAAATTCAAATCCAAATTCATGGGTTTATCCGTGAAAAAAATTCGGGGTAAAATCCACTGGGTTTGAAAAACTCAAACCCAACTCAACCCCCTGGGTATCTGCGGGTTCATGGGTACCCACAGGTTTTTGTCTTAAAAAATTTACAATAACAAGTTCCTATAAAAATTAAAGTCAAATATCAATCTCTCAATACAAATTATCCATATATAAAATACCATTCTAGAAAATTCAAGCAAATAACAAATTATCCATAAATAAAATGATTAATTGAAAGCTTCTTCCTTTCAATTAAGTTTCTTCACTCTCCACTCGATAACATCAACTTCATTCTACACAATTAGAAAGAAAAAATTAGACATGTCTCCACAAACATAAATAAGATAAGTTGTTTAGAATATTAAATATATCGAGAAAATTAATTATATGGGTGTGGGCGGGTACCCATGGGTCGGGCTTACCTAAACCCAAACCCAACCCGATGAATATTGAACAGGTTTAAACCCAAACCCGGCCCAAAACCCGTCAACACGGATTTTACCCGCGTTGACCAAGTTGGGTCGGGTGGGTACCCGTGGGTTCGGGTTTTGTTTCTATCCCTAGAGGAAGGTGAGGTATGAAATTTGATAATGTAATGGGGTGTATAACTTATTGTTGTATAGTTTTTTTGGGAAACACGTGATAAAAATAGGGAATTTTAGCAGGAAAGAGACATTAATGATGCAACAAATCAAAAATCGGCCTTATGAACCAAAATCAAGTACCTGTTACCTTGTGAAACAATATTGTTTCTGGTAATATGATGAGGTGGAGTAAGTTTTATAGAAACTGAATTCCAGAAAATCGAATAAAAAATCGCCTATCCCGTCGGTTTTCGGGAAATGAGCATCTCACAATCGTTGCTAGCTTTTACTCGGCCCGTTGGCCGATTAATTTGGTTTATAAAACTTTCATCTTTTCGTCATTGTGCTTCCTGGTTTTTTCAGGGTATGATAAAATCTAAGGAAATCAAGAACGAACAACACGATTTGGGATAGGAACCGTCGTTGTCGTATCCCTAGAAAATGGTGGTAAACAGGGACTCACCTGCCAAACTGGTTTGGATTGAGATTTTTATCGGGTATCAGGGAACCATGTGATTATAAATTAGACTTGATCAAAAGGGGCCAAAACTTGAAATGCAGCCTGTTTGACCGACCCATGCCAAATTCTAATTATTCTTTACTTTTAAACTTTTTATTTGAAAATAAAAAATAGTGAAAGAAAAGAGATGACTGCCATTTGCACATCACTTATTCGGGAATAAAACCATAGAAATTCAAAAGGAACTGAAAATGTTAGGATCGTTTTAATGTTTAAAATAACCAAATAGATCTTTCTGTTTAGTTTTTTACTAACAAATACCAAACGATTCCCTATAAAATACACTATGATTTGATCATTATGATATCAAATAATTATATAATATATATTTGAAATGATAAAAATTGGACTAATTGGGTTGGTCGAGGTTGAACCATTGAATAACTTTAAAATACATTATATTTTAGCCACTAAGATATAAAATAATAGCATAATATATTATGCCAGAGAAAATAGCTTGTTTTAGAATGTCAAACCAATGATGTTCATTTGTTTTACTTGATGGCCAAATCCCGTGTAGGTCAAACCAATTCACCTCTTTTATTTTATGTTTAGCGGTTAGCCCATTAGATACCATGCATTAGTTTATTGTTAAATTTTTTTATTTTTAGCAATAAAAAGAAGTATTGTTTTTGCCTCTTCATATATATTTTATCACCACGGAGAAATAAAAGGGCTTAATGAAAAAATTGACACTCTTGAACCCGTTTAAATCCGCACGTGTACGGTAAGTTGGCCCGTTCCACAGAGGAAAGAGGAAAAAATTGACACTCCCTATTCTATCATTCCTACAAACGCTCCTGGAGCAGGAAATTTGAAATGGGGGAAGGGTTTTTTCCTCTCTGCTATTATATCTTTTTAATTTAAAAAGATGCAACAAATGTACTTAGTGTGATTGGTTATGATCCTTACTTTTCCTTAAAATGGTCAAGGTTCGAATCCCACTACGTGTCTTTTTAATGAATTAAAAAAAGTAAGTGTGAAGACCAAAATGTTCTTCCTATTTTCACTCTCGTTGCAGGAAATTTGAAATGGGGCTTAATATCCATAAATTATTTTCACTACTAAAATTGTAAAATGATTCCTCAGATTCACCATAATATGAAGATCTTTCATGACTATACATAATAGCTCGACCAAACTTTTTCTACTTTTTTAAGTGATCAATTATGCAACAATATATATTCATCGCACAAATACACTACACATACAACAAAATTGGTTTAGAACTACTGAAATAGGTTGTTATTAATCAAGGTTAAATCGAATAATAAAACCACCCAAATTAGTTGAAGGAACTACAATCTCGAAGTGGAGGGCTAAGCTCTGCTAGCGAAGTAGCTCGACTCACTCGAAGAAGGGGTGAGCATTCGGTCGGTTCGGTTTTGACCGAACCGGAATTATGAATATCGGGTTCCCGAATTCTCTCAAACCTCAAACCAAATTCGTATCGAATTATAATTCGATTCGATCGATTTAAATCGAATTATAATTCGAATTATAATGAATATTGAGAAAATTATTCAAGAACTTTATGAAATTTTGTAATTTTATTAATTTTTATGATGCCATAACATAAACTAAATATTAAAAAATAAATAAAGGTTTAGGATGAAGATAGTAATTAGCAATATTGTCAGAACCGAACCGGAGCATGACCCAGTAATGCGAACGGCTCGCACTTTAGTGGTCCAACCGGCATTAGAACGTTTAAAAATCGTTAGAGAATCGGTACCTAATAAACATTATCAGTATAAATAGTGGACATTTCTTAATCAGAGCTCATCTCCTTCCTTCGAAATTGTGAAATGGAAATAAAGATTCAGTTTGAGAGCCCGACGTTTTTGGTTTATTTCAATTTTCAATTTTCAGCAATTTTTTTAATTAAATTTAACTGTTGAATGAAAAAAAAACGGACGAGCGGCTCGATCGGTTAACCGCCTCGGCCGCTCGTCAACCGCTACATAAAACCGGAGCGGCTTTTAGACTGTTCTGAGCCGATTTTGTTACCGGCCGGCGATTTTACCGGTCGTGCCCGAGCAACTCGGCTCGGCTTTAATAACACCGGTAATAAGTATAAATTTCGAACCAAAATAAAATATTAATCGACATATAAATACCCCTAGGCAGAAAAACTTGCTTAAAAATATTAATTATTAAAAATATAATACAAGGAAGAGAAAAACCACACCACCGGTCAGCAGTCACCACCATTAACGAAGATTTCTCAGAAGTGGGCTCCCCTTCTGCACGCCTATAAATATTGTACCCTTCTTTTCTCCGAATTCCTTTATTATCTCTCTAGTTCACACACACAAAAAGCACTACTCCGTTTTCTACGGTTCCCCTCTGCCATTTCTCACTTCACCAACGGCTCACCGGCGCTAGCAAGCTTTCCCCCCCTCCCCGGCGGACAACTATTAAATCTCTTCCCCCCCTTTCTCCCCACCGGCTCCAAAATGGTCGACGTCGACAGACGAATGACCGGCCTCAACCCGGCCCACATCGCCGGGCTCCGCCGCCTCTCCGCCCGCGCCGCGGCTTCCTCCACCGCCAACTCCGGCGTTCCCCTCCCCGTCCGCAACGGCCTCCTCTCCTTCACCTCCCTCGCCGATAAAGTCATCACCCACCTCCGGAGCTCCGGGATCCAGGTCCAGCCGGGTCTATCCGACCCGGAGTTCGCCCGCGCCGAGGCCGAGTTCGGCTTCTCTTTCCCTCCCGATCTCCGTGCCGTCCTCTCCGCCGGGCTCCCCGTCGGCCCTGGATTCCCTGATTGGCGCTCCCATGGAGCTCGCCTCCACCTCCGAGCCTCGCTCGACCTCCCCATCGCTGCCATCTCGTTCCAGATCGCGAGGAACGAGCTATGGTCCAGGTCGTGGGGGACCCGACCCGCCGACCCGGAGAAAGCGCTCCGGGTCGCGAGAAATGCGCTGAAGAGGGCGCCGCTCCTGATCCCGATTTTCAACCATTGCTACATCCCCTGCAACCCGTCGCTGGCTGGGAACCCGATCTTCTTCTTGGACGAGACCCGGATCTTCTGCTGCGGGCTGGATCTGTCCGATTTCTTCGACCGCGAATCCCTCTTTGCAGCCGGATTTGAGTCCGAATCCGACCCGATTCTCCTCACCAAGCAGAGATCTGTGAGCGAGAAGTCAGCCGGGTCCTCCTCCTCCTCCTCGTCCAATTTTTCCCGGCGGAGCCTGGACACGGGTCTCGCGAATAGAACGCCGAGATGGGTGGAGTTCTGGAGCGACGCGGCGGTGGACCGGCGGCGGAGGAACTCTGCATCTTCGTTCTCCTCGGACTCGTCTTCTTCGCCGGAGCGATTCTTCGAGATGCCGAGATCGGAGGCGGCGGCGCCGCGGTGGGTGGACGAGTACGTAGGCCGAATCGGGTCGGTGTTGAGGGAAGGCGGGTGGAGCGAGTCCGACGTGGAGGAAATCGTCCAGGTGTCCGGCTCCGGATTCTTCGAAGGGGAGATGGTGTTGCTAGACAACCAGGCCGTGCTGGACGCGCTGCTGGTGAAAGCGGATCGGTTCTCAGATTCGCTCCGGAAAGCAGGGTGGAGCTCCGAGGAAGTCTCCGACGCGCTGGGGTTCGATCGCCGACCGGAAAAGGAGAGGAGGAAGATGCCGGAGAAGAAACTGTCGCCGGAGCTCGTGGAGAAGATCGGGAAACTGGCCGAGTCGGTTTCCCGACCTTGAGCAGCCGGATCGAGGAGATGGAGATTCTTTTTATTTTTATTTTTTATTTTGAAAAAAGTAATCGGGGATTGGCTGGGTGGTTGATTTTTATTTACCCCACACTTTTTGGGTAGCGAAATGGAGAGAGGGATAGGGGGCAAGGTTATAAATACACGTGTAAAAACCTGAAAGGGGATATGTACTGTTGGGAACGGTGCCGTTTAGAAGGAGCGGCAAAATTAATACGAGGGTGCAAAACGAAATGATTATGTTCATAAATGTAACAATTAATCAATTACTTTATGTTTGGGCTTTAAGTTTTTAAGTTTTAACTAACTTGGGCCGTGCTTACAGCTAATGATTAGTGTACTAAAAGTAAGCAAACTTGGTGGACAGCTATATTTATATTTTATTTTGTTTGGAGTTGGATTAAATTTTGGTTTGTAGCCGTATTTGTAAAATCATAATTTCTGTGAAATGGTTGAATCAGAATTAAACTATAGTTTCAACACAAAACATTACAAGAGTGAATTCTTTCGATCAACGTGGTTTACCCTAATTGCTTTTGGGTTTACTATAATTATATTGTGGGGAGCTGAACTGGCTCAACTTTCAAAAAGGCAGAGAGTGGGTGCACGTGTGGCTTGAAAGAAAGAGAAAGTAGACGTTGTTGTTGTTTGGGAGAGCGGGTCCCGATTCTTGGTGGATGCGTTGATGTCGTCGGTTGAGGGGGGTGGTCGGAGGTGGCAATGTCGCCGGCGGCGGGGACCGGTGACCTGGCGGTGGTGGTTGAGTTTCGTATTACTGGGGAACCGGGTGGCAAATCTCGGGAAGGTGGGGGAATGGGATGTTGATTTTGAGGGGGGGTGTCGTTTAGCGGGCAGGAAAAGTGTCGTTTTGCTGTGGGTTGGGTTTTAGGATTTCGCTTTCATTTGTGTGTGTGGATGCATATAATTTTGTTTTTGGCGTTGTGGGTTGAGATCAGAATCAGATGGAAAAAGCCTTATGGGAAAAGGAAAGTGGAAGGAAGGAGAAGGCAGAATCCTGTTGAGATTGATTTCACGATGATGTAGGTTAAAGTGGAACCATGCGCGCCAGTTTTGCAGTTTGGGGAACGAGAAAAGGGAAAGGAGTGGCCTGGAAACTGGGACTGGGAAGGCGGAGATTCGGCCTATAGCTCTGCTACTTCTATTCTTTTGACAAGGTTTTTCAAAATGCCTTTTTTTTTTTTTGAAGCGAACTAACGGTAGAGGTTGTGTCGGAAAAGTTAGAATTATGGTGTTTTATAACGATACTTTTTACTTATATTCACATTTTGAGGCCGATCAAAACCGGTTTTGCCGGATTTTAGCTATTGAGTAATGCTTTGAAGTTCAAAATATCTTGTGTTAAGGTTGTTCACATACAAATTATTACTTTGAACGACCGTAAAACGTGCGACAACGTTCTAACAAGATGGACGTTACAACCCTAACTGAATTGCTGTAGTTTCATACTTGGATAAAACATAAAAGATGCTTAAGATAGTCGTAGGATGTACAGAAGAAGATTCTGCCTGCTATAATATATAGCTAGTCAAATAAACCCAAAATTGAGATCTGACAAGCAATCCCCACAATTAAATAATAGCAAGGGCAATGGAGTCAAAATGATGCATTAATAATTCAACGGCCACATTACCAGCAGAACAAGTAAAGATAAATACCACAAAGACAAGGCTAAGGCAGAAACTGCTGCCGGCAACCCAATGGAAATTTGGGCGTCGATATTTGCAATTACCGAATATCATACCAAATTAATCATTATTAAGTAATTTTAATATTTAAATTCTTTTTAGAGAAAATTGATTTTGAATGTGTGATATTCAATATTATGAAACTGAAATCGGTAAAAATATATACAGAAATTTACAATTAATTAAAGATAATTCTCGACTTCTCGTCATTGCTCACACTTTTACAGCTTACAAGCCTCGTCCTATTCAATCTTAACTTCCAAGTTTTCATTGATCACACTCTCATCTCTCTCTCTCTCAATCTCTTGTTATTTTCATAACACCAAAATGCATACATTCTAATTAGTCCTTTCCTAGCTTCCCTTCCATTGAATAAAAAATTACCAAAGGCAAGAACTTGACATATCATCATCTCATCCCTGATCTTTGTCCATATTAACATTAGACAAACTCAAGACTCTTTTGCAAAGTTAATAACCCCAAGTGGACACTTGTAATGAATCCAATCCATTCAATTGAGACTTTAATTGATTCAGTTCAATGATGCTTTTAGATTAGTTTTTATCAAATGTTTCTCACCTCAATTTCTCATCACTAAGGTCATTACTCATGAAATTGAATCTTCAAGCTTGCACCAAATTGTTTGAGCCTAACTGAGTGTAGAAGGGAGGCTCGGGAAAATGGGTCAAGGAAAGTAAGCAATGAGGAAATAATCGTTTCTGGAGAGATTCAGGGGATTACAAAGAGAGTTGAGAGAGATGTGTTCAAACCATTATTTATGTATATACTTAATTGTTAATTTTAAAGGTAACTAATTTGGTATTTTCGTATACCGTCCGTATTAAAATATTTTGTGATTGAAATACATAATTTATTTCAAAATTGAGATTGATTTTAGGACACTATTTGATATTCAAAATCCCGATATTTGATATCAAAATACCAATATCGCACCGATTTCCGCACAACCTGACAGTCACTTATTTCTATTCCTCCGAGCTATCTTCCTGCACATACGATGTCATAACTGGGCAGCCCATTAGTACGATATTGTCCGCTTTGGGCCGAGCCCGCACGGTTTTACTCTTGGGTGTCCTCCCCAAAAGGCCTCGTACTAATGAGCTTGGTGGACACTAATATACAAGGGTTCCTTCCCTTGTATTTCTGATGTGGTACTTGGATTGTCTCATAACAATCCTCCCCTCAAGCCAAGGACCACGAACATCGTGTCCTCACCTCAGCGATTATCTTGATTCGCCAGATGCCTTCTATCGATGGGCTTCTCGATACAAGGACTTTACCAGACGCAGAACTCTCTTTGATCTGCTTCCCAAATGCGGAACTCTCTTTGATCCGCCAAGCCCAAACATGGATCTCTGCTGGATCCACCAAACCAGATGCAGATCTCAAACCCCGAGGTCACCGAGCGAGGGTTCGCCGAATTGACGTCCACCGCCCCGGATCTGCCGAACCAGGCTCTGATACCACTTGTCATAACTGGGCAGCCCATTAGTACGATATTGTCCGCTTTGGGCCAAGCCCGCACGGATTTACTTTTGGGTGTCCTCCCCAAAAGGCCTCGTACTAATTGGATTAGGTAGACTCTAATATACAAGGGTCCCTTCCCTTGTATTACCGATGTGGTACTTGGATTGTCTCATAACATACGAATTTAATGACCACCTCATCTTCAACCGCCGCTACCCACTCCCCAACTGAAAACTGTCCGCCGCCGCCTGACGAGACTGACCGACGACTGCATGCCCTTATCCGGCGCCATCGCCATCACCACCGTCATGAATATATATGCATTCACGTGCCACCACTTCAAGTTGAAAGGCGCTGAAATTGGCCGGCCTCTCTGTTTCTTAGCGTGGGAGGGAGGGAAGGGAAGTATGGGCTTCTTCTTCTAACCTACTGCCTGTGTCTCCAGATCCATAGACAGAAACGACGGGTCCCTCAATTCGCATCTCCATAGCCACGAGCTCGAACACGACCCAAAAGTGGTTTTGGCCCCACCAATATTTTGGGGACCGTTTCTATCAAATGTTTGGCAAATAGTATTGGATATGTAAGATCCATTAATAGGTCACTATTGATTTTGATTTAAATCGGAATATCAGTCACTACAACTGGAAGTTACGGGGTCCTCTTTATTGTTTGGGTTCCTGATTTGTAACCGCTTTTCCTTTACTGGATTGAATTAGGATTAGACTTTGGAAAAGTACTATAAATACTTTTCATACTCCTCTGGAAAGTATAGTGAAACTGGCTCTCTCCTGCCCGTGGACTAGCTAACACTCGGTATGTTAATGAGTTACGTAAATCGTGTGTTGTGTTCGCGCTTTCGTTTTCTTGTATAGTCGAATCCCCCGATTTCCCGATCCGCAGAAAAACAGTCATCATGACAGTCACAAACTTAGGATTGTGGTCCTGGTGAAAAGATCGATAGAGAACAACATGAATTCGTGGGCTTTCAACCGGATGGTAGCTGGCAAGACAGGAGTGTAAAAACCTAAAAGGTGCAAATTAAAGAAGTGGTTTAAATTCTTACCTAGACGTCTTTTAACAATTCGAGCTATTGAAATTCGTTGGTTTATAACATAATATTATTAATGTCGGTTTATTCAAGAGATCACGACTCACAATATTAACCCTTGTTCTGGATCACATAATACGAAAATCCATTGTTGGCCATTGCATGAAAAAAAATTATTGTAATTAAATTATTACGTTTTGTTTGTCGTTAGCTAGCTAGTGTGGTGCAATCGGGAGGGTCGCTGGTGGTCGGCCGGTGGGGCTGACGTTGTCGTCGGAAGAGCGGCCATAGATTTGCAAGGGGAAGCGTTCTCGTTTTGTTTTGTCAATAGAACGGGAACACAGATGCATGATGGCTCTTTACGTATGTTCGTGGGCTCTTAATGATGGGACATGGCGTTTTGGAGTTTATAATTTTTCTCAGTAGATCTCTATGAAATTTTGGGAGCAAGTTCTTTCCCTATCAACTTCATTTTCCACCGTCCTTCGGACGACGACTAGTTTGTCGTAATTGTATTACAATTACATCAGAAGTAGATGTACAAAAAAAAAAGTTTCAAAAGTTTTATTGGATGGTTGTTTTGGTTTTCTGGATTTATTGAATTCGTAGATTTTGTAGAAAGTCATGCTTTTTTGTTGCTTTTTGTAATGTGGATTTTAGCTTTAGAGATTTCAAATCTCTAAAATCTATGGATATCAAATCTCTCATAATCATAGAGATTATATATCTTGATTCGTGAGATTTTTTCCTGTACTTTTTTCTTCCTTTTATTTATTTATTACATTAAATATATTTATCAACAAAGTTTTTAATATTTCTCGAACCAATCTAATTTCTTATTAAGGATAAACATGTTATTTAATATAAAATTGAAAATTTTATTTTCTTTTAATGTTAAAAATCACAGTTACCAAACAATAAATATTTTAAAATCTATTTTCAACAATCCGAAGAGTTTGAATTTTTAGATTGTTGACAATCTATAGATTTAAACTCATATTCTCCAAACGACCCCTAAATATTTTGATTTACTTTTCTGATTCGGGGCTTGATTAGGGGAAGATTAAACTAGATTTACATTTTCTTAGTTATCCTCCTTTACAAGCATATTGTAATGTCATAAATTAATAAAGAAGACAGAGGAATTAGAAAGAAAAAGACTTGTCCCCCTAAACTTAAGAAAAAAATTATATGTGTAAGCTGCAAAAGTGGATCTTTAAAATTATTAAAAGAGAAGTTTGGGCATGAGAATAATGATTAATGACTAATAAAAGAAATTATAAGTAATTCTAGAAGGTTGTAATTGTTCCGAACTAATGATACTAGCTTATAACCCGGCCCTTTGGCCGGAATGCTCATATTTGATTATTTGTATTTTTTTGTTACTTTTAAGTCTATTAACCCGTTTAATTTTATTGATAATTATTCGATCGAGATGATACATAAAGAAATAATATATAGGTCGAACATTCGGAGAAATATCATAATCATTTAAGAATATAAAATATAAAAATGTATCATTGAGCCCATTTTCATAATGCTAATTAAGTCCCTGTTAAAATGCTATTGGTTAGTTTTCTTTGACAATCAAGAAATATATAGTATAAAAGCTCACTGAAATTCTCACACAACCCATAGATAGTTTGAAACTAAATCTTAAACCTCACAATCCTATATAAAGGGTTCAATGCTCTCCTTTTAGAAACAATATGTCACTAATCAAAAAGAAATAGAGAGTTGTTGATTCAAGTCATCTATATACTAAAAACTCAGCTAAGAGGGGACCATCACAACTTGAGAGCAAACGAAAAAATCAGGGTTATCTCCAATATACGAATAGACTCGACCAAAGTAATAAGGCGCTAAATTAGACACTCATTATCTATTAGTTCCAGTAGGTTGAATAAAGAATTCAAACAATCAATCAATGATTCCTCGTTTTAAGATAGAAATAGGTTATGACAGTTGCAAAAACCATAAACCTAAAGATCCAATAGCCACCACTCTCCGTTGTACAACCAAATTTCTATCTCAAGAGGCATATATTCAACCAAAAATTCAATTTCTAATCTTTCTTCTACAACTTCAGTTATAGATGAACTCCATTCTATTCGCCATAAATTGATATCGGAGTTGAAATCTTCTACTCGCCCAGCTTAAAATCCCCAACAATAAAACCGTAGTGCCAAGAGATACCTGAAGATTGATCTTCAATAACAGTCTTGTACTGGGAAGTGAAAGGCGCAATCTATTGCACGATGGATGAAATTTCAGAGGAAGTTAGAAAGAGAAAAGAACAAAGATAAAAAAACACAAAATTTAAATTTAAATTGAAAAATGCGAGGATACAACAGTAGTTACATAATTAGTTTCTTCCATGTTGGCCAATTACCCATTTACCTTTAGCAAAAATTAAGGAGAGAGCGGGAATTTAAAATTGAGAAAATTACATGAAACTCTACTATGAAAATAGAAGTATCAAGCTCGATAAAAATACATACGGTAGACTTAGTGAGCTTGCTAATTATGATGAAAAAGTCCTCTGATTTTCAGAGATTAACTTTGTCTATTTTTTGTATAGAAAAGGATGCAATAAATTTGTTTAGTGTAACTGGTTGTGCTTGTTATCTTTGTTTGAAGAGACCCGAGTTCAAATCTTGATATTGCTATTTTTATATGAAATAAATAATAAATGTGTAAAGACAAAAAATGACCTTCCTACTTTCACTCTCATGAAAATATGTACGGGAATTCTATGGTACCGTCACTGCACGGGTGCCGGCAATTAGTCTGACCGGTTTGATTTAAAAGAATTGGTCCAAATTAGATCAGGTCATTAATAAAATAAAATAAATAAATTCCCTTTTTCCCATATTTCCAGAGACCCCACTCCTCCGTCGTCATTCAAAATTATCAATTAAAAACCCATCATCAATCTCGTCGGCCGGCGATCATAACCATTGCCTTTGCCGCTGCAATCTCGCCTCGCTCTTCTATGAAGGGGAAAAAAATCTAGATATGGACTCCTGCTTTTAGTCCAAATCTCCATCGGAATCACTGTTATTGTCGCTGCTAGGCCGTCCCCTAGTTCACCACCACAGAGTTGCTGCTGCCAGGCCAGCCGGAGAATTTGTCTGGCTAGCGGCTGCTTGGCGATCGAATACAGAGGGTGAGGTGATGAAAATGGGTATGAAGAAAATAATAGATTTATCTACTGTTTGCTAGTGTTCGACCTTTGATTGATGGTGATCGATCAATTGCAGATGATGATGAAATTACAGTTCCGACATTCAATACTACCATGTTTTCCCCGGCAGAACTCTTCCACAAAATCTGAAAGCTATTTTCAACTTGTTGTGTGCTCGGTAAAGAATATAAAAATTGAAAAATAAACAAATAATATAAAAGAAATTTTGGGATAAAAAATAAACCAAAATCATAGGTTCAACCGGTTTGAACCAGGTGCTGGTTAGAGATCAATGGTCATGATCGGATATCAAGTATCTGACGGCTACAAATGAGCCGGCATGGGTGCAGACAAGGTACCACAGAACTCGCCAAATATGTATCTTTAAAATTATTTCATTTTTGCAAACTATTTCTTTGATAACAAGAAAGGGAAAAATTTATCACATTTCTTGTACGTTCACAAAAAAATTATGATAAAACTGTAAAATCGTGTTATTATCTTCTCATATAACCCCAAATCTGTTCTTGGTTAACAGCTGGAAAGACATGATCCATTCTCTTTTTCTTCGTTTGGCTTCCGCCCACTGTTCATCCGCTTTCCACTTGTCGTTTGTTTGGATGAGACCAGATTCTTTATCTGCCCCTAACCCAACCCGGGAATGATACCTCTGCTCGACGAGGAGCGCCTGGGTGCATCGCCCGCAGCGTGTTCAATTGGAAAGTCTGGCAAAGGCGCTACACTACAGTAGAAGCTTTGGCAGTTTACCATGGCTTGATGTTATAGTTGTCATGCTAAAGCCGTTGATAGCTACTTCGCTTGACGAGCTAAGTAGAAATACTTTGTGGATTCTGTCAGAACAGAAGCGTGCAATCGATAATCTAAACCAATACAAACGAACACAAATTTAATGTGGTTCACTAACACAATGTGTGCTAGCTAATCCACCGGCAGAGGGAACAAATTTCACTGATTTGAGGAGAGTACAAGTTACAAACCAAATTCTAAACGGACAAACCAAACAAACTAACCTGACTGACCTTACTACAGACTAGGATGATGAAGAGTATTAATAGAACTCTTCTCCTAATCCCAAACAGAAACCAAACACCTTTTCCCAAACATACAAGGAAAAGGTCAAAACAAAACCCAATCCCAAACCGAAACAGAATAGGCCTCAAACACAAAACAAACCCAAATCAAATTCAAGTCATATTCTAGCAATCTCCACCTTGACTTGAATTCTCTCTCAAATACCAGATGTACCAGACGCAACCAAAGTTGCCAGATGTACCCAAACACGATCCATATCACCAAATTTACCCAGATGCGATCGAAATCGCCAGATATCCAAATGTGATCGAAATCACTAAACTCAAACTCGATGCAAATCGCCAAACTCAGACGCAATCAGAAAATGTAACTCCTCCAAATCAGCTGTACCAGAATCTCTCATGCCTCCAAATGCCCCTAAGGGCGGTCAACAACTCAAACCATTCGGCAAGTCCAATCCATATTGAGACTTGTCATTCAGAACCAACTTGGTGCACTTATCACCAGCAGAACATGTCAAAACAGAACCTTGTAGACCATACAAGGCACCACATTTGACACCTTTCAAAATCACCTTAGAACCCTTGTAGACAAACAACACTCCACCTTCACCTTTGAAACTGAATTCCTTGTTGTCGAGTAGACTCAAAGATATCAGATTCTTAGTCATCTCTGGAATATGTCTAACATTGTTCAAGGTGCGAATAGAACCATCATGTGTCCTCATCCTGACGGAGCCTCTTCCAACAATCTTACAGATAACACCATTGGCCATAGAAACATGTCCTCCATCTATCTTCTCATAAGTTGAAAAACACTCCTTGCTTGGACACATATGATAATCAGCTGCAGTATCTAAATACCACACATCTTGATGATGTACCTGTTCATTCACTGCTAAGGCTAAACCATCTTCAAAATCAGAGTTAGTTTCTTCCGCCACAACAACAGATGATTCCTTCTTCTCCTGATATTTCTTCAATTTAGGACAATCGAATTTCCAATGTCCTTTCTCCTTACAGTAATGACATATATCATCCTTCAAACCAGCAGAATTTGAATTTGTATTCGCCTTCCTATTACCAGATTGTTGTCTCCTACTACTCGTAGAAGCCAACCCAGATGCCTGATTTTCCGAACCTGAACCAGATGCCTTATGTCGAACCTCTCTTGTATGTAGAGCAGATCTGACATCTTCCAAAGACAAACTATCTTTCCCAGCAATAAAAGAATCCACAAAATTCTCATATGACTGTGGCAAAGATACTAACAGAATTAAGGCAGCATCCTCATCATCTATTTTAACATCAATATTCCGCAGATCTAACAAGATAGTATTGAGTTGATCTAGATGATTTCTGAGAGATGTACCTTCCTCCATATGCAAACTGAACAAACGTTGCTTCATATGCAACTTGTTGGTTAAAGACTTTGTCATGTATAGACTTTCAAGCTTCAACCACAAACCCGCAGCAGTCTTCTCAGTAGCAACCTCAGTGATGATATCATTAGCCAAACAAAGCAAGATTGTAGAGTGAGCTTTCTCCTCCAAAGTAATCCACTCTTCTTCATCTATACTTTCCTTCTTCGATTTTCCTGACAACGGAGCCCACAAACCCTGTTGTTTCAACAGTGCTTGCATCTTGATCTGCCACAAATTGAAATTGTTTCTTCCTGTAAACTTCTCAATCTTCATACTGATAGCAGCCATTCTTACTATCAAACAAACTCCAACCAAACTCCATAAAGCAAAACTTCAGTCTAGCGCCAAATTCCCAAAACCGCAACCAAATGCTCTGATACCACTTGTCAGAACAGAAGCGTGCAATCGATAATCTAAACCAATACAAACGAACACAAATTTAATGTGGTTCACTAACACAATGTGTGCTAGCTAATCCACGGGCAGAGGGAACAAATTTCACTGATTTGAGGAGAGTACAGGTTACAAACCAAATTCTAAACGGACAAACCAAACAAACTAACCTGACTGGCCTTACTACAGACTAGGGTGATGAAGAGTATTTATAGAACTCTTCTCCTAATCCCAAACAGAAACCAAACACCTTTTCCCAAACATACAAGGAAAAGGTCAAAACAAAACCCAAACAGAATAGGCCTCAAACACAAAACAAACCCAAATCAAATTCAAGTCATATTCTAGCAGATTCATCCACTTTAGACTCTTGCCTCAACCATTCCATTGCTTAGCTCTTGGGTCTTCCGGGTAGCTCAGCTAACAGTGGACTCTCCATGATTTTCCTCGGCATCTCGATTGCATTATTTGAGGAAGAAGGAGGGAAATTGGACAGCTTGACTCGATTTTGTCAATGGTACCATGTGTACCCCAAAACTCTGGTCTCCTCTCTCACTGCTCCTCGAAAATGCTTAGGCCTATTTCGTCCCCATTTTTGTCACTTTGTGTGGATGATTTCATTCCTGTACTTACATAAGCAAATACGTGCAGAATCAATCTCCCAGTCCCACCAACTTTTCCATGATGCGGTATCCGGAGTTTTGTTAAGTAAGTGCAGGACTTAAAAAGACATACCGACAATGGTCCAAGCACTACTGTTTAACAGTTCAACATGAACAGTTACTTTATCCAAATTTTACATGAACATGGAGTAAGGATTTGCAGAATTCCATCTCATATGTCGCGTTTCCATGGGGAGCATTTCGAAACCGAGTCCCTCGACATTTGGAGGAGAAGAAGAACATGGCGCGCAAAATAGGAACAGTAGTGTGCCTTACATCTTTCTAAGGGAAATGAAAAGGGATGTTTGTGATCATGGGTACTATGACGATTCACTCGAAACCTTTCTCTTGCAGCTCCTGAATGACTTCATTCCTCATCCTGATCCACAGCTTCCCGGCCTCCTGATCGAACTTCTTGCTCAGCAGGTCCTTCTGGTAATTGTACGAATCCTTGTCCGTCGTCTCCACCACGCCCTTGGGGCCGATGGTGGTGCCGATCATTCCGCCCTTGGCGACGAACTCTTCCATGGCTTCGGTGTCACCGGGGTAAGGAAACTCCCGGCGCTCGTACAGATGCGCCAGCTCCCTCTCTTCCTTGGGTCTCGGCTTCAGCGTCCACCAACCCAGCGGAGAGGTCTCGTTGTAGAGCCACGCCAGGCCGAAGATGGTGTAGGTGCAGGCCAGGGCCTTGCCTATCTGCTTCCAGAAGTGCCAGTCGTCTCTTCCGATCCCCACTCTGCTCAGGTACTTGTTGTAGTTCAGCGATTTCAGATACTCGATGCCTGCAGCGTTCATTTTGTACAAGCAAAAAAACACAGATACTCGGTCAGGCATTTCGTCGAACACTTGGAGGGCAGCTAAGCTGGTTTGTTCTGAATGGAAGGAGATATTGAGAGTTGAGCAGAGCCGTATATATGTTCTCTTTACCTGACTTGGCTTCTTGGTAATGCTTGCGCACCATTGGAGCGAGAAGGGATCGGATCGGAGTGGCTTTCTGCCGCCGTCAGCTCAGTGGTGGTCTCACCTGTGATCGCCGATCGGGTCACCGACTCTCAACGCTCAACTCTTCTTCCCTTCCACGGAAACTCTTTGAGCCAACTTAGCTCAAAATGTATCTGGGCCCGGATTTCTGAAATTTGACGAGTCACTCACTCTCATGCTCCCAAGGCCCAAGCCCAAGATTGGCAGCAAGAGCAAATGAGAGATATTTCAGCTATTTGTTTGCGCACGAAAATAAAAACAAATTCGAATACGGGAAGAAAGGTAGTTGGAAATTGGAATCCTCGTCTGTTTGATAGCTCTCGGAACTTCCGGCGGATACCACCACCACCACGTCCCCACGCCGGCGGATACCACCACCCCCGCTCCGACGGAGAAACTGAGCTATCATCGATCATCTCTCCGATAAATCCCACTCAGCCTCTCTCCCCCGTTTCGGTAAGCTCTGATCCCTTTTCTCCTCGTGCCATTTGCCTTCTTACGTAAGTGCGATTGATGCTCGCATGGCCTGCAGAAGTGATTGTGTTTGGTAGGGAGATTGGTAGTGAGCGTTTCTGTTTTCTTGCTCTCTAATTTCATCGCGTAATCTCGTCTCTGTTTGTAAGAATTGATGCTTCGATACTATCTCGCGGACTTTCCTGCTTCTTGTTTCATGCCGATTTTCCCGAATTAAAACTGGCCGGAAAAAAAAAAAACGCTCCGGCTAGATCTGTATCCCGATCACTAGACCCCGGTACGCAAAGGCAAACGTGCGATGATAGTATTTCTTGTGGCTGAAGTCTTCTGGAAGACTTTCCCCTTCCAATTTCTTTTTGCCTACAATTAATGTTCCCCCCTTTATTGCCCTTCTTTACCTAATTCGTTGTTTTATTAGTATCAGCTTGAATTCACTGTTTTCGTGATTATGGTGTAAAAGAATGGATCTTGGTGTCTTGAACCACAATGTTTTACCCAGAATTGTACGATCTTGTATGTATTTTTGGATGGGAGCTCAAGGTCTGCTAGAAGTTTCTGAGTTCTTGTAGCACAGTGACCGCTTTGTTTAGTGTGCTTGGCTCTGTGTGTTTTGGCAGCAGGGGTTATTTGTGTATATGGAAATGGTGATGGTTGTAGAGTTTTCCCCCCTGATTCAATGTTTACATGATTGTTCTCTTGTTATTATCTCAAAAAGGGAATGGAAAAGACGATCAGAATGCACAAGCCTTCAGCGTCTTTCGAGTACGAGCTTTTTGATGGAGACCCCGACCACCTGAGAACTGTTGTCGCTACACCTACCCAGATTGTGCCGTGGATCAATCCGTCCGAGTTGAAGTTCAAGCACAGGATTGGGCGAGGAACATTTGGTGATGTGTGGTTGGCAACGCACCATCAGTCTTCCGATGATTTTGACGAGCACCATGAAGTTGCTGTCAAGGTGCTGCACCCTCTAAAGGAAGACCTAGGGCAGAAGTTTGTGGAGAATGTTGAAGGCCTGTTCTTGAGAATGAGAGAACTCCAGGGGGTTTGTTGGTTGCATGGTATCTCAAAGATAAATGGCCAGGTGGGGTTCTCGCCCCAAGTCCATCACTTTTATTTCTAAGTTTATATGAGGATGGAAACAATCCATTTCTGGACAATGGCAACAATCCATCACTGAAAATACATAATCTAAATAACTTAATGTTATTGTTTTCTTCCAGTCTTGTGCTGATGATCTGATCAGGTTCTGATGTTGTTGTAGATTTGCATTGCAATGAAAATCTATGAGGAATCAATTGCTGACCAGATTGCTAGATCAAAAGGAGGCAAGCTCAAACTACCAGATGTCATGAGGTCACATATAAAATCTTCTGTACCATCACCAGGACCTTCAGTGTTCTTTGAGCGGATGTAACAATATGTCTTGTTGCCAAACTTTGCATGTTTTGCAGATATGGCATCGACTTGGCAAGAGGAATCCTACAGTTACACTCTCTTGGTTTGCTGCTACTGAATGTCAAACCTTCTAACTGCCTTCTCGATGAGCATGACCATTTGATCATTGGGGATTTTGGAATCCCTTACCTTCTTCTAGGAATACCATTGTTGAATTCAGATGTAGCCTTGAGGCTTGGATCTCCAAGTTACATGGCCCCAGAACAATGGGAACCAGAAGCAAGAGGTCCCTTGTGTCTCGAGACTGATTCTTGGGGTTTTGGATGTAGCATTTTGGAGATGGTGACTGGAATTCCACCTTGGTCCGGGAAATCATTGCAAGAGATTTATAAATCTATTGTGCTTAAGCAAGAGAGGCCATCAATACCAAATGGGTTGCCTCCTGCTGTGGAAAATGTTATATCCGGCTGTTTTGAGTATGATCCTCGGAACAGACCTTTAATGGATGACATCCTGGCTGCATTTGAAAGGTACTTCTATGTTTCAATTATTGCTTGATTACTTGCCTTCTTCGTTAAGAGTTTTACCCAAATTATTAGTGACAAAGATCACATGGATTGTCTAATTAGTTGTCAACTACAAGGAAGAAGAGATTAGAGTGGATCTTGGCAATGTGGGTTGGAATGCGGACAATTGTTGTGTTTGTTTAATTTGGGGTATGAGTTACTGCGTAATTACTTCTTTTCGTTGAGTTGGGGTTGCACTGTATTTACAGCTCGCAGGTTTCTGTTCAAGCCGATGAAGGATGGATTAGTCCACAGCGAAGTAGTAGATCATTCCAAGAAAAGTCACCTGTTGTTGGCTATACAACCTGGTATCTCTCAAAAGATTATCTCCAAGTAGATGACATTGTCCGTTCAAGAAAACCCCTGAATGCACAAAAGCCGCAGACCACACCTTTGCAGAAGGGAACAGTCGTCGGAACAAACTCCGATAGATCCGGACTCATTCTGGTGAAGATTTCCGGAGTTCACAACCCTGTGAAGATACAGGAGTCCACCCTCGAGAGGGTTACATATGGTCTTTCAGCTGGTGACTGGGTTCGCCTGAAGGCCGACAACAAGTGCAACCACTCTCGTGTCGGCATTCTCCATTCCGTCAAACGCAATGGACGTGCAGCAGTTGGATTCGCAGGCCGTGAAATCCTCTGGATGGGAGACGCTTCTAAGCTTGAAGTGGCTCAGCCTTACTATCTGGGCCAGTTCGTACGACTGAAAGCCGACGTATCTTCTCCTCGGTTCAGTTGGCCTCGCAAGGGAAGAACTGGTTGGGCCACTGGCCGAATTTCACGCGTGCTTCCTAACGGATGTCTCATGGTAAGCTTCCCAGGACGGTTTGTGTTCAGAGATAACAATTCAGAATTCTACTTGGCAGATCCAGAACAGGTGGAGCTCGTCACCTTCGGAACATGTCCTGGGATCGTCGAGAAATACCAGCACGTCGAGGATTTCCATTGGGCGGTCAGACCGTTAGCTGTTGCACTGGGCGCGTTCACTGCATTGAAGCTTGGGATGTCTGTCGGGCGAGCTGTGAGCTGCAAACTGGGGAAGGGATCCAAGTCGGATGAGAACAAGATTGGTGGAAACACGGCTTGGCTCCCGCAACCTGTTGCCAACATAATAAAAGAGATGCACTCTTGACCAAACAGGTTCGACTCCTGTTTCCTGAATGCAAGCAAATGGCAAAACCGTAAACAAAGCTTCTAAGTGTACATGGTATCGCTGTCTCTGTAATTCCCTCCTCCTGTGTAGGTTTTTTGTAATTCAAGAACGTTTCAGATTCGTTCCTTTCTGGTGTTCCAGTTTACTGTTTCTTTTTGCAGTCTTGTTCCAAGTTATAAAATGATGCAGATATCTGTCTGTAGCAGACGAAGCACGAAAACCTTTTATTTTCCTTCTTCGTTCAATATATTACATCATTAAGCTGATACTGAAAGTCTGCAACTATGTATATTCACCCATTTCTTTCTGAATCCTATAGCTATGCAGCAGGCATTACTTGCTGCTCAAGTTTGCTGACAAAAGCTGTACAAATTCCTCATCAACTACCACCAAAATCTTTCATACTGCCTGGAAGACTTCTTTCTCGTCCTTCTCTGCCGCCTTTGGAGAAGACCTCAGCACCTTGACCCGAAACATGGTCTGTACCAGAGAAAAACTCTGAATCTTGACCAAGATCCAATCCCATAATCAATCACAGAGAAAGAGATAGAGCATACCTTCTTATCAGAACCAAACTCGATGGAATCCGAGGGATGGAACCGGGTTGGGAAGTTTGGAGGTATCCTGTGCCGTCTTCCTTCGTTACTGCATTATCATGGACTCCGGACTTAATGAAGAATTACGGTATATACAGTAGAGTATGAGCCAAGACTTTCAGAAACTTACTCAGTGACGAAGGTTCCATGTTCGCTCCTGAGATCTGACAAGTAGAAGTAGCCATTTTTGTAGCTAATCTGTGCATGCTTTGTGGAGACCTAAAGATCGGGAAAGGGGAAGGGGTTGCAGTTAGCATTATACCTTCCATTTCTGCCACAATCGGACAGAGTGTGGTTAATAGCATTCAACTGATTACCTGAGGAGATCGTATGACTACAGATACTCCAGGGGAATCTTCCTGCGACGTGCTCCCGAAAATGAGGGGTTGTTCCTTGTCCCGAGGAATGTGAATAGGTTCTGAAGAAGCTGCCTCATGTCCAGATGGGAGAAGAAACCACCTTCAAAACATGGATAAAAATGGAAGTAAGAAAAAGATTAGCATGAATTGGGCAGTTCAGAGAACATGTTGAAGACGAGGAAGAGCAAAGGGGTCGTACTCTCCATCAAGAGCACGCTCTAGGGCGTCATCATCGTCGAACCATCTGCTCAACTGATCACTAGCCTGTGATCAACAATCCCATTTGAGAAGTTTTCATAATCCATGAAATTCAACATGACAAACAACAAATCACAGAACGCAGAAAAACAATCGAGAGAGCGAGACATACTCTGTCCGACAGTCTGCACGACGCCGACCTCCCTTCCAGCTTTGAACTGCAGAATGAAAAGTTCAGTCACACATATATCCTTATGTTTGACTAGGGAAACTATATGAAACAGAAAACAGGGAAGGAGTTCAGGAGCCTACCTATTACCACCTAGGATCCAACTCAGCATTGAAGGCATTGCCAAGCTTACGAAGAATCTCCCGCCAACTCTTCCAGGATGCGGTATCCGGAACTTTGTCAAGAACTGCAAAATCAATTCAGAAACACAAACATTATGGATCAGTATAAAAACTCTCAGCTGTTGTTTGTTGGATTCTTCTCTCTTTATTGAACACAAAAACGACATACCGACAATGGTCCAAGCCCTACACCCAAGTAAGGTCTGTAGGTAGTAGCCATTATTGCAGCCATTCTAGCCATTCCATGGATGATTGCTACTCGTAATCTCCTAGCCTTCTCGTAGCTGCGAAGATAACAATATCAATGATGAGGAATCTAAGTAGCTGAGCCATAAGAATTAAGCGAGAATATGATCTCGATTCACCTCTTCAAAGAAGAAAATACATCCACTGGCTTTCCTGATTCGATGCTTTGGTCGTACGCGTTGACAAGATCCACTGCCAGTTGATAACCATCCTGTCATTGCAGACAACGGATTTAGCTCACGAGATCATTTTACATGGATTAAGTTCAATCTACATAGATCTCGCTATCTCAAATTCGAAAAGATAACCCAGGTTTCACCTCAATAGCCATGCACCCTCCTTGACCCAAGTTAGGCTGCATAGCATGAATGGAATCCCCGAGCAATGTCACCCGGCCCTTCCCCCAGTTAAGAGTAGGAGTCCTGTCAAATATGTCGCGTCTGAGAATGGCTTCTTCATCCGTGGCATGGAGCACATCGATCACATTGTCACACCATCCTTCAAACAACTGCAGCAACCTCTCCTTTTTACCTGTGATGATTCGAGTTCACGATTTCAATCTGTTTCCGATTACGCAGAACAAAAATACACTGCAGCCAGAAGCATCAAGAAGAGAAGGGGGAGTTAGTTTTATACCACCAGGCTTGTCTGTTCCCCCAGCTGACTCATTGTAGAACGCATACCACTGCATCTTACCAGCTCCCACGTCCGAAGAGACGAAGTATTGCTTGTGACCCAAGAACACTCGATACCCAACAGAATCAATGTCGACCGGAACGAAATCTGCTATGCCTGTGTAGCAAGTGTAGCCCGAGTACGTCACGTCCTTGGGTCCGAATAACTTAGTTCGCACCTAAACACGACGAGAAGACAAGATGATCAAGCACAAACTTATATCTATCACCATCAAACATCAAAATTTGAGAAATCTATAGGTGTTTTGAACCTTTGACCGTATTCCATCAGCACCAACCAACAGATCGCCTTCGTACTGCTGTCCATTGTCCAGTGTCACAGTGACCTGAAGTCACAAAGTTGTTTTTATCAATTAGTGAAAACACAAACTTGCAAAAGGTTCTCCAAATCAATGAAACAAACACCATAACGACATATGATGTTCATTACTTTTTCTCCATCGTCCTCGAAATCGACGACATTGCTACCATTCTGGATAATCTCTTCACCCACTGCATAAGCGAGGATTCTCTGCAGAGTCATTCGGCTTATAACTCGAGTGACCGGAAGTCCACGCTCTACAGCAGGAGTGAATGTATCAAACTTCACGTACCTGATATAAACCAACTACTTCTCTTCAATTTCACTGACCTCAAAACAACCCCACACAACAACAACATCAATCACAGTAACTAAATTAACTGAAAAGAAGCAAACCCAACAGCAAAAATTGGCAAACTAAATCAAAAGTACCAAACTTTTTTGGTCATACCCTTTTCCTCAACAACTTCAGCCTTTTCATATCAGCCACAAAGATGCAAACTTTGAAGGGAAAACAGGACCACAGAGATATTGTAAGAAAACCCAGAATCAGAGGAAACTAACCAGGTGCCAGAAATCCCATCAACAAGCCCATTAATTCTATCCCCAGTAACACAACCAGCTCTCATAACCTCATCCGCGACATCCAAATCGATCGCCTCGAGCGCCGCCAGAGCATTGCTCTGTATCTGAATCGGCCCTCTGTACTGCCCTTCCCCTCTAATAGCGCTCAAATCTCTCTCGAACACAATTACCTCAAACCCTTTCTTCTTCGCCGCCAGAGCAAACACCAGCCCACCAATCCCACCGCCGGCGACCAGAACTTTGAGCTTCTTCTTGTTTTGCTCACTCGGTTGGGTCGCCGGCGGGGCTTCTGCCGCCGCTACAGCTTTGACAACCGGTTGACTACCCGATTTATGCCTTCTCCTGCCACTTCTTCTCCTGCTCCGGAAGTGGTGTTCACAGCAGGAGAACTCGAGAGGGAGAACAGGGAAATGGGTTCGCGAGGAACCCGCCATGGATGATGGAGTAATCGAGCTGCAGGACAAGGTTAGAGAAGCCATGTTTTTTTGTGTGTGAAGTTGGAATTGAGGAAAGGTGCAGAGACCTTATTCTCAAGTGGGTAGTTTAGAGGAAGAAAACTGGACGGAAGTGTGGAGGAAATGGGGAAGGAAGACAAGGTGGCGTTTTTTATGGAGTGGAGGAGAGGGGAAATGGGGAAGGAAAAGATTTTTTTGGAAGAGAAATAGATTGGGGGAAATCAAATGGGAGAAGAGGGGTCAATCCTAGTGGGCGAAGGAAATGAATTCTGGTACACAAATCTGCGCAGATCAGAAGCCATGTGGCACTCTCACACCGCAGAAATCTCCATGACAATGACACCTAGATTATTATTATTTTTAAAGAAAATCTGAATGCTTTTATTTAAGATGGCAAATTACCATTACAGTCCTGCAAGAGAGTTTGGATAATGAATATGGGAGGTCTATCCACCCACATTTCTGTTTCTTCCCATCTGCATTTTCGCCCTAGTCATCTCGTGTGCTGCTCCTTTCCCGTTTGCCTTTGTGGTACAACTTAAAATTGAGCATTTACGTTATGGTACAATTTCAGATTGTACCTATACTTTTGTACAAATTTTTTTATGGTACAACTTAAACTTGTACATTTATGTGATGGTACAACTTCAAGTTGTAAAGTTGTACCATAACATAATGATACAAATTACTTTATGATACAACCTAAACTTATACATTTAATGTTATGGTACAACTTTAAGTTGTACATTAAAGCACAAATACTATATAGCATAGTAGAAGTGCTCTTGCAGTTATACATATTTGAGTAATGCTTACTCAAATTAATGTAATTTTAACTTCTTGTAAAAATAGCATTATAAGCCTCACATAGCTGCCTACCATTGAGTGAGAGCTTCTATCATTGAATTAAGTACAACTTCATTGTAAAAAAACTTAGGGTAAATGTCAAGTTTGGTCACTAGGTTTATTAAAATGCGTCATGTTTAGTCACTGAAAAAAATCAATGTCAATTTTGATCACTCGAATTAGTAAAACGGTCCACATTTAGTCACTCTCCGTTAACTTTATTTGATGTGACAGTCAACCCTAACAGTTGACCATTAAATGTCTGACGTGACAATTAAAAAATTAATAAAAAAATAAATTTAATTCTTTTATCATTTACACATCACAAATATCTAAAATACTCCTGATAATTTTGATTTAACATTTTTTTGGGTTTTTTTGTACAACCCAATTCCCCTAATCATTTCAATTTCACGAGACTTAGAGAAATAAATGGAGGGGCAAAAATGACATTTCCCCTCTCATTTTGTTGGGTTCAGGTCGTTCGAGCCATGATCCGAACGTGGTTGATGATTTTTGGATGAAAATTTAACAGACACATATGTGTGATAATTTTTCTAAAGTATAGAAGTATGTTTAATATATAAAAAAGGACATGTTTGATAAAAATGAATAGTAAAAAAATATATTATATCTATAACTATAACCCTTGAAAATTACACTACAAGCGTATGACATCATCTTTTGTATCATCATGGTATTAAAAAAATGCATCTTTATTTTTTCCCAATATATATTAAAGTCGATATTATTTTGTATAATATAATTAATATGAAACTTTGTAAACCATATGGAATCTACAGTAAAAGAAACTCTATTTAATTTTTATTAAATTTCACTAAGAGCCATATATGTACATCTTTGCTCCTTCATTCCTGGCTTGGGTTGGGGGTATAATTGTTCTTCTCTTCCCCCGCGTTTCGTGGAAAGGATTCAAGACTTTTCCACTGGTGGTTATTAACCCACCACCACCACCAGAGAAACAATTATTGAACGCAACACAAACAACTTGTGGACCAAAAGAACCAAAAACGAAAGGGAGCAAAAACAACCCCTCAAACCTTGATCTTGACTTCAAAAGATCTGGCAGTAGGTAAAACTTAAAATATCTAATGGACAGGTTTTGGTTAATTGGAAATGTGGGGGAGTTGAATATAGTTCTTGCAATTCATTGTGGGTTTGGAAGAGTATGCTAGAAGAGGAAAGGGAAACACGAATTGAGTTAAATGAATCTGAGTTCATGATTTGCTTCGAGATGATGAGCTAGGTCTAGATAGAAGATCAGTGTGCTTCTGATCGGTCTTGCATCTGCCAAGAGAAAGGGTGAAGTGTAAGAAGTTCCTCACGTGTTGTTGTCCCAAAATATCGTAATACGATGATCAAGTTAGTTGTTGAAATTTCAAAAAGATAACATTAGGAGATTGATAAAAGTTTTATCTATTGCTAAAGAAAAAAAATGGAATCTTTATATGAGAGTACGTACTATATAAGGATCGAGTTTTTTGGTAGCTAGCTAGTCGTTACGCCTCGACAATAATGGCTAGTACGCAGGCTGATAGTGGTAGAGTTACATGTAATTTAGGAGGGGCCGCAACTCCAATCCTCCTCAGTTTTCTATTTAAGTTTATATTATGTGTATCTTAGAAAACTGTATAAAGCCATAGGATTTGTAATTAACCACTTTCCATATTTAACTATGTAGTTAATTACATGTTCAATCCTTGGAGTTAGGGTTGCTCGGCTTCGATATATGTCTGTTGAATAGCCGATATGTGTAAGGGCTTACAGGTTACTCATTGCTTGTGAATAAGATCGACTCTGAAAGGCCCTCTCTATGTGTGGACTAGTACTATTAACATATAACGCACCGCATAAGTCACGTGTTTGTATTTCAGTTTTCGTTAAAATTCAAATTTATCGATCGTGGGATGTTGTTGTGGTTTGTTATATTCAGCTGCTTGATCTGAAGTAGCTCTGCCTCTGCCTAACATGCATGAGAAATATGGAGTGAGAAAGAGTGCCTAATTAAGAAGGAGAAAAGGATGAATCCAATCAACTAGCTAGTGGAAACAACATCGTCCACATCTTCCCTTCCAACCCTCACGATTCGTTCCATAGCTAGCTGTTCCTTTGTTTTTATCTCCTTCTATTCTTCTTCAGCTCTCACAATAACAAGCGGTTGTGAAAGCTACCAGGAATGTTGTGATACAGTTTTCAGATGCATAAGACATCGAGTTGATAACTACATACACTGTCGACTTTCAGAATAGAGAACAAAATAAACAAAAAAAAAATTAGGGCGTTCGTTTTTTCTTGCGTCGACAAGGACATAACACATTCATACTAGCTACTAACGGCACAGTCGACGTGAATATTGGATAAGAAAAGCGGTCAGGATGTGGGTGTGCACGTGGGTGGTTAATTCAAGTTTGATATCAATTCACTCGCAAATAATTCGAACCGTAGTTGATAGGTAATTAATGTGGGTGGATTGTAGATCGATAAATCTGCTAATCACATTTATTTGGGACTTCCGGTGGGTTGAGGGTCATCCGCATGACCAGCGGTACTCCATTTTCAAAATGAAAAAAGTTGGTTTCTTGTTGACTATCAAATAATCATCATATTTCAATAACAACACTACGCACTGATTGTCGACTTCTAAATGGAAAATAAAGATTATTTTTGGACCACTACTATTGATTACTATGTTGTGTAATGTCCATTAGGTGTTGAGATGATGATTATAAACTATTTAATTGTATCAAAATCGCAGATAGCGTTGACAAAGTACGGTAAATTTGGATAAAAAAAACTAGAAGTATCCATGAGAGACAAAGTGAGAGGCGTCTAAATTGTTACAATCTAGCTAATTTCGTTTAAACAATTTATTACAAATGCTAGTCAATTTACTTAATGATTAGTAAAAAACTTGCTTTAGTAGGTTAACCCACTACCCAACTACACTTACTCTTCGTTAGAAATGACAATGGGACGAATTTCTCTAAACCATCATCATCCCCATTAATAACAAAACCCCCACTCGTTGCATACCCATGCGGGGAAATATTTGCAACCCCACTCTCATACCCATAAAAGTGTAATACTTGAGTAAGCCTGGCTTTAGAGAGAACGGCAACCGCAGTAAGTCCATTAGTTTTGTTGGGCTATTGACGATTGAGAGTTAAACATGAGCAGGCCCATATATTAAGGCTTCGACATGTGGATGTGGTGTGAAGCCTACTATGATAAGGATTAATAATCGCTCCACTAATACTGAAAATCGATTTTCTAAAAAAAAAAATTACTGAAAATCGATTGAAGAGTATCTGTATCTCTAGCAATTTCATGCAGGATAATATATTTTTTCTTATCGGACTTAAAAAAAAAAAATATAAAAACATAAAAATGAGGAACGTTCATTATATATCGTCTTCCAAATACACATTCATATCGAACATTTCCTTTTCTTGCTGAGGCATATGAGTAAAATTCCATAGGAAAAGTTTCTTCATTTCTCCTCCTACTCAACTATCATGAATTGACCACTTATAATCCAAGGGCGTGCTCTATGTCGTTCTTACTCTTCTCAAAATAACTTTTCGAAAAGTAGCATAATAGCACCTCATGCTGCAACTTTCATCAAAGTGTTCACATCGAACCAATGCAGCTCATACTTTTCTAAACATATCTTAGGACATTGATTTGATTCACTCTAATACCACAAACATACCACTCGAGAATAACAAGTTTGCAGCAGGATCCAGTGCCTTGAGAAAAAATTAGTAGCTCTATACAAGATCTTCAACCTCCTGTAAATCGAGTTCGCTTGTCATTTCTCAGTCTTAATCAGTAGGAAAGTTTTTGTACTATGGCTTGCAATTTTTCCAAACGGAAAAAACACATCTTTGTATTCCATTTTCATATCCAACATCAAATAAGTTGAATCCCAACGAGTTTCACAATTATGAGTCGTCTTCTTACCATAGAGTATACACACTTGGCGACCTGTCTTCTCAAACTTTTCGTACCTTTTTTTGTGTGGTCAACCATAAGTGTCAATTATTTTGTATCATTTTCAATTGCAAGTTCAATTATTTTAACCGTTCCCTTTTTACACTCAGGTTGAGGATGTGTGCATAACAACAATGTGGATACTTTTCCGAGCAAAAAAAGAGTGTTGGAATTTGGAAATTTCTTCAAAAAAATGAAGTTATTCATCTTCACACAAATGCATATCCACAGATCTAATGGTGAATTTTGCTCAATTCACTCGTTTTGAATCCGATCCAATCCACTAGTTTTGATATAATGGATGATGATTAATGGACGACTTAATCGCCTCTCGGATACTCATTTTCTCGAGCTAGCTACTAGTAACATGACTACCCATTAGCTGACAAATCAAAAGCAAAAACCCTTTTGATCCATTAGTTTTGCTCCCTCTAGAACGTGTGTTTGATTCCATATCATTACTTGTAAATTGTAATGTAATGTAATGTAATGATCGTCGAATCTATGAGAATGTCTTCTACAATTGATGGTCTTATGTTATCTAATATCTACAATTAACAACAACTTAATTAGTCAAGTATTAGACACAAAGATGGAAAATGGGAATGGAAATCGTTTTAGTATTTTATTTATCACCGGCGCCCATGCATGCGGGCGAATGGGGCGGAGGATATATCACATGGAGGAAGAACGTGGTATGTTGAGATATTGAGATGAGGAGGAGAAGCCCCTCTAGCTTGGAACTTGGAACTAAAATCCAGAGATTATTATTATATAATGCATAATACCCTAATGTGAATGCAATCATAATATTCGTAAAGAAGAGAATTAAATATATGTTGGAGTTGTTCACCGTACATTCCAAAATTAACTTTTATTACGGTGGTTCTCGCTATATAAATCATGAATTAATCGGTGAGTTTGAGACACGATACTATGTACTAACTTTTAACCAAATGAATTATGATTATGCTACTTATATATTTTTTTTAACACTTGAATCCTTATTAGGGTTGTCAATCATTAAGTATACTAAATCAAAAATCAAACAGGAAAATTTTCAAAAACCAAAATTGAAATCGTTAAGTGCCTTACCAGTAATTTATTAGCAGAAATTGATAAGTCTCTTAACGATTTTGTTTTGGTTTGATTTGGTTTGGATAAATTAATAAACCAAATCCATAGTTTGGGAAGTCGACAAATGGAGTGAGAAAAAAGATAGCAATAAGCATAAAAATAGGAAATAAGTGTAGTTTACATGAGTTGATGATAACGCGTATTATTGATGAGTAATAACTTAATAGAGTATCATCGGTTTCTTATTAATTTGAATGATTTTAAAACCAAAAAACGACTCATTAAACTTCTTATTGATTTGATTCGGGTTAAAATAAAACAAATAAAAGCGAACTAACAAACATACTCCTCATCATGCATGTTATTCTTGATACTATATATATCAACTTCAATCCTAATTCACAATCATCATCTCATCACCAGATTGATGCCATCTTTCACGTTTGTTTTTCTCCAAGAGATCATGCTTAATTAGAGATATAGCAGAGAACAAAGCTTCAGAGGAAAGGTTGTCACCATTCCCAAAAAGAGATCCAAAATGTTGTTAATTTAATTAATCACATCGTTAATCGTTTTCGCCAACTCTGCAGTTTCGTTTTAATAAACACACGCCTCAACCACTTAGATTAATGTTGCTCGTCGCTTGTTCATTGATCGTCAAAGTTTCTTCCGAATATGTTAATGCTGGAATTGTTGTATATATTTAAAAACAAATGTGATATCGTAGATGGTTTCCAAAGCTAACTCAGTTAAACAACGGCTGCAAAATTATAAGATTTTGAATAGGCAACTAGGTATGGTGAAATCTCAAGTTGTGCAAGCTAATTTATCTTAGATGCATGTTGTTCATCGCTTCTTATGTCCATTCGTCAAAAGTTTCTTCAGATGTGTTAATGGTGGAACCGTTTTATATTTAGTATACAAGTGACATCGTACGTGATTTTTAAAACTACCCAAACTAATAACAATCGCGTACTTTATTAAGTATGGATAAATCTCAATCATGGTAACTAATGACGAGGTTGGGGAGAATCTTAAACCAAATGAAGTGATTCCAAAAGGTAAAAGGTTTTCAATGTGGGGAAGAAAGAAATTACGAAAACAACAAAAGGAGAGAGATTTAGATTTTAGACCAATCAAACCAGCCACCGATGCAGCTTTTGTCCTTTACGAATCCACCCAATGGGAAACTCGACCGAACCCGGCAACCAAAACGTACAGCACAGAGAGACCAGCAGCTGCAGCCTGCAGCTATGGCTACTAGCTCACTCAATATAAAACACCGATCTTGTCTCCACTAAACCCATAAATCTAGTAATATTCCACCACTCTTCCTCCTAAAAGCAGCACAATCCAAGCTCAGAATCCATGGATTCATAACAGCCAGCAAACCCAGATAGCAACTTTTTGACAAAAGGGGAAACCATGAGGAAGCACAAGAATCTGGCTTCTTCTCAGAGCCTAGGCGCATTCCCCATCCCCGGCCAGGCGGCGGCGAGAAGTTTTTACCAGGACAGCAGCAACAAAGGGTGGTTCTCGGAGCGGGTGCCGCATCCGTCCTCCTCGTCGGCGGCGGCCGCACGCCAGCGGGGGATTACTGGGCTGACCCCGTTTTACAGCGGGAGGGCGGTGCCGTCCAAATGGGAGGACGCCGAGCGGTGGGTATGCAGCCCGGTGATGGGTCACGGCGCCGGGAGCGAGTCTCATCATCAGCAGTCTCAGGCTCAGTTTCAGAAGCGACCCAAGTCGAAGAGTGGGCCAATCGTGGCCCCTGGCGTGGTGCATTACTCCAACTGTTCACCTGCACTCCAGGTGCTCGACGCTGGGTCTCTGAGAAATTTCGTGGTCAATTCGCCCTTTTCCACTGGGGTCTTGATGCCTAATGGTGTCGGCTTGCATTATGGGGCTGGTGGGGGAAGGAATCATGGTGTTGGTGTCGGTGGTGGTGGTGGGAGAGGCGATGTCTCGAGGTCGGTTAGTGTCCCTGTCTGGTCAGATTTGGTTAGTGATTCTTCACTGCCTAGCTCCCCAGGAGGTAAACTGCCCCCTCTTCCTTCTCCTTTTTTTTTCTTTAGCCACAATGATGTAATTTGAGATGTGGAACATGGAATGGATCATAATAACGAGCTCGAGTAAAAAGCTGCAGTCTTTTTCCGTTGTTAGGTGTTGTATGTCATAATCTGTTGAACTTAGATGTTGCCTTCCAAGATCAGTCTATACATATAGTTGATGCCCACAAGAGAGCTGTTTATGAGTTTTATCTGGAGTAATTTGTGTTTCGGTTCGTCTACATTATCCTAGGGTTTTATCTCTGACGGTTAAAGTGGCAGTATATTTCGTTGACACAGATGAGAGAGTAGAAGAGGATATGATCAATGAAGAAAATACTGTTAGTCGTGTTGTTTCAAGAAGGGATATGGCAACCCAAATGAGTCCAGATAGCAAAAGCAACCACTCATCTCCAAGGAGGTCTTCTCCACTAGCTATTTTAGATTCAGGGAGTAGAGAGCATCCTTCTAAAATGGAGATCAGGGAAGTGCAGGTTGATAAGAAGGCTACCGTAACAAGTTGGTCCACGAAGCGTTCTTCTGCTTCTACAGTCCAGAAAAGATTGCCACCTCCCGCGGAATTCCATCACAATGCCATGGCTCTTACTAACAGTTGTTCTTGGGATATCACTGAGGCAGTTTCAGACTTCTCAAAGTATGGTTCAGTCCCTTGCTTCCTTTCTCTCCTCATCTTGTGGTTCAGACGAAAAGCTTAGTAGTCTTTAGGTTGATATGGTTGTGTTATTTTCGAAATGCAGGATCCAAAGAGAGGAAGCCAAAATCACTGCGTGGGAGAACTTGCAGAAGGCAAAAGCCGAGGCTGAGATGCGAAAGCTCGAGGTTTGTATTTCCTTCTGAACTATATACAAGCTTTGTATAAATATGATCCATGATCAGCAGAAACTCTGGAGAGGAAACTGACCCCTTTACACTTCCATTTTCCTTCAGATGAAACTCGAGAGAAAGAGATCATCATCAATGGACAAGATCTTGACGAAGCTGACAACAGCACAAATGAAAGCACAGCAGATGAGAAGCTCAATGTCTAGCGTCCAGGAGCAACAAATCCCCAAAAGATCTGGGAAATCCAAACCAAAGTCCAAGTATCCCCGGTTTCGCTCCATGAGATGCTGCTTCACCTGCCATGTCTTCTAATCTCTTTTCTTGTCTTTGCTTAAGCCAAGAAACTAGTATCAATGTAGTGACTTTATAAGTACAGAACCGTATGACCATTATGTATAATGCTAGTAGGACTTGACAGTAATCAATTCTCAGAACTTGGTCATACTGTACCAATGAAGCTTTTGTTCATATCGCACAACTAGTGCAAAAAGACATGAGACCTTACAGCTACACTACAATACAGTCAACCTGATCAAATGGTCATATAATGTACATTATTGAAGTCAGAAAGATTCGATCATGTCCATGGTCAACATTAATCGCCTATCCGAAAGAAATCAAATACAAGCACAAGAGATCAATCTAATGGGATTCATCATGCTATTATTTTGCCTTCTGAGTAAACTCTAATCAATGAAGCACATGAAGTTTTGCTCAGGGATGCCGGGACTTTAATATGGTCTGAACCTCCAATCTGCTCTTGACGACTGTCTTCCAGCACCCATGCCGTACCCCCACTGCAGAAAGAAAAATGGAGTAACCATTTTAGAGGCAGTCGATAAACAATTAATTGCTTAAGTGGCTAAAAATGAACATCAGGAGTGATACGAAACGTACCCCCATATCTTCAAAGCTCAGGTTTCCATACATTCTACCAAAGCTGCGCATAGGACCACCATAACCACCCAGAACTTCAGCTCCAGGCATCACATAGCTTGTACTGGGACCGGCATCGTCAAGTGGAGTAGCAGAATCAATAGCGACCTGCACAAGGAGTCGACACAAAAAAAGTTTCATAGTTGGTAATAATTCCCGCTCGTGCTCTTCGTAAGGGCTTGAATTGTTTCATATTCATTATTAGTACGAGGGAATGAAAGGGAGTACAGAACTGAAAGAAAGTTCCATTTACAAATGAGATAAAATAGCCAACAGACAATCCGGTAGCTAACTTCTCCATCCAAACCAAACACATACGGTGAAATTAATGGTGATAGATTAATTGAATAAGGTCAATCCATATGCAAAATGATACCAAAATTCTGTTCGGTTTGCACCCAGAATTACATGAAGGTGAAGTAAAGGGAAAGTATGTAGTACCTGATGCCCACAAATCTCATGAGACCTTCGTGATACACGATCTGCCACACCGTCTTCAGAAAAGGTGACAAACCCGAAACCTCTATGACCGCTTCTCTTAGGGTCCTGTGCACACAAGAGACATTCTAAGTTGCTGGTCCTTACAATTCTTATTTTCAGATAAAGGTGTTTTCTGCAGCCTTACCTTTGGGACGTAAACATCCATTATATGGCCAAATCTGCCAAAATATAGACGCAGATCTTCAGCAGTTGCCTCTTGAGGAAGCCTTCCAACAAATATCTTTTTCCCAACTCCCCTAGATGGTGGTTCCGCTCCTGGTCCAATGAGGATTAGAGAAAGCGAAAACCATCTATAAGTTGCTTGGCTCAGCGAATCAGTATGGTACCATTTGATGCAATACTTACTTCCATAGAGCGGGCCTGGATGGTCATACAAGGTAGGAGCACCAAGGGCTGCATATCTAGTTGCAGCAGAAATATAAGCATTATATGCACCGTAGCCACCATGCGCTGCTGCTGGCACTCTTCCTGCCGGCCTGAAATCATCTTCCTGAGGCGGCACAGATACATAAATAACCCAAATTCACAACTGAAGTTTAAAGCCTCCAAAATAACTCAAACAATGCAGAATCTTGGAAAACCTTCCCAAAGAAGAGGGAACAAGTGTTCTTTATTTGAAAAAGGAAGCTCAGATCTACTGCCACAAGTTACCTTAGGTGTTGCTCGGTCAACAACAATTGTGGAACCACCCAATTCATGTGTGTCCACCATCAAACTATCCACGGATTCTGCAACAGGAAAGGGAGCTTGAGAATACACATAGGATGCTTAACAAGGTTTGTACCAACAATAAAAAGGCATGAATTAGTACAGCTGAACCAAACCTGAGCTAGCAAATGTGATGAACCCAATTCCACGATGGGTTTTTGAACTGTGATCCTGCCGGGGGAAAAGATCAGTTTTACAGCAGAGCAACACCCTTCAGTACAGATAAAACAAAGAACATCTATTTCAAAGCACAACGAATTGTAACAGCTGGTATATTCAAACAAAGATAGGAAACTGAAACAGAGTTCTCTAAATCATCCTTTGCGTTTGCTACTCTTTCAAGGGAGCAGAGAAGCTCACCTTTGGCATGTACAAGTCTATTATGTCACCATATCTCTCAAAATGACTGCAAAACAAGACTTAAATACATCAACTTTATCCCCATATCCACTCAACACCTAAATCAACACCGGTGAGGGATACATAAAGCAACAGTTCTCAGCTTGTCAACATCCAGTTAAATTACCTACGGAAAGCTCCTTCTGTTGCAGATGGTGGGATCCGAGCAACAAAAATTCTCGTTGCCTTCTTGGAAGGGGCTCGCATCTCCTCCTGCAATAAGGTAATACAGTAGGCCTGAGCACATCTGAGTATACAACTGGTAGATGAACATCTGCTTTGACATAAGCGTAAATGTCTCCAGATCACAACCTTTGGTGTTGCCACTTTAACTTCCAACATTCTTTTCCCCATGTAGTGTTCACTCTCTAATGCGTTCTACCAGACAGTAAAAGCCAGAACAGGTCAGTATAAGAAGAGACTTGAACCAGCACCCGTGCTACACTGAGAAGACTAACACGAAGACAATATATAGATTCTAGTAATTCAAAATTTCTTATTACCTTGGCATCTTCCATCGACGCAAAGGTGACATAGCCAAAACCACGAGATCGACCCGAAGACCGCTCCTAAAGCATCAAAAGAGCAGTGAGAAAGGCAATCAAAAGTCTCGTTACTCCTTATCCACATACAAGGAAAGTGAAGCTTAAAATTTAAAACAAACCAGAAACAAATTTCAGCCGCCTAATAAAACACAACCAGCTGATCTACAAAGGCAACAATATGCCCTGCGTCTACAACACGGTCTTGCTGGCATAATTAAGGACAGCATTTCAGAAGCAAGTCAAATACGAGACAAAAGTTGAAACCTTCATGACAATGCAGTCCTCCAAATCCCCGAACTTGCTCATATAGTCCCTCAAACCATCGGTATCCACTTCCCATGGAATACCCAGAACCTGCACACAGAGCCCACAGAATCAATGCAACCAACCTGGAAACCCACAATCATTCAAGCAACAAACCGATCGCATCAGAAGGGGTAGAAGTACTGACCACAAGCTTCCGCTCCATCAGGAAATTACGAAGAATTGGAAGCTTAGGATGGCAAAAAAACACTCTTATCACACTCGAAGGATTGGTGCTAATGGATGTAATTGGTATCGCTCTCGTAGAATCACAACAAACACTCTCTCTCTACAATCTCTCACACACCACTCTTCTTCTTCCTCGCCGCTCCCTGCACATGACAAGCACACCTCTTTCTCACAAACAGACATCATCAAATACCAAATCAAACTCACCAATTCCGCTGGCATTTTTCCCCCTTTGGTTTTTGTTTTCCTCTACACAAAAGCAGTAGCTCACGAATGCAAAAAAAAAAAGAAAATTTAAAGCTTGAGAAGCCACTGCAATGGATGATCAGTCGCGCGCTCACTATACCTTCCAATTTCCCGGCGAATTTCAAAACCCTAAATTCCGATCTCCCCTCTCCTCCCTTGCGCTCCCGCCTCTTGTCTCTCTCTCTCTCTCTCTAACATCCTCCCGATTTTCTACATCCGTTTACCTTTAGCCACTTGCTCCGGCTGGGACACGTGCCACATCTTCTCATTTTGGATCCATAGTTTCCGGCCCACATTTGTTTTAACACTACGGTGCAGTTTTTAAAAGGCTTATAGCCCAATTGAACGAGCCTTTTTAACAACTACATCGTCGGTTTCAAGCAATATGGAGGTGGTTCCCGGTGCGCAGTTGCCGACGATGGGGCAATTATCCATGGTCACTTGATCCGGTTCTGCTTTGTGGGTAATTTAGTAGTAGTGCGCATCACCCACGCATGTATGGTTGACTAATTTCGATTTTGTTGCACGTGATTGGTGCTGGAATGGTTCCTGTCTCAATTGGCTTGGAGATCATGCATATTCAGTCGTCACCATCACCCCGTTTCAATCATCTAAGGAAGCCGTGTGTATACCCCACGCATATAGATCTTGTGTAGTGCTCGTTGTTTGTTCAATTTTTTCATTCTATATTTTCTAGGTTTCGTGTTTCCTTCTCGTGTTCAGTGTCCATTCTCACTTTTTCTTCACGGACTTGTTGGGGCTTTGATTCGGCTCTGGCGTTCCAATCTTTTCAAAGGTCTAGGTTATCGACTTAACCATTCTTTTTTCTTTTTTGTGCGTCTCTTTAATTGTAGTAGGTTTTGTAGCTATTGTTTGTTCATTTCGTTCTGTTGTTTATTGTGTTCTTCTTTCACTGCTTGGCAGTAGGTTGATGTCTCTATGTTCGATATGTTGTGTTGTTTGTTGTGTTGGTGATTGTTCAGTTCGTTTGTTTGTGCTTCAGAAATGTGGGTTGGCGTTTACCCCTATTTGTCATGTGTTGTGGTGCGTTTGTCTGGTTTTTAGATATACCTCTCGAATTGTCAATCAAGAGCCTTTGTAGAATGGATGAGAAGGAAGAGTTGGTTGCAGGGTTTCAGCTTGAGGGGGATGCAACGTCTTCCACTCCTATGCAGGGTTTCTTTGATGTGCCTATGTCCATGGAGGACAAGATGGTGATTCTGTTTGTTTTGGAGTGGCAGCTGTTCTGCATCTTGGCTTGGTGGCAGGGAAGGATCCTTTTGGTAATGGTTTTTTTTTTTTTTTTTTTTTTGCGTTGCAGACAGATTTCCTTGTAAATCTGTAGATCTTTGTTCCTCTCTTTTTCAGAGAAGATCTAATGACAAAAAAAACCCTATACATTTTGCCTCCACTTTAAATTACCATTCAATATTAATTTAATAATGAACAACAATAGTGACAACAACTATAATGTTTGTAACTATACTACTAGGGGGTGTCGAGTGCTTCTGCAAAATCTATCGTAGGGCCAAACTAACCCATTGTCGGTGGAATGGAAACCCTTCTCCCCACAAACATCCAACCCGATCGAGCAAAGACCAACCTGATCACTCTTCTGGGTTCGAGGAGAAGTCGCCCTCTCGTAGAAAGAAGTCATTAGCGAACGAGAGGGCATCGCTAGCTCCGTCCATCTTCCTTCGAACACGCTCTCAATACTGATTTCTCCGAGGAAAAGAAGCACGCCCTCTGGTTCTCTCCCGCAGCAGCGAGGACGGACGGCATCGGCGGCGGCAAGAAGAAAGGATTCCGAGTTAAAGATCGAGGTTTTGGTCGCCTCTTTCTGCGCAGACCCTAATCTATCGACAACGACTTTCGCTTTTAAAGAACAAAAAGAGGTTTCCAACTACAGATCATCGATTCTGGAAGGAGAACCTGCATTGCTCTTTCTCTCGCCATCGTGCGCTCGAGCAGTTTGCTGCCTACGCCATCGTGCGTCGCCGACCATGCCTTTCCCTCCATCCATCCAATTCTTTTCCAATGGGTTCTGCATTTTTGCAGGGGTTTCAAAAGAGTTGTGATTTGGATTCCTACAACGAGTAGTTCCGGCTGGCGGCGAGTCCTTTCGGCGGCAACAAGAATTTTGGGCGGTGGTTCCATTTTTCTTTGTAGTTACATTCCCACGCTGCTATTCGTGGTCAGCCACGTTTCCCACCTCCCAAAGTCCCAATTGTTTTTACTTATTTATCAATATTTTTAATCAAATTATTTATTCACCGAGAAGACCCCTCTTTTTTAGCTTCAAACTGCATAATTTTATGCCTTTGCATATTTATGTTATTTTCTTACATCTTAGATAAAGTATTGGTGTTTAACACACTGTTCATTAGCTAGGTTATTTCGTTGATTTGAAGGCTAAAGATCACGGATTCGCCCTGAGTCTATTCTACAATGATGAATAAGTCCATTAAGCACCGATTTGGGCGGATTTCTTCCGAGTCCATTTTTAGCAGATTCCAAAGGGACCATCAAAAATTTCGAGTGATTTTTCCGAAATGTCATTTTCTTTCGTTTTTGGAGGCTGCAGAACATGGATTTCTTCCGAGGCCACCGATAATGAAGTCTATTGATCCTATTCTCCGCCAATGATTAAGTCAATTAAGCTCCAAATTGGACCAATTTATTTTGGGATGACAATTTCGTAAATTTTTGGGAGTTTTTTTGAAATACCATTTTACTTGGATTTTGAAGGCTAAAGATCTCGGATTAGGCCTACGGCTATTCTTCAATGATTAAATCCATTAAGCACTGATTTTGGCAGATTTCTTTCGGGTCCATTTTTGGCGGATTCTAAAGGGATCAATTTTCTTTCGATTTTGGAGGCAACATATCACGGATTTAGCCCAAGTCTATTCTCCATCGATAATGATTTATCCTTTCTACGCTGATCATTTAGTCAATTAAGCACCGAATTGGGCCAATTTATTTTAGCATGGCATTTTCATAAATTTTTCGTTGATTTTTTTAGAAATGCCATTTTCCTTGGATTTTCAAAGCTAAAGATCACAAATTCTGATAAACACCCAGGGGGTGCTTTGTTTTAATCAGAATACGCAGCCAAATAACACTCGAACGATAAATGATGGGTAGGTAGAATTTCGCCACAATCAAGGTGTTTACTAGATTGATAAGAAACTTGTTAAATGAATCTGGAATTCTCACAGAAAAGCTTGACAAGGGTTCTCGAATTACCAGTTGAATCCACACAAAACTAACTCAAGGATTTGATTCTTGAGACACAACTCAAAGACTCAAAAACTCACGTAGGAGCAATTTTCATACAACTCCACTTAATCCTTTACAACTTGAAATTGAAAGCTATTTAAAGACAATAAAAATCTAATAAAAAACCTAATAGAACTAGGAAACAATTAAGGTAAAAAAAAACCTTAAAAAGAACACAAAATTCGGCCAGAATTCTCTTTTTTTTCAAGCACAAGCTACCTGCCTTTTAGCATAAGCAAGCTGTTAGAAAAATAGTTTTTGTACTAACTTCGTGCAGTTTGTTCGATGCCTTCCAGAACTCCAATCTTTCATCCAATTCCTTTCCTTTGTAGAAAAACAAACCTACTTTCATGTTGTAGAAGTCTTTTGACTCGAATTTGATCCATGCTCCTCGAATTAAGCTCCAAAGTGAGCTTTCATAAACAGTTTTATGCCTTAGTCATTTTTAGGCAGTTTTGAGCTTTCCAGATAGCAACTTTGGAAGTCTGGAAAATAGTCTTAATAGATTCATCTGGATCCACCAAGCATACCATTAGAAAGATGGAAACTTTATCTTCAAAAAAAGCCCTTGATCTCCAATTTTCATTGAGCCATTTGTGAGATACAAGCTTCCAAAGTAGGCTACCTGAAACTGATCCAACACTTAACCAAATTCTGTCTTTCTTCTTTCCAACTTCGATAGCTTCTACGTCAAGTAATTTAAACGCGTATAGTTTGCCATTTGGGATCATATCATATTCAAACTGATGGTTTTATGAAATGTCATTTTCTTTCGATTTTGGAGGCTACAGATTACGGATTTAGCCCGATGATATTCTTTATCGATAATGAAGTCTATTGATCATATTTTCCTCCGATAATTAAGTCAATTAAGCATAGAATTAGACCAATTTATTTTGGGATGAAATTTTTGAAAAAAAATTGGGCGATTTATTTCGAAATGCCATTTTCCCTGGATTTTGAAGGCTAAAGATCATAGATTAGGCCTAAGTCTATTCTACAACGATGAATAAGTCCATTAAGCACCGATTTGGGCGGATTTGTTCCTGGTTCATTTTTAGCAGATTCCAAAGGGACAGTCACAGATTTGTGTGATTTTTTCGAAATGTTATTTTCTTTCGATTTTGGAGGCTACAGAACTTTGATTCAGCCCGAGGCTATTCTCCACCGATAATGAAGTCTATTGATCTTATTCTCCGCCAATGATTAAGTCAATTAAGCACCGAATTTGACCAATTTATTTTGGGATGACATTTTCATAAATTTTGGGGCATTTTTTATCAAGGTCATTTTGCTTGGATTTTGAAGCCTAAAGATCTCGAATTAGGCCTACGGCTATTCTTCAATGATTAAATCCATTAAGCACTAATTTGCGCAGATTTCTTTAGGGTCCATTTTTTACGGATTCCAAAAAGATCAATTTTCTTTCGATTTTGGAGGCAACATATCACGGATTCAACCCAAGTCTATTCTCCATCGATAATGAAGTCTATTTATCCTATTCTCCGCTGATAATTTAGTCAATTAAGCACCGAATTGGGTCAATTTATTTTGGAATGACATTTTCGTAAATTTTTGGTATTTTTTTAAAGACTATTTTCCTTGGATTTTCTAGTCTAAAGATCACGGATTCCGCATGAGGCTATTCTTGAACGATGATTAAGTCCATTAAGCACCGGTTTGGGCGGATTTCTTCCCGGTCCATTTTTGGCGAATTTTAAAGGAGTATCATCAAAGAGCCTTTAATTTTCTCCTCCTTAATCTTTGATGGACGATTTCTCACTCGTTTTAAATCGAAATTTAATTTTTTTTGAGCAGTTAGATCAGATTAATTATGCTCTTCAAAATGATATCCACTTTGCTATATTTTTCGAACAAAAAAATTGAGACATTTTATACCATATGGTATTGAAATAAGAGAATATTTATGGTTTGAAAAGTGTACCATGGTGGTATGAACAAACCAAGACTGGATGGTTGAATAGATGATAGTAGAAGTGTATTAACTGTCATTTACGACTTTTAACATTGTATACCATAAGATACCAACCGGTACCAAGGTGGTATTGCGTGGTATTTTTTGGTCCTGTAATTTGTTCACCCAGAAATTTGTAGATTCAATAGATCATGATGAACTCGTCCTATCAGTATCATTACAAACAGCTCCTTCTGTTCCTTTCTCGCTGCCTTCTTCACCACCTTCCTCCATATGCAGGTTAACGGGATCAGAGAGGGGTTCTTCATTCTCGGTTCGTTCTTCTTGTGTAACCAGTTGTTCCTGATTTTCCAATCTGATGAATTCATAAACCTTTTTCAAGGCTTCAACAAGTGCTTCAAGTGCATCATGATAGTTAGCATTGCTTTCCTTTAGTTGCTTCTCCAGCAAGATAGCCTGCAAAATAGGTTACTAATAATTGATCCAAATAACTTGTCAAAAACAAACAAGACCCGGGGGGGACTTCAGAAATCTCAGTCTCAGGTATTGAAATTGTGATCTTCTTCCACAGAATAGCAGAATCAAGTTCCATCTGGTCACCAACATTGCCACATGTTATAGAACCCTAGGCTTTTTTAGCCTTTTTTGCCTCCTTTTTGGCACATTCATGTTCGAGAAAAATGGTCTCAATGTTAATACCCGTACGACTGCAGTCCTGCTTTATTGCCTCATTAAGTTTCTGTTTCATAAAATCACTAGCGAAGCCACTCAGCAAGGTTTCTGAACTGTGGATCTCGTGTGATTTAACAAGATACAAAACCTTCAATAATAAAAACAAACAAAACACGGTTAATACAAAAAAGAAAACCAATATATGCAAACTCACTGATATATGAATTATAATAAAAAATGAAACTTACCACAAGGAAATAATAATCAGCACGACGATTTGTTTTAGGTTCAGAAGCAATAGTATCTTTGAATAGCTGGAGGAAGTACTTGCACCAGTTGAAGTTGTTGAAACGCAACAACATTCCATTATTAACAAGATTCCTAAATTTTCTCTCAACCTCATGACTTGAACCAATACAAAGAGAGTTGATTAAGTACACAAAAAACAACTTGAACCAGCTCTCGGGATCATGAGTTGTCTTCATTATAACTCCCAACTCATGCAGTTGTGCAGGAAATAATGGACTAGGATCGGTTTACATGGTAGGGACTTCCAGATCCCCTCTGGTCAGCCCATGCACAAACTCAATATCATCTTCCACTACATGATGCACAGTTCCATTCGGAAGTGTGAGGGTATGATCAGTGGTGTTATATTGGTTTATAATCCATGAACCCATATATCTATCAAGCTCGTCCAAGACTATATAAAGGAATTTCCCAAATCCCTTCTGCACCAAGAACTCTTTCTTATCATTTTCAATATCTTTTAGAGTATCACATACCCGATTTGGAGAACACCAAATTCGTGGCTCGCCCTTCATCCAATGTTTATAATACAGATAGGGATATCTGCGTAAAAAGTAACAATTAAAAGGATGTAGCTGTATCTCTTTAAGTGTAAATGTTAACCGAGAAAAAAGAATCTTACTTGTTCAGATTGGGGCGACCCATTTGCGAAAACTGATGGCTACGATCAAGGAGCCGAGCAGGGTTTGGGAGGAAATCGAAGCAAGAAGAAGGCGGCAAACAACAACGGCAGATGAGGAAATCGACGATTTGGTGATGAAGAAGAAGAGAAAATTGACGACGACGGCAGTTGCAGCGGTGGAGAATCGAGGAAGGTGAAAAGGTTTATTAGGGTTTAATAACTTGTTATAAATTTGATTTCCAACTTGGGCGGGAAACTTGGTAAGGCTGAAAAAAGTGGCAGAAGTCGACGATGAGGCCGACTGGGCCCAGATCGCAGAAGCTTTTCAGACTGGTAGGCCCATAATCCACTATCTCCCCTCCTGCAACGATCTCAGCCCTTTATGAAGTGTGCCTTTTAATTGAGCGGCTGTATATCTTCGAAAATATATGAGAATTATTTTCAATGGGAAGAAGGGAAGAAAAGAAACGAAATGGCCTTGTGGGTTATTTTTTTAGAACAATTTCGTTTGGATGAGGAATTGTAACGGATCAATTTGACACAATTGTCTCGTTTTGAGACAATTGTGCCAAATTGCCTCGTTTGCCAGCAAAAATTTTGGACGGGTCAATCTGCCTGGGGTATTTTGAATTGATCCATTTTGAGTCAATTTCAATTACCTGGGGTGGGGGCAGGTAATTCGAATTGCCTCGTTTATAAAACGAGACAATTGATCAAATTGACTCATTTATAGATTTATCCATCCAAACGAGGGGTCGTTTGGATGAGGAATTGTAACGGATCAATTTGACACAATTGTCTCGTTTGCCAGCAAAAAATTTGGATGGATCAATCTGTCTGAGGTATTTATAATTGATCAGTTTTGAGTCAATTTCAATTACCTGGGGTGGGGGCAGGTAATTCGAATTGACTCCTTTTAATTGTCTCGTTTATAAAACGAAATAATTGATCAAATTGACTCATTTCTAAATTGATCCATCCAAACGACCACCCCCCCCCCCCCCCAGGTGGCCCAGCTTGACTCAGTGGCCAAACTAATTTGACTTGTATACTTGGGAAGACCCAGTGGCCCGGCCGGGCCCAGCTTGACCCGCGTGCGTCAGAGGGCGGTGGACGTCAGTTTGGTGGACCCTCATTCGGTGACCTCTGGTTTTGAGATCTGCTTTTGGTTTGGTGGATCCAGGAGATATCCATATTTGGGCTTGGCGGATCAAAGAGAGTTCCTCATCTGGGAAGCAGATCAAAGGCGGATCAAGATAATCGCTGAGGTGAGGACACGATGTTCGTGGTCCTTGGCTTGAGGGGAGGATTGTTATGGGACAATCCAAGTACCACATCGGTTATACACGGGAAGGAACCCTTGTATATTAGTGTCCACCAATCTAATTAGTACGAGGCGTTTTGGGGAGGACACCGAAGAGTAAAACCGTGCAGGCTTGGCCCAAAGCGGACAATATCGTACTAATGGGCTGCACAGTTATGACGCTTGGGCAGGAGGGGAGTTAGTGGATTATTGGCCTGCCAGTCTGAAAAGCTTCTGCGATCTGGGCCCAGTCGGCCCCATCGTCGACTTCAGCCACTTTTCTCTGCCTTACCAAGTTTCCCGCCCAAGTTGGAAATCAAATTTATAACAAGTTATTATACCCTAATCGACCTTTTCACCTTCCTCGATTCTCCACCACTGCAACTGCCGTCGTCGTCAATTTCCTCTTCTTCCTCGTCACCAAATCGTCGATTTCCTCATCTGCCGTTGTTGTTTGCCGCGTTCTTCTTACTTCAACTTCCTCCCAAACCCTGCTCGGCTCCTTGATCGTAGCCATCAGTTTCCGCAAATGGGTCACCCCAATCTAAACAAGTAAGATACTTTTTTCTAGGTTAACATTTACACTTAAAGAGATACAGCCGCATCCTTTTAATTGTTACTTTTACGCAGATATCCCTATCTGTATTATAAACATTGGATGAAGGGCGAGCCACGAATTTGGTGTGCTCCAAATCGGGTATGTGATACTCTAAAAGATATTGAAAATGATAAGAAAGAGTTCTTGGTGCAGAAGGGATTTGGGAAATTCCTTTATATAGTCTTGGACGAGCTTGATAGATATATGGGTTCATGGATTATAAACCAATATAACACCACTGATCATACCCTCACACTTCCGAATAGAACTGTGCATCATGTGGTGGAAGATGATATTGAGTTTGTGTATGGGCTGACCAGAGGGGATCTGTAAGTCCCTACCATGGAAACCGACCCTGGTCCATTATTTCCTGCACAACTGCACGAGTTGGGAGCTGCAATGAAGACAACTCATGATCCCGAGAGCTGGTTCAAGTTGTTTTTTGTGTACTTAATCAACTCTCTCTATATTGGTTCGAGTCATGAGGTTGAGAGAAATTTTGGGAATCTTGTTAATAATGAAATGTTGTTGTGTTTCAACAACTTCAACTGGTGCAAGTACTTCCTCCAGCTATTCAAAGATACTATTGCTTCTGAACCTAAAACAAATCGTCGTGCTGATTATTATTTCCTTGTGGTAAGTTTCATTTTTTATTATAATTCATATATCAGTGGTTCTGCATATGTTGGTTTTCTTTTGTGTATTAACCGTGTTTTGTTTTGTTTGTTTTTATTATTGAAGGTTCTGTATCTTGTTAAATCACACGAGATCCACAGTTCAGAAACCTTGCTGAGTGGTTTCGCTAGTGATTTTATGAAACAGAAACTTAATGAGGTAATAAAGCAGGACTGCAGTCGTACGGGTATTAACATTGAGGCCATTCTTCTCGAACATTCTTTTCTTCCTCCCTCGTCCGCCATTAAACCCAGAAAAACCATAGCAAAACTCAGATCTAACTTTTCAAAACTAGAACCAAACGAAAACCCAAGAGAAATCGAAATGTAAGATTAATAAAAACCCACTCACCTTCGTCGCCGTTGTGAAAGGACGGCGTCGCCTCTCGCTGTCGTCATTGTCATCGTCGGCGGTGTTAGCCTCCAGTCGCCGCCAGCAAAGTATTTCTTCATTTTGATCGTTTGTTTCCAGAAGTAATGAGATGGAAAATGGTAAATCGAAGAAAAGAAAATAGTTTTGGAGATGAAAGGAAAGAAATTGAGAAAGAGAAACGAGAGTTGTCGTCGTTTTTCTGGCAAAGGGAACGAGAAAGATGCAGAGAGAAAAAAAACGAGAGGGACAATGAGGTTGGGCGGCCGCTCGGCTTTAGGGTTAGGGAAAGAGTCTCTGAAACGAGAGAGAGAGAGAGAGTAAGGTGGGCGGGCGGCCGCTCTGTTTAGGGATAAGGCAAGATTTTTTTTTTTTTTTTTTTTTGTCATTGATAGTGTAACACCCTAAACCGGCCGGTCACATAATCAATCAAAACATCCTTGATAATCATAAAATGTTCAATATGAAAAGTACGGTAGAAATATCACATCAATCAAATCTGAATTTAAAAGGGAAACACATTCTTAATCCGGAAAAGCGAACATCCGTCTCAAGTCCACTAACGAACAATGCATAAACTTAAAGTTCTTCGTGAAGCTTCCTTAGCCACTAACCCCTCTGATGACATCCTGAACAGCAACTGTGCACCTGTGGGTGGTCTACAAGCTCCTGGTTTCCAGCAGCTCCTGAATGCGGGCGTTGGGGACCTAATCCTAATTCCATTCTTTACATAATATATAAAATGAAGCAAAATGCAAATGGTTGCAAATGTTCATGCATAAAATATTTACTGGACTTGTAAATGATTTTCTTGAAATAGACATTCTTTACGAAAAGGGGCCCGAGCTCAACTTAACTAGCACGCCACCACGATCACTGAAATACTTAAACATGATCTTATTACCCAGGAGTAGGGTTCGTAACCTCCTTATTACCCAGGAGTGGGGTTCGTAACCTCCTTCATCATAACATGAGGTGACCGTGTGCGGCTAGCTAAGTGAGGTTTAAAACATGTTCTTACTTGCTTATAAACTTGGACATGAATCTCATAAACGCATAACTCAACACATAAATATCGTATAAGGCATACCGATTAACTCGAATAACATGCGTAATAAATAATTCTGAATGGAATACTAACTAGCCCCCTTAAACCACGCACCTTATTAACTCAAGACGCTTACAACTTGAAGATTGGTACCCTTCACTTGGGTGATCGCCTCTTGATCCTATGGCGAAAATAGAGGTTAGATCGGTTTGATTCGGGTTCTTAGCGACGGGTTTCTCGACTTGGAGCTATTTTGCAATATGTGCAAAGTATGGTATATTAATGTACCCATTAATTTATCATACTAAAAAATTTAAGCAGCCAATTTAATTACTCGATAAATGTGCCTAATTCACTTACCTAGCTGCATTCAGGAAGCATAATATAACACATTTTACCTTATTGAATAAACTAGCAAATTTACCCATTAACATATTATCTTCTAGTTTAATTTGTCGAAACATTCTACCGGCAACGCTAATAATTTGCTAACTAATCACTAAGATATGTTCACCTATCAACTTGTTTAAAGAACCACTCAACAACATTATTCATCAAATTCGGGTTGATTAACTAAATTTTCCCATTCCTTTAACTATCTCAAATTAAATCATTGCATTAATTGCTAAGTTAATTATTCTACTCCATAAACTAATATAATTACCTATTAATTATCTTAACCAAAGTAATTTATTGGTTACACATTTAATCGACCTAAACTACTCCAATTAACCATATATAATTGACGTGTAGTAACTTAAGAATTTAAATAGCAACTCCTCCAGGTCCTTTAGTAACCGTCACAGAATTGGTCACTAAAACACATTACTAATCGTCCCCAAAAGGGCTGCTGTTGGTTCTTATGGGTTAGCTTTTAGTGACGGTTGAAAGACCGTTGTTAAAAACCTGAAATCTGGTCGCTAATCTCCCAGGATTCTTCTAACTCGTATAACCCACAAGAATGTCAAACTTAATTTAAGGGATCAGGCTTCCTTACCTTTAGTACGAGTCTAGGCCTAGCTAGGAAGCCTTAGGACTTCAGTTCCTTGTTTGAATCGTCGTTTGGTCACCCCGCTCTTTCGCCGCCGAAGCTACGCCATAGAAAGACCATTTGTTAGTTAGTTATGTAGCCTTGAAGCTTGAATGGCGAGGGGATTCGTTTTGCTTACCTACTGGTCGAGAGAGAATGGGAGATACGAAGTTGGTAGCTATGGGTCGCACCTTCCTCCTCCGGTGATGACGATGACGGCGACGATGAGCTAGAGGTTGGCGGACGGAAGGAGGGAGTGAGCTTGATGATGATGGGATGAACTTCTAGTCTTGAGAGTTAGCAGTACTGATGGGAGGTATTGAGGTTGGGAGGAATGGCTTTGATGGTGCAATTTACGGGCGATCGGGGGAAGAAGGATCGTTAATTTATTGAACTGAAGAGAAGGGTTCATGATAGGGAGGTTGCACCGACACCATTGCCAGCTCCTCATGTCCCTCCAATTTAATGTCCAACTCCCCATGTCAGAGGCGTGAATGGAGTTATTACATTTCCTCCCCCGTTATAAAAATTTCGTCCCCGAAATTGAGAAACTGAGTGCATAAGACGTTCATGATTCTTCACTTTCATTACCGATCATATCTTATTACTGGCAACAAATCATAATCAAATTATACAGATTACAAAGGTATGTCAAGAAACAACTCAGGATAGTTTTTCCTCATGTCCTCCTCGATCTCCCAAGTGGCTGCTTCTGTGCCTTGGTTCCTCCACACCACCTTCACCATTGGAACCTTCTTCCTTCGTAGCTCCTTATCTTGGCGGTCGATGATCCCAACTGGTATCTCATTATAGGTCATGTCATTATCCAGTTGAATATCTTCTAACTCCACGATGTGGGTTGGGTCGGATCGGTATCCCTTGAGCATGTTGACATGGAATACATTGTGGATCTTGGACAAATTTGGAGGTAGTGCGAGCCTATACGCCAGAGGGCCTACCCGCTCCAATACTTCATATGGTCCAATGTATCTTGGACTCAACTTGCCCTTCTTTCCAAATCTCATAACCCCTTTCCATGGAGAAACCTTCAAGAATACCTTATCGCCCACTTCATGAGTCCTCTCCTCTCCTGGCTTGTCTGCATAGCTCTTTTGACGATCCTGAGCAACTTTAATGTTTTCTCGTATTTTCTTAACTTTGTCGACTGTATCTTGTACTAGTTGTGGGCCCTCAATTTGCCTTAATCCTTCCTCATCCCAATATAGGGGAGATCTGCACTTTCTCCCGTACAAGGCATCATATGGTGCTGCCTTTAGGGAGCTGTGGTATTGATTATTATAAGCAAACTCCATTAGAGGGAGATACTTGTCCCACGATCCCCTCATCTGCAATGTACAAGCCCTCAATAAATCCTCCAACGTTTGTATCGTCCTCTCTGTCTGTCCATCAGTCTGCGGATGATATGCACTTGAGAAATGAAGTTTGGTGCCCAAAGCCTTGTGAAGGCTCTTCCAAAACTGGCCAGTGAAACTAGGATCTCGGTCTGATACTATGGTTAGAGGAACTCCATGTAGTCGTACCACCTCTTGTATGTATAAGTCTGCTAATGCATCCACCCCCGGCTTGAACTTTATGGGATGAAGTGTGCTGACTTAGTGAGACGATCTACAATTACCCAAACTCCATCATTACCCCACTCCGTCCTCGATAGCCCGTAGACAAAATCCATAGTGATGTGTTCCCACTTCCACTCCGGTATCTCAAGTGGCTTTAGTTTCCCTGCTGGAGCTTGGTGCTCACCTTTCACCATTTGACAGACCAAACACTTGTGCACAAACTCAGCTGCCTCCCTCTTCATATTGGGCCACCAAAAATGTTCCTGCAAAGTCCGGTACATCTTGGTCGATCCTGGATGCATGGCATAAGGTGCACAATGAGCTTCATCCAGGATCTCTTGCCTCAAATTCTCTATGTTAGGTACACAAGCTCTGCCCTGGAAGAGTAACATCCCATTTGTGATTTCAAACTTAGTATCTTTCCCATCTTGTACCTCTTGAATAAACTTGGCCAAAACTGGATCATCCTTTTGCTTCTCCTTAATTCGATCATGCAATAGTGGTCTAATCTTCAAATTAGCCATCATGCTAGTAGCGTCCTCCAGTTGTAGTTCCACATTCATAGCCCTGAGTGCCACAAGCTCAGATATTGGGCCATGGTCCTTCCTGCTTAGTGCATCAGCCACCACATTAGCTTTCCCAGGGTGGTACTCAATGGTACAGTCATAATCACCCAACAACTCCACCCATCTTCTTTGTCTCATATTCAACTCTTTTTGATCCGTGAGATGTTTCAAACTCTTGTGATCCGTGAAGATCTTGAAAGTCTCACCATAAAGATAGTGTCTCCATAGTTTTAGAGCAAACACGACTGCAGCTAACTCCGGATCATGGGTTGGGTAGTTTACCTCATGTGGTCGTAATTGCCTCGAGGCATAAGCGATCACCTTCTTATTTTGCATAAGAACACACCCCAACCCCTTGTATGATGCATCACTATAAATGGCATACTCTCCCTCGCTTGATGGTAGCGTGAGTACTGGTGCAGTAGTAAGCTTCCTCTTCAGCTCCTCAAATGCTTCCTAGCATTCCTTACTCCAGACATAAGTCATTCCCTTGCGCAGTAGTTGGGTCAGAGGTCTAGCAATGCGAGAGAAACCCTCAACAAACCTTCTATAGTATCCAGCCATGCCAAGAAAACTTCTCAATTCTGGAACATTTTTCGGAGGTGCCCAATTTACCACTGCCTCAATTTTCTTTGGGTCTACTTCAACTCCTCTTCCAGAAATCACGTGGCCCAGAAATAATACTTCTTTTAACCAGAATTCACACTTGGAGAACTTTGCATACAGTTTCTTTTCCCTCAACATCTCTAATGTGATCCTCAAGTGTTCTTTATGCTCCTCATAGTTCTTCGAGTAGATTAGAATGTCATCAATGAATACAATGACAAACTTATCCAAGTACTCATGGAATATGTTGTTCATTAGTGCCATGAATGCTGCCGGTGCATTGGTCAATCCAAAAGGCATTACCAAGAATTCGTAGTGGCCATATCGAGTACGAAAGGCTGTCTTTGGGATAGATGATTCAGCCACCCGCAACTGGTGGTACCCCGACCTTAGATCAATCTTAGAGAACACAGAGGCACCCTGAAGTTGATCAAACAAGTCGTCTATCCTGGGTAATGGATATCGGTTCTTCACCGTTGCCTTATTTAGCCTCCTGTAGTCGATACACATCCGCATACTACCATCTTTCTTCTTGACAAATAGCACCGGGGCTCCCCATGGAGAGATACTAGGGTGAATGAAACCTTTGTCCAGTAGTTCTTGCAATTGCTCCTTCAACTCCTTCAGTTCTACTGGCGCCATTTGGTATGGTGGTATCGAAATTGGTGCAGTACCCGGTACAACTTCAATGTCAAACTCGATCTCTCTCCTTGGGGGTAAACCGGGGAGATCTTCTGGAAACACATCCGGGAACTCCTTGACAATGTCCACCTCTTCGAGCTTCACTTCCGGTATGGTAGTAACATGAGCCAAATAAGCTTCACACCCATCTTGAATCAGTGCGAATGCTGTGGTTGCAGATATCAAACTTCCTGGAATGGCCCTACGTATCCCCTTGAAAACAGCCATTCCTCTTCCTTCCAAGTCAAATCGAACCTCCTTGTTGAAACAATCCACTACCGCTCTGTGCTTGGATAGCCAATCCATTCCCAAGATAATATCGAATTCATCAAAAGGAAGTAACATAAGGTTTGCCTCCAGTTCATACCCAGTGACTTCCACTATGCACTCTCTGACTATGGAATTAACTATCAACGTATCACCCACAGGTGTACGCACCCCCATATTCTGATTGAGGTGTACAGGTACCATCCCTAAGGTTCTAGCAAAAGCAGTAGATACAAAGGAATGCGTAGACCCAGGATCTATCAAGGCAAAAGCAGGACGGTTATGAATATAAACCATACCAGTCACAACCTCTGGGGCTGCGTTAGCTTCTTCTCTCCCCATAGCAAAGAGTGTGGGTTGCCTGCTAGCTTTGGAAATTTGACTCTGGTCGCGACGATTATTGTGGATGTTGCTGGTGGTGGCTGCTCTATCATTGAATCTCCCGCTTGATTGCATCCTTCCTCCACCAACCGAAGGCTCAGATACGGCCATAGTTCGTCCCGTGAATCGTGGACAATTGGCCTTTTTATGCCCCGGCTGACCACATCCAAAGCAGAGGCCTAGCTTGAACCTGCACTCCCCCGGATGATGCTTCTCACAAAATTGACAGAGCGGGTACTGTGTCTGGTACTGCGTGGGTGCACTCCTGTTAGAGCCTGCCTTGCTATGGGAAGGCAGCTGGAGGGTAGAACCAGGTCCTCTCTTAGAAGGGTGAGTTGAGAGAGTCTGGCTCCCCGAGTAGGTGGACTCTTTCCTCTTTCGAACATCGAATCTAGCAGCCCTCTCTTCCTGAGCCATCTTCTCATCCTTCTCGATGCGAAGGGCAGCCCGATAAGCTATGGATTGAGATATCCTCTCCGCTTCTCCCATACATTTCTTAATTTCTACTTTCAAGCCTCGAATATAGCGATCTCGCATCCCTGTCGCTGTTCGGTATGCGGGATCAGCATATTTGCACAACTTCTTAAATTGCTCAGTGTATTCAGCGACAGTCTGCCCCCACCCCTGCTTCAATTTCATGAACTCCTCTCTCTTGTCATCTTGAATGGAGTCGGGGATATACTCATCAAGAAACATCTTTATGAATCGATTCCAGGTGATTGCTAGAGGTACTTCTTCACTTTCTGGTTGGAGGTGCCACCAATCTCTTGCTGTCCCCTGGAGTACGTGTACCGCCATGGCAATCCTATCCTCATCATTGTCGATACGAAGCTCATCTAGGGTTCGGGTGAGCTTCAAAAGCCACGCATCAACCACCTCGGGGTCAGAAGATCCCTCAAAGTCAACGACTCCCATTTTTCTGAGTGCTACATAATTTGGAGGTGGGCGTCGACCACCACCTTGCGGAGCGTCTCCCATATTCATACTCCTACATGAGGGCAATGACTTTCGTCAGAATCTTGAAGACATCGTGCTTATTAGTAGACGAGACTGGATATTCTAAAACAATTTTGGCTTCCATGAAAACTTTGTTAAAAAGTTTTTAAAACATTCCGAGCTTGTTAAAAACATGGAGACCGACTTCCCAGTATCTCACTTAAAAGTGAAGACAAAGGGAAACCGGCTCTGATACCAAAATGTAACACCCTAGACCCGCCAGTCACATAATCAATCAAAACATCCTTGATAACCATAAAATGTTCAATATGAAAAGTACGGTAGAAATATCACATCAATCAAATCTGAATTTAAAAGGGAAACACATTCTTAATCCGGAAAAGCGAACATCCGTCTCAAGTCCACTAACGAACAATGCATAAACTTAAAGTTCTTCGTGAAGCTTCCTTAGCCACTAACCCCTCTGATGACATCCTGAACAGCAACTGTGCACCTGTGGGTGGTCTACAAGCTCCTGGTTTCCAGCAGCTCCTGAATGCGGGCGTTGGGGTCAGTCCTAATCCTAATTCCATTCTTTACATAATAAATAAAATGAAGCAAAATGCAAATGGTTGCAAATGTTCATGCATAAAATATTTACTGGACTTGTAAATGATTTTCTTGAAATAGACATTCTTTACGAAAAGGGGCCCCGAGCTCAACTTAACTAGCACGCCACCACGATCACTGAAATACTTAAACATGATCTTATTACCCAGGAGTAGGGTTCGTAACCTCCTTATTACCCAGGAGTGGGGTTCGTAACCTCCTTCATCATAACATGAGGTGACCGTGTGCGGCTAGCTAAGTGAGGTTTAAAACATGTTCTTACTTGCTTATAAACTTGGACATGAATCTCATAAACGCATAACTCGACACATAAATATCGTATAAGGCATACCGATTAACTCGAATAACATGCGTAATAAATAATTCTGAATGGAATACTAACTAGCCCCCTTAAACCACGCACCTTATTAACTCAAGACGCTTACAACTTGAAGATTGGTACCCTTCACTTGGGTGATCGCCTCTTGATCCTATGGCGAAAATAGAGGTTAGATCGGTTTGATTCGGGTACTTAGCGACGGGTTTCTCGACTTGGAGCTATTTTGCAATATGTGCAAAGTATGGTATATTAATGTACCCATTAATTTATCATACTAAAAAATTTAAGCAGCCAATTTAATTACTCGATAAATGTGCCTAATTCACTTACCTAGCTGCATTCAGGAAGCATAATATAACACATTTTACCTTATTGAATAAACTAGCAAATTTACCCATTAACATATTATCTTCTAGTTTAATTTGTCGAAACATTCTACCGGCAACGCTAATAATTTGCTAACTAATCACTAAGATATGTTCACCTATCAACTTGTTTAAAGAACCACTCAACAACATTATTCATCAAATTCGGGTTGATTAACTAAATTTTCCCATTCCTTTAACTATCTCAAATTAAATCATTGCATTAATTGCTAAGTTAATTAAGTGATGACATTCTACTCCATAAACTAATATAATTACCTATTAATTATCTTAACCAAAGTAATTTATTGGTTACACATTTAATCGACCTAAACTACTCCAATTAACCATATATAATTGACGTGTAGTAACTTAAGAATTTAAATAGCAACTCCTCCAGGTCCTTTAGTAACCGTCACAGAATTGGTCACTAAAACACATTAATAATCGTCCCCAAAAGGGCTGTTGTTGGTTCTTATGGGTTAGCTTTTAGTGATGGTTGAAAGACCGTTGTTAAAAACCTGAAATCTGGTCGCTAATCTCCCAGGATTCTACTAACTCGTATAACCCACAAGAATGTCGAACTTAATTTAAGGGATCAGGCTTCCTTACCTTTAATACGAGTCTAGGCCTAGCTAGGAAGCCTTAGGACCTCAGTTCCTTGTTTGAATCGTCGTTTGGTCACCCCGCTCTTTCGCCGCCGAAGCTACGCCATAGAAAGACCATTTGTTAGTTAGTTATGTAGCCTTGAAGCTTGAATGGCGAGGGGATTCGTTTTGCTTACCTACTAGTCGAGAGAGAATGGGAGATACGAAGTTGGTAGCTATGGGTCGCACCTTCCTCCTCCGGTGATGACGATGACGGCGACGATGAGCTAGAGGTTGGCGGACGGAAGGAGGGAGTGAGCTTGATGATGATGGGATGAACTTCTAGTCTTGAGAGTTAGCAGTACTAATGGGAGGTATTGAGGTTGGGAGGAATGGCTTTGATGGTGCAATTTACGGGCGATCGGGGGAAGAAGGATCGTTAATTTATTGAACTGAAGAGAAGGGTTCATGATAGGGAGGGTGCACCGACACCATTGCCAGCTCCTCATGTCCCTCCAATTTAATGTCCAACTCCCCATGTCAGAGGCGTGAATGGAGTTATTACAGATAGTTTGTAATAGATAAGGTATTACAGTACGTTTAAAATGAAAGGGCGGTGGTCAACCAAAAGGGTTGCTACCGATGTAAGGGTCATTTATGCCACGCGATGGGCAACCCTGTGAGTATGCCTAGTAACATAAATAAACGAATAAACGCAAATAAAGTCTTCTTTCAACAAGCTCATTGAAGCACCAATCCATCGAGTATAAACGTCATATCGCTTATATGCCGAGTTCCAATAGCCTAACAGTAGATTTGATGTGCAAGCTACCTGCAAAATAACACACAAACGGCCCCTAACAGGAGAAACAAAATTCAAATACCACCGGACCTCCACCGAAAATGCTCCACAAACTATACGAACTATGCCATCTGCAACACAAAAACAAATATGCCAAAACCAACTAGTCGAGGAAATATACTCCATGTCCGACGACAAGCAAATCATCACTAGCATTAAGAGACATCTGAATACAAAACTACCATTGCAACTCCATAAAAAATACGAAACACAAGATGCATTACAGTTTCCTTTGTATACATAACAAAATATGCAAATGCATTGACTTGGGCCAGTGATGAGTATATGGTAATTGGTGAAATTTGATTGGAGATAAAGAAACTTTTCAGTTTAGAACTAACCATAGTGGAGAGATAGTGACACCCAACTCTCAAGTTGTAGCATCCAAGGAATTTGGGAACAATGACGTCCACTTGAACGAAGTCAAAAGAACAATTTTACTTTTTAAAGTAAACAATGTTAGAACACACATCTCTCAGTCATCCATAAAAAACTCTCATATTACTATACAAACAATCATTTATTCTCAATAATTTAAATTATTAATCGGAAAAAATTCAACTATAAATCTTATATTATTTATTAACGTACCCACCACAACGATTATTGCCCCTTGGACTTGCCTTATTATAACATGGATTCTATATAAAAACAAAACAATTCAATCACAAAACATTACTTTTTCATATTCGTCCAGATATCGATCGATCACACAAGTAGAACGAGGTACGTATAGAGGTGGAAGTTCCATCATATGATCACGATGAATGAAGCAGGTGCGGCGGTCCCAAGCGGGTACAGTTCACATAATCCCGTGGCAAATGGGCCGGCAACCCCGGAATCAGCAACCCGACCAGCCGGACGCCGGTGAGCAGCCATCCTTCACTGTACTCTTCGCCGTAATCGATGGCTATCGTGAAGCTTCTCGTCAGCTCCATCAACGCATTCCATATCATTCCTATCGTCCCTCCCGGAGAAAAATAGTTCTTGTATGGCTCCTCCACAACCACCTGCATGCAATATGCACAATTTGAGTTATTCATACCAGTGGTTTATAGCACGTTAGCATAGTTGGTTTGATCAAGTGGTCGTGTGTCAAATCTCAATGACCCCGAATAGTAGCAATCTATCTAAGCGCAAGGTACGTTTGGACGTGTGAAAATTTCAAAGATCATGAATTGGCTTTCATTATTTGAGAGTGTGTGTTAGAAAGTTTGCACATGTCCATCTTATCTTGTGCTTTAAAAGACAATGGTTAATGTTGGGGTTGTCAGTACTTGAACACTTGACCTCAATGACAAACCAACACTGATACCATGTCATAAACCTGCGCTGGTTCCGATATAACTCGAGTCATTGGGATTAACTGGTTCTTCATCACATGGTGTCTGCTGAGCTAGTTTGTACTTGAGATCACATGTTCAAGTCCTCACGATCACAATACTAACCGTTTTCTTTAAAGCACATGGTATGACAGGCATGCGCGCAAACTTCAAACACATGCATGAGTTGATTTTTGGTTTGAGTGGCGTGTCAGGCGAAAGTGGTTAAATCATGTCATGCACAGACTTCTCCCAACAATTCGAGTCATTGGAATCCGTCGGTCTAGAACATAATATCAGAGCTATTTTATCACACAAAATGATATACGATACATAATTAACTTTTTTTTCTCAACAACTCGAATTATGAGTTATGACATGAACGTACCTGTCCCTGGTAGTTGCGGTTGAAGAAGATACAAGTCCCGAAATGCTTGAACATGAGGTTGGCATCGTCGTACGGCAGCCTCGGCACGATGTCGAACCCGTAAACAAACCTATAATACCCGATCCCGTACTCATCCAACTTCCGCTTCATGTACTTCCCAAACTTCTCGTCCCCGACGCGCGGCTGGCCGAACGTGTACACACCTTCCAGCCTCTTAAGCAGCATGTCCTCGTCGTGGAGCATCAGCACCGCTGGGAACACGGTGGCCAACGCGCCGCCGAGGCTGTGCCCGGCGACGAAGAACTTCGCCTTCTCGTTCTGTGACATGATCTCCGTCAGCATTTCCCTGATCTTGTAGTAGGCGAACAGCGGGCGGTCCTCGTGCTCGGGCCCGGCCTGTTGGAGCGTCTTGGGCCAGCCCAGGCACTTCTGCAGGCCCAATGCCTTCATGAACCCGCCGTGGATCCGGCCCACTCCGCGGAGCTCGTACCACGAGATGTCCACGTCGCTGCACCACGAGTCCGCGTCGAACGGCTCCGTTCCCCGGAACACCACCGCGACGGTCTCGCTGCCGTCGGCGGCCTTGTCGCGCATCAGAAACGCTTGCGTCGACGCTTTGTTTTGGTACGCTGCGAGGACATTTTAAATTGTGATTAAAGTGGTAATTAATCAAAACCCATTTGGTTCAACCATTGTAAGTATATACATAATTTTGTTATTATTTACGAATAGTTGTGTATGTCTGTAAAACCTTACCGTTATGGAAGTCGAAAAATCCCAAAAACTCCATCTGCATCAAAATTTGAAGATTGGAAATTAACATTAATACCAAGCCGCTTCACTAACATTATAAAAAATTGCCCGTAAATATTAATGGTCAACGTATAATTAAACAGGAAAAATTTTATTAAACATGTCAGTTTAGACGATGATGATTTCAAAATCAGGACTGGGGTGTGCAATGGTTTAGTTTGGTTTGGTCCGGATCGGACCAAACTTATGAGAACTGCGGTCTATTAGTGAAAGTAATCGTAGGATCAAGGACCGGACCATCATTGCATTCGGTCCGGTTTGATCCGATCCAAATATCAGCTCAGTCCATCATTTCTATTTTCTTCGGTAACTGTAAAATTCATGTGGACCAATAAATACCAGACCGCATTATACTCGATCGGGTGCGATCTGAGTCCAAATCCTGGCTTGATCCGGTGCGGTCGGCGGTACGGACCAGATCATTGCACACACCCTAGGATGGGCATATTTCCAGTTAATTAGTAAGTAATTTACCTGCCAATGCTGATTGACAACGGTTTCAATGTAGCTGCCGCTCTCGTACGAAAGCTTAGCCGCCATTATCGCAAGCGCGGGATTGTACCTCGGATCCCCTCGCTTGATGTTCCCGTCCAGCTCGGTCCTGTGGTCGAAATTCCCCACGAACGACACGTACGTCGACGACGACTTGTCCGGAGCCACTACTTGCCCTGTAATTGCATGCAAAAATCAACGTAGTAATTACCTAATTATGAATGAAAATCAAGCACAAATAGATGTTTTCATTACATGTGAGAGTGTTGAACAAGAGGCCGGGGAAGCCGCCGTTGCGGGACAAGAGGCTGAACCACAACTCGACGCAGGTTCCGACGAAGGACAAGGGCTTGGCGATGAGCTGGAGGAGCTTGTGGACCACGATGGACAAGAAAATGAGCCACCTGCGCCGGAAGCTCGGTTCCGAGGTCTGCTTGCAGTCGACGAACTTCCTTTTCCCTATGTTGGGAGAGATCAACAGGCTGATGAGGTCGACGAGGCCGATTTTGTCGTAGTCCAGAAGCATGTAGCTCTTGCAGAACTGCTTGTTGCACTCCTCCATTGCTGCTTTCAGAAGAAGAAGAAAGACGGATGGGAAAGCTTTTTTGTGGACTGATGAAATGTGGGAATCCCTTAATTACTATATAGATAAGGTGGATCTCTCGTATATCTTAATTAAACGATTTGATTGATCTCAAATACAAAGGAAACGACATAATTAAAGATACTTAATTACGGGGGGCAAATAATTGCTGCTGTGGTGGAGTTTATCAACATCATTGACCAAGGAGAGTGATCAAAGTTATTAAAATAAGATAAGCGTGTTGCTTGTGCTGATAATAAAAAAAACGACCGGCACCTTATATTTAAATTTTAAAGCACGTAATTGAGTACTTGCAGATCATTGGATGGTAAAAGAGGGATTCAAACATTATTGTGGCGTTCGAGTAGTAACGATGGCAGTTCTGATGTAATCCGCTCGATTCGGTCTATCATAACCAGTGCAATCAAAATCACGCATTAAAACGTAAAAACTTAGGGGTCGTTTGGATGGATCATTCTCAAAACGAGTCAATTTGCACCAAAAGACTCGTTTTAGAAAATGAGTCAATATGATGAGGAAATTTGCCAAGAATGTGTCGTTTGGGATGGACTTTGAGATGGAGAAATGCAGATAAGCCATTTCCGAGGAAATACCAATATACCCTTCTGCAAGTTTTTGTTTCTGGGTTTGTTTTTGTTTAGTTCTTCATTTACAAAATGAACACTTTCTGGATTTCATAATACCCACAAATGAAATCGAAACATAATAAAAAAAGTGGTTTTTGCAACTAACCAAATGTCAAAACCAATCCAAAGAACCCTCCCTATCAAGCAATCGGATTTTTCCGAATCACACAACCAATATCCCTGTAAACCAGAACATCCAAAACCTTAACCCAAGCTGGAAGAGTAGAGGGAATCTGAAGAACTTTTTGAGAAACTTCAGCCGTTGCAATCCAAAACCTTAACCTTTCTGTTTCCCGTTTCTGGAATTTGACTCTAACCCCGTGAGAAATTAGGGGTCTAGGGCACAAATGAAATTGGGCGTTCAGAGCAGAGACGACCGGATTTGAAGTTGACGGACGCAATTTGAAGGATTGAGACTTCTCGGTCCTTGAATCAGAGGCTGGACTGCCGGTGAGGAACTCCAACAAATCTCGCCGTCGTTTGAGCCTGGCGAGGATCGAGTCAATCGACCCACTACTTACACACATGCGTCAAAATCCCTTTGCGCGGAGTCAATCGACCCACCGACTGGTCCCCGAGAACTCACTCCTTTGACTCTACGATGATGGCTGGACGGCGACAACCTCTTTGCAAATCCGGCAACAGAGTTTCTCTATTCCTCCCTTTGTCCGCCGGCGACCATCATAACCTTGATTCTTCTTCCCTCTGTCCGCCATAGATACACAAGAAAGAGAAGAAGAGGAGGAATGAGAGCGTAGTTGCAGAGAAAAAAAGAGGAATGACAACGCAGTTGCAGAGAAAAAGAAAGGAAAGAGAAAGGGAAGAGAAGAAGAATAGAGTGGTTTGTTTCTCGAGAGAGAGGGCAGAATTGGGAAGAGGAGACAAAAATTGCGTCAATTGAAATTCCCTCCCCCCACCCCAGGTTTTTTCAATTGACCCCTAACGGAGCAATTCTCATTTCCCCGGCCCAGATTGTTTCGTTTCCTTTTTTTGTAGCCAAATGGGTCAATTTGGCCCAATTACCTCATAATGAGCCAATTGATTCATCACAATGTTTCATCCAAACGACCCCTTTAATTACATTTTTACGTATCCAGGCCACCAAAACGTTTCAGTTTCTACCTAAAGTCGCTTAGTCACAAAAACTGGTAAAAACAAGAGTAAAATCGCGATTCTAAAGCGTTTTTATACGATTATGATCATCTCATAAAAAGGGTTAATTGCATGGTTGGTCACTGAAATTACAAAAAACGTTCAAGTTTGGTCACTCGAAATATTTAAATCCATTGGTGGTACTTAAGTTTACTAAAACCGTTCACGTTTAGTCACTCTCCGTCCAACTCCGTTAACTTTTGCTGATGTGGCAGTCAACTCTCAAAATTGACCGTTAACTTAGTGACGTGGCAATTAAAAAATTATTAAAATAAAAAAATAAACTTTTATATTTTCCATCTCATTATTACATTCATTAAAAAAAAACCTAATTTCTTATTACATTCATTAAAATACTGGTCTCCCCTGTTTTCTACCCGGTGTTCAACCGAGATCGATTTCCCGACGACGCTGAGGGACAGAGCAGCGATGCTCCAGCAGCGGCCGAAACTGACACAGCATGAACCAGAACCAATCAAATCAAGAAATCACATGAAGAAAAGTTAAAAAAAAAACAGAGGAAAGGAAGAGTCAGGAATTCAGGAGCTCTGTGGGAGAGGAGGCAAGTAAGTATCTGTTTGAAAGCAAAAGCAAAGCCCCATTAGCCAGCTTTAGCATTCAATGAAGTTTTCCCAAAGAAACCAAAAGGACCCAAATCCAAATCAGACAAATTTGTAGTCAGCATTCAGCAGCAGCACAGCAAATGAAGATTAACCAAACATTGTCAAGTTAGTAGTCCGCAAGACAACAGAAGAACATCTGAAGTTCATCTATGGAGGCAAAATGAGAATTGGGTTCATGGGTTCAGTTTCCCTATCTATGGCTACAACTCATGAATTTGACCCACTTCCACCAAATTCTACAGAACCCAAGTTAGTTCCAACCCTGTGGGCCAACATCAACCATGGAAAAGACTATACAGAACCATAAAGATGAAAACTTTGATTCGAGAAATTGGTATTGTGTATCGAAAACATCCACCTTGCTTTCAGTTTGGAGAAACTTAAGCATCAGAAACCACACTAAACTCGTCGTCTTCCACCGGTGTTGGAAAGTTGAGATCCAAAAAACTGTAGTTCTTGTCGATTTTGGCAGCCGGCGGAGGTGGTGGTGGTGGACGAGCGGCAGCTGGCGAAGGGTAGGAACCACCGCCGTTGAGATGTGACCTTTTGTGTCCGCCCAGTGCTTGACCCGACCCGAACACCTTTGAGCAATACGGGCACCGAAAAATCCTCTCCGCCGCAGCCACCACATTCCCCATTCCTCCGCCGCCGAGCTGGGTTCCGTTGAGGGAGCAAATCCGGCGGTGGGATCCCAATGCCTGTGACGATCGGAACTGTTTCGTCCTGCATTTTAATGAATGTAATAAGAAATTAGGTTTTTATTTTTTATTTTATTTTTTAATGAATGTAATAATGAGGTGTAAAATATAAAAGTTTATTTTTTTATTTTTAATAATTTTTTAATTGCCACGTCACTAAGTTAACAGTCAACTTTGAGAGTTGACTGCCATATCAGCAAAAGTTAACGGAGTTGGACGGAGAGTGACCAAACGTGAACGGTTTCAGTAAACTGAAGTACCACCAATGGATTTAAATATTTTGAGTGACCAAACTTGAACGTTTTTTTGTAATTTCAGTGACCAACCATGCAATTAACCCCTCATAAAAATGTGCTAATTGGCCCAAAATGATATAATTTTGGAGACACATCAGCAAAAAAAAAGAGGAAAACATGATTCATCACTCATTCTACAACTAGTGTCGAGATAGGGGCTCCACATTAGATTGAAAAGACACCTAATGGTATTCTCAACAGCCGCTGACCTTCTATCAGTCTTCTCCCTTAATCTTCACTTGTGACTCTTACCTGGGTTACGATAAAAGTTTATGGGTAATTGATCGTATGTAATTATGTAAACTCAAACCAACTTATAAGAATTTGGATTCTTACGATCTCCGTTTATGAGCTTATTATTAAGATCTTATGAGTTTTCTCTACTTTTGAGTCAACACAAATAGTTTGTGTTAAATATCACATTTTAATTATGAATTTCATGTAGTTGTTCACTTATCTAAAATCTACACACTCACATTTTACATACTATATGTTGTACTTAACATATTTTAGCTATTTTAGTGGGTGCCTCAAAAACTTACGCTTTTACGCTTTGATTCTACGGTTTACGATTTTTCCCATTTTCTGCTTCTAGGTAGAATCGCGCTTTTAACTGCATTGGTCGTAACCTATGTTTTGAGTGTATTGTCTTAGTCTCGATTCGCTTCGTTTAATCGTGTTCTTCACTTGTTCTATCTCAATTCCCCTTATTAGAGTAACCAAGTCACAACAAATTAAGAAGAAAATAGGATCTTTAGATGGTACCATCACATAACTAGAAGTTGGGGGTGGCATTGTCGTAGCACTAAAAGATGGTGAACCAGAACGGTCAAAGATCTGGATTTTATAGTAAGTTAGTTGATGAGTTGATCGCGGTAAGAGAGTTCGAAGCTCGAAGTATGTAATTGAGGTATATAGAAAACCTTAAATTAAAACTCGAATATTCTCAAGGTTGCCTATGCCTAGTACGCAAGCAGCTGGACTTCATGAAGAACTATGTAACATTAACCAAAGATCTTGATCTTTATCGGGGGTATATCATACCTAACTGATTTCTATTTGGGAAGAGCTTAAGAACGGTAAGAGATGCAAAGTGAAGAATAATTTTGAAACGAATTAAATCATTTAAGAGATTCTACATTCGAGACTGCATCTTTTACATTGAAAAAGGAAGGGGCATACAAATGACATTTCTATTAAAAGTGAATTTCCCTTTTAATTATTGAAAACACAATCATATATTAATATATAAAATGAAACAATACATGTATATTAATGCCTACAATACATGCAATACAACAATTTTAATTAGATAAAACCAACCTTCCCAAAATACATAATGGAGTCACTCACCCACGTGGCTGCATGCATTGCCCCACCAAACGATAACAAATCTCACCAAATCCATCACAACCCTAATTAAATATAGCATGTTTTGGTGGAAAAGCAAAGTGATCATTAATTATAATGATGACGAGAAAAGGTGGGGAGGCCCCAACCGAGTAGAATTAACATAATCCTGAGGGCAATGAGCTGGAATCCCTGGGATTAGCAACCCCATTATCCTAAACAGCCTCATGAACCATCCTTCTCTGTACTCTTCTCCATGGGATCTGCATATCGTAAAGCTTCTAATGATCTCCATCATTGCATTCCAAATCATGGTTAGTGTCCCCATTAGCGAGAAATAATTCTTGTTTGGCTCCTCCACGACCACCTGCGCCAAATATTAATTAAGTCTCTCACCCCATAATTAATTGAAAAGTGTTAATTATGTCTACGTACCCAACTGATCATTATTCCTAAACCATGTGTGCCCCGTTGGAAATCATTAACCATAGCTTAGTTAAAAGCATGTTTCATGCTGGAAATTAAATGGAAACAAATTTAAACATATAGGTGTGACTCCAACTTGCGTTTATATATATGCATATACTGAAGTATATATATATGGGGTTTTATCATACTCGGCGTAAATCTAGGTACCGTGTATGCTAGGTCAGGTGAGAAAACGTTATCCAGATTTTGAATTGGTAGAATTTTTGAACATGCTACTGTATTATAACCCTTAAAGATTAGAATTTAGGTCTTGATTCTCTAAATTTTATACACTAAAATCACTTTAATTGAAACATTTCTTAGAGTTTGTGATTTAGATAATTACGACCTAGTGTTCACTCATTAGCGGTTAAGTTACCGTATTATGACCCAAAATCAAACTAATTCAAGATCTAAAATAACTTTTTTTTACTAAGAGTATGAGGTATTAGAACCAAGAAGTCATGTGTTAACGACGTACCAAACAAATTTGTAATTTTGTTTCGCTGAATGAAAATTTCAATTCGTTGGAAACAAAGGTCTGGTTTAGTGGTACCTTATAATAATGAAAAACAAATATATATCGCCGGATTTACTTTATTAACCATTAGGGCTGGCTATTTGGTCCCGGACTGTTTGGTTTTACCCGAAACCGGACCGTATAACCCGGATCGGGACCGGACTGGGACCGGATAGCAAACAATGCAATCTCATATACGGGCTTAGATTTGAGGTAAAAAACTGGATAAAGACCGGATAAGAGACCCCCAACACCTAAAATCAAGATAAAATTGGGACCGGACCGGGTCAAGACCGGACTGTATCCAATACAATCTTTGATCCTTATATTCCCAAAAAGACCGGACTGAGACCAGATCAATTTGGTTCAATTTAACCGGACCGGACCAGTCACCCCTGTTAACCATGAATCGTACAATTGAGCAAGCGTACGAACCTGTGCTTGGTAGTTGCGGTCGAAGTAGATGCAGGTCCCAAAATGCTTGAACATAAGCGCGGAATTATCGTACGGCAACCTCGTTACGATGTCGTATCCGTAAACAAACCGGTAGTAACGTATCCCATACTCATCCAGCTTCCGCTTCATGTACACGCCAAACTTCTCGTCCCCGACTCGCGGCTGCCCGAACGCGTAAATCCCTTCCATCCTCTCCAGCAGCATCTCCTCGCCGTGGAAAGTCAGCACCGCCGCGAACAGGACCGCCAGCGCGCCGCCGAGGCTGTGTCCGGTCACGACGTACTTCGCCCGGTCGTTCCGGCCCATGAGTTCCCTCAGCATTTCTCTGATCTCGTAGTACGCGAATTTATAATTGGGCCGGGCCGAGGAGTGGGTTTCTTGTTGTTGGAGAGTATTGGGCCAGCCCAGAGACTTTTGTAGGCCTAAAGCCTTCATGAACCCGCCGTGGACCCGGCCCACTCCGGGAAACTCGTACCACGAGATGTCGAAGTCGGAGCACCACGCGTCGGCGTCGAACGGCTCCGTCCCACGGAAGGACACCACGATGGTTTCTGCTTCGCCGGGTTGTGTTGTGTCGCGCATGAGGAACGCCTGCGTCGTGGCTTTGTTTTGGTACTCTGCATGAATGAATGAATGAATGAATGATCGTTAAGTTCGAGTACCAAACGGCTTGAACTAGGTATACTATAAATTTGTAATTTGTTACGTACCATTCCAGAAGTCGAAAGATCCCAAGAACTCCATCTGCAATCACCATTTACTGAAGTTAGGGCACAATAAGGAGATCAATAATTATAGTCGACGAGGTTAGTAAATAAAATATGTTTTACTATTCAAACTCTGAGTTGTTGGAAAAACGTTTAAATTACGAATCTTATAGCACTCTCTTACACACTCCTGAAACTTGCTTTACTCGGTGGTTAATATTGACGTAGTAGATATTCGATAGGGGGTGGCTATACGGTCCGGTCCGGTTAAATTGGCCCAAATTGATCCGGTCCAGTCCGGTCTTTTCAAAAATATAAGGACCAAGGATTGGATTGGATACGGTCCGGTTTTGATCCGGTCTGGTCCCAATTCGGTCTTGATTTTATATTGAATTTGTGGGGATTTGAATGGCCTAAGGCCTAAAAGGGTGAGGAGTTGGTTAAGTTTTGTACTAAGTGCAAAAGGTTGTGAGCGTTTATGCTAATTACCCTTAAGTTTTGGGTGTTGAGATCGCTTATCCGGTCTTTATCCACCTTTCTATCCGGTACCGAACGGTTTTTACCTCAAATCTAAGCCCAAAAATTGGATTGGATAGTTTACTATCCGGTCCTAGTCCGAGTTATACGGTCTGGTTTTGGGTAAAACCAAAAAACCCGGACCAAATAGCCATCCCTAATATTCGACATGACCACTTGCCCAAATCAGCTCTAATATCATATTAACAGTCGGTTGTTTCTCAATAATTTGAGTTGTTCGAAGATGTCATGTTATATGGATTATACATCATTTACTGACACACTCCCTCAAACGAGGTCACTGTGATTCGAACAGATCACCTCTCGATCACAGAAGGCTCCGATAACATATCAAGAACCATTTGATCCGAATAACTCGAATTATTGGAAGATGTTCAATTATGGATCATATATCATTTACTAACACACTTTCAATTTATTAAAAGAAGATTAAATTTGAGTCTTATAACACTTTTTTTAATTATTTTAACACTTTTTTAATTATTTTTGGAGATGAGAGCTCTAGACAATGGAAGAGTGTGCTAATTACCTGCCAATGATTGTTGACAATAGTTTGAATGTAGATCGGATTCTCGTACGAAGCTTTGGCGGCCATCATAGCAAGTGCCGCATTGTACCTCGGATCTCCAATCTCAATACTCTTGTCCAACTCCGTCCGCTTGTCGAAATTCCCAATGAAGGAAACGAACGTCGCCGATTCCTTGTCAGGAACCACCACTTTCCCCGTGAGAACGTTGAGCAAGAGCCCGCCAAAGCCGCCGTTGCTCGACAAGAGGCCGAGCCACATCTCGACGCACGACCCGACCAATGCGAGCGGCCTGGAGAAGAACTGCAGGGTCTTCTGGACCACGATGGAGACGAACATGAGCCACCTCCGCTCGAAGCTCTCTTCCTTGTTCTCCTTGCTGTCCACCATCTTCCTCTTCTCGACGTCCGACGAGAAGAGGAGGCGGAAGAGGTCGGAGAGGCTCAGCTCCTCGTGATTCAGCAGCATGTAGTCGCTGCTGAATCGCTTGTCGCACTCCATCTGACTCATGATGTTGGGTATTATAGCGGAAAGTGTAGTGATAATTTTCTGGATCGAGAGAAAACACTCTTGAAACAAACAATACCCTTTGCTTATATATGTTTTAGCTACTCAACGACGAAAGAAGAAGCAGACATGCAGATTGTAGAGGAGTATACTCTTTCTTTCCTTTTTTTGTTACGCTCTCTCCGAACACATCCTAAATTTCCATACATACATACACATTTATAGTGAAATTTGGGAAAGATCATTTGCTTCTAATTCCACGTTTACTCCATGTGGCCAATGGGAAACACCAATTAAAAGCAATTGGCCCATGCATTTATATGCTTGTCTTCATCTTCTTTATTGAGAGCACCAACGAATGAGAACACGATAAACTTCCCAACAACCTAAGTATGTCCCATGTAGTAAAGGGCTTCTCGATTATAGCTCCATCGATGATCACTTATTGATTAATTATATCGAAAGCAAATTGCCATTCAACAAATGAAACGGTTCGGAAGGTTACTAACAATTAGTTTAAGTAATTTAACTATTCCTAACCATCCCATGCACGCAAGTGTAAAGTGATAGACAGCGTGGATAAAGTCATAAACAATGTTATTATAATGCGAAAGGCAACAAATGGAATCAAACGAGATAAAGCATGTGCTTCAGTGCTTGATATGCTTTTTGGCTCCACTTCCACCATTATGTGGTGGATTCCTAGGGTGGCTATACGGTTTGGTCCGGTTCAATTGGTTTGAATTGATTCGGTTCCGATCCGGTCTTTTCGTGAATATAAGGACCAAAGATTGGATTGGAATTGGATACAGTCTGAACTTGATCCTGTCCGGTTTCCAATTCGGTCTTGATTTTAGATTGATCTTGTGAAGATTTGAGTGGCCTAAGGGGGCATTTGAGTGAGGAGGTTAAATTTTGGGTGTTAGACTCTCTTATCCGGTCTTTATCCAGTTTTCGGTCTGGTCCCAAACGATTTTTTACTTCAAATTTAGGCCCAAAAATTGGATAGAATTGTTTACTATTCGGTCTCGATCCCCAATAAAATCAACAAATCCGGAGCAAATAGCTAACCCTACTTAAAAATACCCTAATTAAGAGAAAAGGGTTAAGGTTTCCCACGTGGTTCCCATAGTGATGTAACTTTCCAATGGCATGCATGATACTCGTGTTGGCCGTAACAAATTTTAGAGCATTGTCGGTGATGTAACATGTACTACACGAGTCCTCGTTGTTTCTTCTTCTTCTTCTTCTTCGGCCAACGACCCCATTTGTCCAAAAACACACCCGTCTATCTTCTTCTTTTTTCCAATTTTCATATCTCTTCTTTCAAAATGTCGACTGAATCCTCAAATTCTCCTTATATCTGTTAGCTCTACTCTTCAAGATTGTCAAACCGATTTATACCGTTGTGCCTGTTTGAAAAGTAAATTGGTGCGACTGGTGGTATAATCAGTTCGTCCCAGTTCATGCCATTGAAGCTTATCGTGCTAAGGCGACTGCTGGCCAGCTGATAACTCTCGGTGACCAACGAATACTCGACGCAGGGCCGACCATTAGCATGTGTCGTCCGGTCGTCCGATACAGGGCCTCTGTTATAGAGAAGAAATTACGTGAGAGGTTACGACCTCGTGTTTCTGAGAATTTAATGATTTGATCTATATAATGTGTAATACAAAATTAAAATATTAATTTTCATTTGATATATTGATAAATATGTTGGATAATGCATAGTTGGTCATTTGTTAAAATCTATCTTATTTGTTTTTACAAAGGGTTTACGTACTTATTTATTTCACTTAACTGGACTAAAATGTAAGTTTAGTCTCACCACTTTAATATTTTTGATATTTTTTTAATTCTTGTATTTCAAATTTTTATTTATTATTTTAATTAATAAATAAATTAAATAATCATGTAATTACTATATTTTCATTCATTAAATTATATTAATTGGAACTATTGAATTTTAATGAGTTTGAAGAGGTGAGTTCGACTTAAAACAAGTGACTAAAAAACCCCTTAGTCACCGGATCTTACCTATTAAAAGCCACTTTTCGTGCTTTCTTCTCTACACTAGAAATGGAAATAGGGTTTTGGTTTCTTTGTCGAGATGATTTCAACAAGAAGCTAAAGCTTGCACTTTGCTGACTTTGGAATTCAAGTGTAGCTAGAGAACGATACTCATATTCGGTAGAAGAACGAGCAACCGATTTCTGTTTTCTTGTAGACCAGGAAATTAAGTTGCTACCGTAGACTACTTGCGAAACCTGTGATTGACTTTGGAAGTGTGAAACCGTGTTCATTCATGGGCTCTGCTGCCTCTGAAATCAATTAGAAGAACTGTTTGAGTGGGCCTAAGTGAAATTATAGCCCATTTTGTTTATGGACTTAATGACGTTTATTTGTTCTGTGGCCCATTAACTTTGCAAGCCCACTTTGTTTCTCAAGGAAAGTGACAAGACCGAAATTAAAAGACGCAGCTCTCTTTTCATTTTGTCTTCGTCTTTGTTTTTCTCTTATTCCTATCACTTTCGACTAAATATTATTTTTTAGACAAATTTTTTCTTATTCTAAAATATTAGTCAAACATTTTATAACGCTAAAACAAAAGTATACCTATGCTAATCGTCACTCCACATGGTTGAAACCTTAACTCGATGTCGTCTCTGCCGCCAAAGCCCAATCACCAATTTTGTCCCTCGATCTCTATACGCAAAAGAAGAAGAAGAGGAGGATGAGGAAACAATGGCGGCAGATCGAGAAAGAGAAGAGAAAGAAAGAGCTGAACGCTCCTCGAGAGAAGAGTTGCGGTTGCTTTCGGTGGACGGAAGATACGAGTCGTAACAAGAGAAGATTCTTTATTTTTTTTATTTTTTTCTTAATCCATGTGGATTGGTGGCGATGAAATATCAAAAACTCAAAATTTTCGTCAGTTCAACCACAGTGTTAAATGATATCGTTAGAGGGAATGACGGAAGTAACTATTTTATTTGTTTTGAAAATTTTGACCATAACTGCAGAGAAAGTTGGGTAGGGATGACAATTTTTCCCATACCCATGGGTATTTTACTATCCAACCCAATTGGGTTGGGTATGGATTCCAAATAAATGGTAGATGGGTAGAGTTTGATGGATTTGTACCCATACTCATTTACTTGGGTTGGGTTGGGTTTTTAACCCATGGATTTGGGTTTGTACCCATGCCCAAAGGCAAATTACAGTTTGGTACGTAAACTTAATAGATATGCAGATTTAGTACCTAAATTTATTTTTTTGCATATAAGTCCTTAAAATATCGATGGAAAATTACGTTTTGGTACCTAAATTTTTTTGGTCTTACATTTTGGTACCTAAACTTTTTAAGTTTTACAAATAGGTCCAATTTTTTGTGTGTGTAGTTAAAACACCCTCAAGTAAATGGATATCCATATCCAACCCATACTCATTTGCATTATGAAAGCAATATCCATACCTAACCCAAACCCATCTACAAACCCCCAAATCCATTTACACTTCATCCAAACCCTACTCATACTAAATGAATTTATTTGGATTTGGGTAAAATTACCCATGGGTGGGTAATTGCCATCCCTAAAGTTGGGGGTATTTCGCAAAAAAAAAAAAAACATCGAGTAACTAAATCAAAATAATTGCATGAAGTAAAAAAAAAAAAAAAAAAAAAACACAAACATTTCAACCGATGATGGTGATGGAAAGTGAGCGGGCCCAGTAACCCGGACCGCCCCAGGCCCAGCCAGCCGCGTCCTCTTTCCATCCACACACCCGCCGCAGTCTCATCACCTGTCCTCCAACCCACCCCATCTCCCAAAAACCCTCCCCTTCTCTCCATCAGATCAATCCACCGTTTCCCTACATATCATCTTCACCGTACACCCCCTCCCTTTCCCGTAGAACTCGCCACACCCAATCACTCCTCCATCCCAAACCTCTGAAACAAACAAAGAGCACACAGCACACCCAGCGCGCGCGACAAGCTGCAGCAGAGTACGGCGCAAATTGATGAATGAAGGCCACAGCACAGCTGTCTTCCATTCCCCAAATTCAATTACTCTCCCCTCCCACTCTCATCTTCTTTCCTTCCTCCATTTCCCCTTTTCTCACTACCAAGCAAGCAAAAAACCCATTCCTCAACGGAAAGAAGCAATGGCAGCCAACAAAACCCGTCCTCCCCTGTTTCTCATCTTCCTCTTGCTGGTCGGATCGTTGAATTCCACCCCATCTTCGGCGACCGGCGGCGAGGGAATGCTGAGCTCTGTCGCTTCCGAGGAGTGGCCGATCGCGATGTCCATCTACGGCGGCGGCGGCGGCTTGGATTCGGAGGACGGAGCGTCGGCCGATTGGGAGGGAGAAGCAAACGAGGAAGAAGGGAGCAGCAGCAACAGGAGGTCGCTGTTCTGGAGGAGATGGCCGTACTACATCTCGTACGGAGCTCTGTCGGCGAATCGGATCCCTTGCCCGGCGAGATCTGGGAGGTCGTACTACACCCACAATTGCTACAAGGCCCGCACCCCGGTCAACCCTTACTCCCGCGGCTGCTCCAGAATCACCCGCTGCCGGGCGTAAAAAAATGGGAACTTTAGAGTGAGCAGAAAACAGAGTGTGGGTGAAATTCTCAGTTCAGGGCAGGAATTTTTTTGTTTGTTTGTTTGTTTGATCTCTGTGTGTTGGTCTACTGTAATTTCTTGCTTCATTTCCCGTTCTTTTTGTAATCATGTCGGCAGGGGGAGTTGGGGATTTGGGATCCAGGCATTCTTGGTGGTAAATGGTAAGTTGCTAGGTAGATCGAATTTTGTTTGTATGTGTATTGTAATGTAACGATTAATAATTGTGCTGTACTGGAATTCTAGTGATGATTAGAATGGAATTCTTTAGATTCCGTGGGGATGATTAATTAATGGAATTCTAAGAGCAATTAATAATGGATATCTGATTAGCTTACTCACTGTAAGGCTGCGATGGGTGTGCCAGCAACAGAGCAGTTTGGTTGCTTCGTTCCTGTCGCTCTTCTTCCTCCTCCCTTATATTAATTAACCACATGGGTTTTGAGATTAGTGCAATATTCTTGAGCTTAATACAATCGAGATGCGTCCTGATAATGCTAGAAAAGTTTCGTCATCGTGGCGATCCAACGACTAAAAGTCATTCAATCATTCATACCATCCCCTGTTTTTGTTTTAGCCAAACGGTGGGATCTGCTAAGAGAATCCTCCTTTAAGGTGATTAATTACAATGATGGGGGGAAAAGGTTTCTACTTTTGTTCTCTCACGGTGGATTAGGATGATGAAAAGGAGAGTTCGACGTTCATTATTTGGGTGAATAATTTATGGGTCGAGGTTAGAGGAAGCAACTTGGTTACTTGAAAGGAGAGTGGGTGGCCGCTTTAACTCTGCATTTGTCTAGCTACCTGCTCTGTTTTGGACTGTTATAGCAACGAGTTATAATTGTTGAACATGGTCTGCTCTCTTCTCTCTTGTCTCCAATTCCAACAACTACCACTTTTCGCCATAATTCCGGGAGGGTTCTTTCCTTCTCTTTCTTTTTCTCTTCCTACTTCCCATTTCCTTCGCCTGCCACTCAAATTCTATCTATCCATTCATTTTGGTTAACTGGGATCGAACCCAAAGCCAAAAGCAGGGGATCGATCAACGTACAGTTGAATTGAACTGTCCTATTACTCTGTTTCGGTTAATATAAGTAGCCGAGTTTACCGGTTGTCGTATACTATTATTTCAATTTCCTGAATGGTCCGAGGATTTTACGAATTGGAAGAAAGAAATGCATGTTAAATGCACTTATAATGGAGTTCCATTATCCGAAAGGCCGAGCTACTCGTGAGCAACTCGAGGCTCGAATTGGGAAAAAACTCGTCCGAAACTCGACTCGTTTACTAGCAAGCGAAGTTTGAGCTTAGCCTTGTTCAGCTCGCGAGCTAGCTCGACTCAGTGTCTTGTTGAGCTCAACTCGTGAGTTGGCTCATTTAGAGCTCATGAGATGTCTCAACATTGTGGCTTGAGGGTCAACTTGATCACCGACTTATGGACGAATCGATCTAATTTGGACTTTCATAATTCATAGGATTGTTAAATTATATATCTCACATCATGTGAAGTTTAACATGTTGAACATGTAAGAAAATATGCCTTATTTTTAATTCTATAAAGAAGTTATGTATAAAATTGTTAAGATACTATGAAATAACTTGATTTGAACCAGTTAAAATTTACTAACTAAACAATATGACACCTACAAATTATAATATAAGATTAATTAATGTTGAACATTTGATTAATTTTTAATCTTTACATCAATCACATGTACCATACCCGACATACAAAATGAATGTATCAAATACGATCTAAGAATTTAGTAAACAAGCTTAACTCGAACTCGACTCGACCTGGCTCGTTAATAAGTGGCTCGAGCTCGAACTCAGCTCATTTGTTAACGAGTCAAGCTCAACCTGGAGTAAAACTCGACTCAGCTCGGCTCATTTGCAGCCCTAACCGGCCGATTCCTAGTGTTAGGTGGATGGCAGTGAAGGTGGCTAACTATACCACATTGAAAGACACAGCAAAGCTTTGAGAGGGAGAACTTGGTATAAAATGAAAGTTAAGTGCAGCTTGTCAACATACTTATCTGGACTGGATCAATAAGTAAACTGGGCTACTTATCTGGTACTGGTTGGGCCTCAGTTAGTAGCCCAGTTTACCTTGTTTCTGGGAGACTTAATAAAATCCAGCACCCTTGCTACTGGTTAGGAGCCCTAAACTACAGTATGATGCGGCCCAATTTCATATCCAACGGATTGCTCAACTCGAGTCATCAATATGATGATATGAGCTAGTTAGATAGATCACAAGTGGCCCAGTTATAAACGGACAATGAAGCCCTCATACACTATGCGGCCCAATTTCAGTCGGGCTATCTAAACTTTTGCCATCACTTCTTTTCTCGTGCTCAAACCAAAAGGAGAAGAATTAAACAGGGGGATATGGAGATAAATAGTAATAGGGAGTGAGACGGGTACTTGAATGTTCATATTCTCGATATATCAAATATGGATCACGTTGGATAATATCCGTGCATATACGTCAAAATCATATGAATATAAATATGTATTTAGGCAAATAAAACTAAAATGGGTCAAGAAAGAGTCGTCGTAGACGAACAAGGGATTGGTTTAGTGGTAATACCGTAAGCCTTGAATCTGGAGGTTTCAAGTTTGAATCCATTCAGTAGTATTTAAATACAAAAAAGTGACATATATCACCCTTATCTAAAAAAATAACGAGTCGTCATACGACAAGACGAAAGTAGTATAGATCAGGTTGGATAATATCCGTGCAAATACGTCAAAATTAGATGAACAAAACATAAGAGTAGTCACAGACAAAAATAAAAAAATAGTCGTCACAGCTCATGGGACAAAACGAAATTAATATCCACGTCCATGTGACACACCAGTGCGCGCGGTTAGGTATTACCACTACATTACGGGGTCAAATCGGATAACACGGGGATGAATCACGTCCAAATTTGCCACTACTTGCTTGACAGTGGATTCATTCTATATGGCTATGCAAACTCAAGAAAAATCCCATCTGTTAGGCTCAAAACATAAGTCTTTTGACTCTATAGGAGGCATTTGGGGCGGGTGACCATTCACCTAACCCAAACGACCAGCCGAATCCCTCAACTCATTATAGACAAATTGATTTTGACCCATCAAATTACAAATATGAAAGAGGAAGAGGCAAAAGAAAAACACATACAATTGTAGAAGAAGGTTCTCTAATCAGACAGTAATCATTCCTAATTAGTTGATAATAACAATAATAATTAGTCAATTACCATTTGACGAGACGAGTTTGCATGGAAAAATCGGGCATTCATTATCTAGAATTTAATTTAACAGAATGGACCCTTCCTTTCCTAGCCCAGATTCTGGTTTCCCCCAAGAACTCAAGAAAGTGATGATGACGCAATTGCAGAGCTCATCAGCACGAAAGGCCCAGAATTAGGTGCAGTTAGTCAGTCAGTCGGCGGCCGAGCCAATGCTTCTTCAATTTCCATCTATCTCCACTACTTAAACGGAAAAAACTGCCATCCCTTATCCAAAATAACAGTAATGCTCCATTCCTTCTCCTACAATAATGCTCCATTCCTTCTCCTACAATTGGCTCCTCAAAGGCAGAATAATATAATCCCACTCTTGCAACTTCCCATATCCATCCTCAAAAGGCAAAGGGCAAAGAAGAGATAAGGGCGGCCGAATCCAATCTCCAATTCCCCATCCAGTCCTCTGCCGCCGCTAAAGTGACGCGATACATCATCATCCAAAAGTAGCCGTCCTCATCTTTTTTTACTAGATTTCTTAATAGGTATGGTAAAAAGATCATCATCATGACAAATCTTATCCAGGATCAAGGATATATCTGTTGATAAAAGTTCAATCTCCCTGATAATTCTGTATGAACCGAACGAAACGTGATGATCTACGTGGTTTTTTGAAAGCGTACGAGATTTATTTGCTGAAGAGTTGATATAGCTTATATTAACGTGTCTGTTTCCAGTACTCTTGAGTTATGGTCTGCGCATATTATATCGTGCACATCTCACTGTTAGGGTTATGTATAAACTGATGTAGAATTACAATACAATGGAGTCGACTATCAGAAAATTCCAGTGCTCGTAAATTTTTCGAGGAAAAAATAAGAGTATATATCTCAATTTGTTGTATTTAGTAATAATCGTATTGAATAAAAGAACTCCCAATTTCAATATACTCATTATCCACCCACCCCCCCCCCCCCCCCCCAAAAAAAAAATACAATACTCCTAATTGATTTGAGTAAGCAAATCTCATCAGCCTAACTTTCAAATACCACTAATTAAATAACATTTTGTTCAAGGAATGGAACGAATGTATCAACGGATAAAATTCCTCGTTATGACTTACAGCTAAAAAAGAAGATTCAAGCATTGACTCGCAATGACATTTTGTACATAAAATAAAATAAAAAGACTAGCAATTGTCAACGCAGTTGCAAGGGAGAAACAATCGAACACGCGGCGAGATGGTCCGTTGACCCACACACATATCATATGCACTTGTCAAAGGGATCTGTCCGATCAAGATTCATTCGTCCACATCCGAATGAACCGAACCAAACCAAACCAAACCGAATTGACCATTTATTTTTGCTTCGCTGCCTCTGCTGCTGCTTCGCGGAACCCTCTCGTCTCCTGTCCTCTCTAATAATCACCGACCCAACAACTCTGACCGTTGAACCGAAACAGTCAATGCAGCTCCTACCTACGTACTACTGTTACTGTATGGTAAGATTCATTGAACGGTGTTAATAAAAAAGACCCGACTTTTACTCTTGTCTATGGTTCGAAGAATCAGGGAATCCTGCCGTTTAAAACGTGCCAAATATGGAAGCTGCCTCTTAATGTACTGTACCAAAAAACCGTAGCTATAGCTTGTTTTTTAGTGTCCACCACCACACCAAACGACTGCCCATTCCCCCAGTTTTACCATTAAAAAAAAAAAAAAACAATCACCTCCTCCTTGATTAATCAATTTCTTAACACGCCCCACGAGCTAATTATTGTATGTAATTACTAAGATCAACACTGATTAAAGGTTCTCATTCTGCGGGTGGGATGGTGGTCCTTACTCCTGAGAGGGCGGTCCTTCGGGTTAGAGGCGTCCAGTTTCCACTGATTGATGACCCGATGGTGGTGGAGCTTCTTGCCCTCCGCGAGGCTGTTACCTGGTGTTTGGAACAGGGATTTTCAAAGGTGGAGTTTGAAGGGGATGCTAAGGTGCTTATCGATAAGATTCATAAGGGAGACGTTGGGGATAGCCAGGCGGGATCTGTGCTGCTAGAAGTTGTCCAGATGTTCGCTCTTCATGTGGGCTTCAGTGTGCGATTTGTAGGTCGGAATAGCAATAGGGTAGCTCATTTAGTATCTAGACAAGCCCCTTTTTTTTTTTGTCTCCGACTACATGTCGCTTATTTGATTTTCAGACCTGACTGAACTACAGGATGTAACGTTATTTGTCTAATTCAATATATAATTATCTTTGTAAAAAAAAAAGGTTGGTTTATTTGACACCAACGCACTCATGATTGGTGGATCCAATCCATCTTCCGGGCCCAACGAAATCCCATCTGGGCACACCTACACAAAGGTCCAGCAGATTTTTTTGTTCGAGCAAGAGAAATTGACCGCTGCACCGCCGGGGGCCGTGGTTTTTTTGCAACCATTTGGAGAAGCAACACACAATTTGGCCAAGTTTGGTGGCCTTCCTTTCATCTCCAGTTTGTTTTTCCCCTCTTCTCCCAAGTCCACATCCCATGCATACAAATTTCTATATATATAAATAATAATAAATAGGGTCCATTTTTCCCCTCACATCATCCGTCACACATCTCCAACTCACCCCACACTTCTATCGTTATACGACTTACACCGAACCTCATGTGTCGCAACTTCATCGGTTAAATCTATCGAACCAGAGTGGAACAAGCGGTTAATTCTACCCGATTCCATATGGTGGGGGGAAAATATACACATGAACACAAAGCCCATAATCTGAAGTCTCCCACATGTGTTGTATTGAGCTAGTTGGCCCAACTTGGACGGCCCCTAATTAGGATCATGGAATATTTTTTTTCAAAAGATTCCTAGCTAGCTACCTACAATTATCGGTCATAATATAATAGGAGATCAAAATTGACCACGGAAGAAGAATTGTAGGGGATGACTTCTAACTACTATAGTGAGTATAGGCAGCCGCCGGCGGGTAATCTAACCGGCCGGCGGATCAACGGTCCGGCGGGGTTCAGTGAATGTGAACCTTTGAGCGGTCACGTGGGGTGGGGTTTTTTTAATCCCATGAAAGCCGACAGTTCCCTTTCCTTTTCTCTTTTCTTTTCCCACCTCCAATTTGGCTTTGCATTTTTTATCGTCATCTCAATTCTCATTCCTAAGCTTCGAAATTGACAGATCTTTTTTTTCATTTTTCCCAAACCAATAATAATTTCGTCAATTTGGTATCAATTTCAGCGCTCTGCCGTCCCCGGCCCCAAAGTTAGTGGTTTCTGCTGCAGTGCTGCCCAACTTGCCTTGCTCGTGAAGATTTACCCTGCAAATTGGGGGGCTGCTGCTTCAGTTTTAAGTGTATATATTTTAGCATTATTTTAGTATTTACCATGTTGCATACGATTGTGGTTAGCTCACTTCCCACCCTTGAAACTTGCGGCCCTTCAATTCCCCAAGCAAGCAGTACAGACAACTTGCAACTTTTGACCCCCGCATATTATTAGAGGCTGCACCAGAGCACGGTCCTGGTTTAAGGGGATTATGTTCATATAAAAAAAAAAAAAAAATTCACAACTTTGATAATGTGTTCATGTCAATGTCAATGTTAAGCAAGCAATTCGTGTTTGCAAAATTTATCGTTAAGATTTGGTACTGTATCGACTGATATAAAATTTTACATTATGAATGTATACGACAACTGTAACTCATTTTTAAACTACGTACTTGCAGATAATGAACGGTTCTATCAATGATTTGGCGCGCCACGAACCGTTGTTAGTAAGGTAGTTGGATGGTAATGCTTGCATATATAATCCCGGCGTGGGAAATGTGCGGGAAACTAAATGAACGTGAAACTGGTTGTGGCAAATGTAAATAGGGCGAAGAGCATCGATCGAGCAGCGTGATTCCATTTATCTAGTCCATCATCGAACGTCTTCTTCTCTGTTATCAACTTAAGAAACAAAAGCATAAACCACATCCACATGGAAATGAGAGTAAGCAAGTAAGCCAATAAATATCTGGTGGGTAATAAATAAACAAAAACTGCACACCCCTCAACTCAACTCACCAAGTAAGTAAGTAGTTGGTCAAAAGATTTCCATAAGAATATGATTCTTAGGGAAAATGAAATTGTGAATAGGTTGGATGTCCTCCAGCAACCTCCAAGGGTGCAGGAAAATGTGGAGGAGGAAAAGAACCTCACAGAAGAACTGAATAAAATTTGGCTGGAAGAGGAAAGCTTTTGGAGCCAATGCTCCAGAGTCAATTGGCTACAAAAAGGGGACCAAAATACTTCCTTCTTCCATTCCAGCACTATTTTCAGGAAACACAAAAACAAAATCCTTCGCCTAATGGATGATCTGGGGAATTGGGTGGAAGATGAAGCAAGGCTTAAGGGTATGTCAGTGGGGTTTTTCAAAGGTCTTTTCAAGGCAAGATCTCCTATTGCTTTCCACCATCTCCTTCAAGGCTTTCCAACGATGGTTACAGGAGAGATGAATGAAGACCTCACTGCGACTATTAGCGATGAGGAGATTAGGAAGGCAGTGTTCTCTTTAGGAGCCCGAAAAGCTCCTGGTCCGGATGGGTTCTCAGGAAAATTCTACAGGAAGTACTGGGATACTGTTGGTGAAACACTTTGCAGAGAAATAAAGGATTTTTTTGAGACTGCATCTATGCCGGAAGGTTGGAATGACACTCACATTGTGATGGTACCAAAGGTTGACCATCCGGAAAACATTGGGCAATTCCGCCCCATTAGTTGCTGCAACTTCAGGTACAAAATCATATCAAAGATCATGGCGACCAGATTGAAGAAATGGACTCCGTCCATTGTCTCTGAGCTTCAAACAGCATTCACAAGCGGTCGTCTCATCCAGGACAATATCATTATTGTTCACGAAGTATTACATCATTTCAAGAACCACAAATTGGGCAACAGGAGAGATATGATGCTGAAACTGGATATGAAGAAGGCATATGACATGGTTGATTGGGAATGCCTGGAAACTCTTCTGAGAAGATACGGTTTTAATGATAAGTGGTGCAGATGGGTTAGCAGTTGTATCCGAACTGTTAGATTCTCCGTGTTGTTCAATGGTGAAGCATCGGAGACCTTCTGTCCATCTAGAGGCATTAGACAGGGAGACCCATTGTCCCCATTCCTCTTCATCCTTATGTCTAATGCTCTCACTTTCCTTGTTGACAAGGCTGTGTCGGAAGATCGCATTAAGGGGATTAAGCTTAACACTAGATGTCCCATCATTACCCATTGTCTTTTTGCAGATGACACAGTCATTTTTGGAAAAGCTAATACTCAGGAGGCAGGTAGAATCGTGGAGATCATCAATGAGTATGGAGCAATCACTGGTCAAGAGGTCAATATCAACAAGTCGTCTGTTTTCTTCAGTGCGAATGTTCCAACGGAGGAAAAGAACGACATTATCACTCACATTGGGTTTGCCCCTACCAACTGTCACTCCAAATATCTAGGAGTCCCAACCGAATGGGGAAACTCAAAGAAGGAGACTTTCTACTTCCTCATCCAAAGGATGGAAAAGATGGGGGAAGCATGGAAGAGCCTCCTCCTTTCCCATGGAGGGAAGGAGGTGCTCCTTAAAGCTGTGATCCAGGCTATTCCATCTTTCATTATGTGCCTCTTCCTCCTACCAGTTTCTCTAACAAAGAAGATGGATTCTCTCCTCAGTAACTTCTTCTGGTCAGGGTCGATGCAAAAGAGCAGCCTACACTGGTGTAGTAAGGAAATACTTTGTGCCCCGAAGTCAGAAGGAGGTCTGGGTTTTCGAAGCTTTAGAGATTTTAATCTGGCCCTTCTGGCAAAGCAAGCCTGGCGACTCCTGACCACCCCTAATGCCCTTTGGAGCCGACTCCTCAAAGGTCTCTACTTCCCTAGAGGTAACTTCCTCACAGCGAAAAAAGGAAGCAAACCACCGTGGATCTGGGCTAGCCTCTGGGAATCCAGATTAGTGGTCAATTTGGGAGCAGTGAGAGTGATTGGGTCTGGAGACGACTCATGGATTGATCAAGATCCTTGGGTCCCCTCCCTCCATAAGGCAAGCATTCAGAGTGGACCTCAAGATCATATTCGTGTCAATTCTTGGATCGATCAGGAGGGGAGGAAGTGGAATTATGATATGATCCAAGGGCAAGTGTCTTCTTCGGAAATGGACGCAATTTTGAGAATTCCCATTGGGGAAATGGATTCTAAGGACTTCTGGGCGTGGAAATTGAATGAGAATGGTGTCTTCACTGTCAAAACAGCATACCATGCGGTACACTTAGCCTCAACGGAATCCCAAACGATTGCCAATATGGAAAAGTGGAAATGGATGTGGAACCTGGATATCCCTCCAAAACTTAAGTTCTTCGTTTGGAGGTGCGCTAAGAACGGGCTTGCAACAAAAGAGAAACTCTTTCAAAGGAAATGCTCTCCTAACTCGATATGTCAAGTATGCCAATGCCCCATTGAGTCTCTCGTCCACTGCCTTTTCTTGTGTGACCATGCAAGAGAATCTTGGACCACTATCTTCCCATCCCTCCCAATTCCGGCCCAGTCTACTGCCTTCCTTGACTGGTTGTACTCTTTAAAGGATGTTATCCACGCAAGAGCCATGTCCCATGTTATCTTCCTCTGCTGGAATATTTGGAAGGCAAGAAATGAGTGTGTGTTCAAGAATCGGATCCCTTGGCATCCGAATGTGATTATGAGAACATACAAGGATCTTACTGAATGGACGACCTGTCCGAGGATGCCCCTCCTTTGCTCTCCTTCTCCTCAGCTCAGGGGAGCCCACTCGCTCACTTCTCCACCGCCAAGCAATCATAATTTTGTGATTCACTGTGATGGGTCGTTCTTAAACGACTCCCAGCCGGCGGCATATGGTGTTGTTGTCATTAACCATCATGGGCAAGTGTGTGACGGGCGAGCTGACACCCTCCTTTGTTCCACCCCGTTCGAAGCCGAAACAAAAGCTCTTTTGGAAGGTCTCAAATTAGCTCAAGAATATGGCACTGAATGTGTTGTCCAGTCTGACTGCCAGACGTTAGTGAAAGCTCTTAATCAAGATTCTAGAAGTTGGCCATGGAGAGGAGCAGCCTGGATTGGAACCATGGTTTCAATCCTGAGAGCAAATCCTCAAATCAAGGTCAAGGCGGTTGCGCGTAAATTTAATGTTAGAGCAGATTGGGTTGCGCGATCACTTGCTAGATCTTCTCTCCCAGATGACTGGATTAGTGTTCTTGATCTAATTTCTGACTTCCTTTAAAGTTTGTAACCTCTGTCTTCGTATTGGTGATGGAATAAAAGTTGAACCTTATTGTCAAAAAAAAAAGTAAGTAAGTAGAAAAATATACACCCCCAAAAAAAAAAATCAGTGTTGGAGGGAGTGTGCGTGATGTAATAAGGCAGGAAAGGAAAGGAAAGGAAAGAATCAGGATGGACAAGTTGCAGCAGCAGTCATTTGTTTGTTATCTTTTAAAGAAACTGATGCAGCAGCTGCAAGTTGGGAGAGTGTGGATCTGCTTTTGTTATTTCACTGATTCCATCATCGAGCCATCATTACACCAAAGGAGCAGCGGAAGAGAAAAAAGAGATGAATTTGTCATTTTCTTTCGTCTGTAGTCTGTACCTAGGAAATGATTCCCTTCCCCCTTTACCTCTACTCTACGGTTTTGGATATAATAGATAATTGTAACCAAATATAGGAAAAGCATCATCATCATTCATCAGCCTTCACAATCACAAAATATATGGAAATAGTTAATTTCGTTGAGACTCAATTTCGATCATACGAACAATTTTTACGAGATCATAATTACCAAACAATATTACTTTTTAAACAATCCCAAGAGTTCAAATCCTCGCATTCACGAGTACCACAAGCGGGGAGAGTCCAATTCTAAAAAAAAATAAAAAAATTGTGAACTAACAAATCACCTATAAAACAAACATGTTTTCTGAATTTGCAATGTGCGCAGGAATGGGTAGGGAGAGCAACAAGATCACACAAGAGGGTAGAAGCAACAACATACACATGAAATTTTGCATCGACTATGATCTAGCGGTTTCACTGCTAATTTTCAGTAAGGAAATCTAAACTTCGAATCTCGAACTAGATTTTCTCTTCCTACATACCCTCAAGATGCATGCATGCAAAAAAAAAAAAAACTCTTACTGGGATCTAACAATAGGCTGGAGTTTCGGAGTAGTGATATTTTGGGATAGGCAACTGTGGGCAGTAGTTGTACAAGCAAAATGTTCTTTACCGAGTTGATCTTGTCAGCAACCAAAAGATCCCAGTACTTTGAGTTGTCGAAAAAGATTTATTTTATAAACCATGTATTATTTACTAACACTCTTGTAACTCATACGAAATTTAACTTATACGGATTTGACATTTACATATATCTGAATACCATATGCGTAAGATAATTATTGGGATATTCCACCCACTATCAATCTCTTTCTTTCAAAAGCGTGCTCCACTGTCAATAGAAATTCGAACCCCATTAATTTGGAAACGCCATGCATGGTTGAAATCCAACCATAAATCCCAACGGCGGTTACAATGGCAGATTGGCAGTTGGCACAGGCGTCGTGCTCTGGCCTTCCTTTATTTCTTCCCAGCCTTTCTCTTGGCAGTTGCTAACCGTAATAACTGGAGACCGGAGAGCATGTATCTAATCTTTCCCTTTACATCCATTATTTTGCTGTATTTCCAACTTTGGAGGCAATCGTTTCAAGTTTTGCTTTTCATCGTCTCTATATTTCCTTTACGTTGCTTTTCAACAAGGAATCCGCATCCAACTGCTACGTACCTGGATTATTGAAACAAGAGCCGGATCAAACTAGGTTTGTCTTTTATAATTAAACAAGGTGGCGATGCTGCGCCTTACCACGGAGCGGAGATAGTATATGGGTATATATTATGTGGCCCCTTATAGCGTTTTGTTAGTATTATTAGTCTATAATTAATTTTCTGTTAGTAGTTGTATTAGTAATATTGACTTGAAATTGTGATATTGACTGAGAAGAGATATATGGCGGTCAAGATCCAATTTAAAATATTTTGAAAATTTTGGATAGTAAATGATATTTAGCTGAACCCAAGTAGACCCATTGATTATGATTAGTGTATGGGCGACATATATATGGATTTGGAAGTTTGTAGATGGGTTATGGTAGGGTATTGATATTTACTTATGTAATCTAAATGTGTATAAGTTGGGTATGAATACCCACTTATTCGAGAGTGTTTTAATTCCACACACACATATTAGACCTATTTGTAGAACTTCAAATGTTTAGGTACCAAAATGTAATACACAAAAAATTTAGATACTAAAATGTAATGTTTCGTCAATATTTTGAGGACTTATATGCCAAAAAGATAAATTTAGGTTATAAATCTAAAGATCTATTAAGTTTAGGTACCGAACTATAATTTGCATAGTTGACGCTTAATTCCTTTTATGGTGATGTATTTAAGATGATAATTATTTAATTTTTTATAGAAAAATGGAAACTACTTATTTGATATGTGTAGATACATAGCCCAACATTCCATCTATAATTGTTGAAAATTCTAGCCTAAGTGAAAAAAAAAAACTCTAGAGAGAAGCAAAAGGAATACAAACTGGAACTCGCTTAAAATTTCACGTCTTCAAATCTCATAGTCGAAGACGACGACTTTCTAATAAGTAATAACCAATTTTTAATTCTCTAGACTGTTGGTGAGTCGTGTATGGACCCGTTCATACTTGTAATTAGAATACATAAAAATAGTATACTAATTAGGGTTAGATGAAGAAGGCAAACAAAGAAATAAAGAAAGGGTTATGGAAGGCGAGTGAAAAATGAAATGAAGAGGAAGTAGATAATGGAAAGGTTTTGACCAATTTTTTTAATTGACCGTCAATACAACAGTCAACCCTTTTCACCGTAGAAATTTATTGACAACTGCTTATGTAGATGTAGCATATTTTGTTGCATGTAGTTAGTAGAAGTTTGTTTACTACCCCGTAAATGTACAAAATGAGTTTATAAATTCGCTCTTGCAATATTTTAGAGTCGTCTCTCTTTTATCATTTATTTAATGTTTCACGTAATAGCAAATATGAAATGGTCGAATCTTCTCCTACAGTTGAGTGATACAATATATTGTATTTTATAAACTAAATTTACACTCTTATGTTATGGTGGATTGAATTCGTGGATTGGTTCAAAAGGATTGGTGGATTGAATTCAAGTGAAATCTAAACAGTGGACCAATATGTAAATTTAAAAAATTATAGGTACCAAAATCTCATAAAATTTAGATACAAAATCATAATTGTTCAATGATTTAACATTAAATTTAAATTTGTATCAAAATGTTAAATATACATTATAATGACTAAGTTGTGATTTAATTAAATTTGGGGTATCAAAATGTTAAATATACATTATAATGACTAAGTTGTGATTTAATTAAATTTGGAGTATCAAAATGTTAAATATACATTATAATGACTAAGTTGTGATTTAATTAAATTTGAGGTATCAAAATGTAACTTTTTAGGCAACAGTAACCTTACTTTACATTTATATATATTAATAATAATATACAATTAAAAATTAATGTCATAGTACTCCATTCATCGGAAAAAATATGATTGTCTAAAGTTCGAATTCCTTTAGTAACACTCAATTAAAGTCAAACTTATATCACACTTAAAAAACTTATTCATTTCTATTTTGTATAAACAACCTTGAAGTGTTTTACATTTTCATATCACAAAAAGTTGTACAAAACTCATTATTATATGTAAGTGTATGTAAATATAATTTCACTAAGTTTATTATCTCTCTTCTTGTATTGATGTAAATGTATAATATTTGAATCTCATATTACACCTATCGGGAATTAACAAATTTTCTCCAAAATTTTAGGTGTATCATGTGACACAGCCAAAAATAAGCTGGCTCGGCGCCAATGACTAATAGCATTATAGCTGTGACAAATTACGATATCAATAACTTGTTCGTCTCAATAATTATAGGTTTAGCAACATATATTATAAACCCGAATCTTATTGTATCATTCTCTTACTCATAAGTTGCCCCCCCTCACTTTTCATAGATTAGAAAACCGGTATGAAAAAAATTCACATATACCTTGTTAAAGAAAAAGGACTGGCACAACCAAATTTCACGCCCGATTGATCTGTCTGGCTACCTGATCATATGCTACACATCTTACAGATTCTAATCACATGATTTACAATCTGTAAAAATGGAAATTAATTAATAAAATGGAGAATTGGAGATATACTATCTAATTTTGATCGAGGGATAACCCTAAGCTATAGTAATGGACCCTCATGACTTGAAATGAGACCATGCCTTGCCGGCTCCAACCCACATGGCATACACATAAATGAGCTGGTTGGGTTGGGCTCAGAGGTTATTATTATTATTATTATTATTATTATTATTATTATTATTATTATTATTATTATGAGCATTTGCATATGCTTGCTGTCAGTTCACACTCCTCCCTGTGTTCCCCTGCTTTTATAATCCGATCTTAATCATCGTCATTAGTAGTATAATATTTTCTCTTAATTGTTAGCAAAAGGGGGAAACTGTTTGGCAAAACGGGATCTGTTCCACACTCAGCAATACACAGTCGGATTATAATCTCTTTAATCCATTTCCCCCTTTTCCCCCTTCCTTCACATGGTGTTTGTATAAGCTCATAAGCAACGAATCTCTAATTAAAAGTACACCAACCAATATTTTAAACCTAACAATTCCGAGAACCAAAATGCGCCACCATATACGTTTACAACCTTTGTGGGGTTATATGGTACCCATTTCAGTACTCAATACATATTTCTTTGTTGCTAATAAGTTATATATAATGCGTAATTGAATCTCGATGACCATCATTAATTGGTAAGCTAATAGTTTTGATACTTGTGCAAATTCCAAATCCACAGTGGACGGTCCCACCTTATAGTCAGGAGGGGCTATAGCTCCCCTGAACACTCAAGATCGTGTAAATTTTGTAACAAACTTGAAAAATATATTAGTTTGTAGGACTTTAGCCCCCACTCCCCCCTTCCCGATTCAAACATCTTGAACGTAAATTATAGCCCCCCCTCGCGGTTCAAATTTATGGCTCCGCTACTGCTGCATGTCCATATGAGAAGGCTTTTGTTTAAGGGAAGCATGTTAGTATGTGGTATAAGATCCACTATTGAATTTCTCCCAGCACCTCGAGTTATCGAATCAACTAGTTCTTGACATAGTATGTGGTATAATATACAACATCTACCAACAACTCGAGTTATTGGATCAACTGAAGGTGGAGGACATGCGCGCAAGGGATGCTTGACATTCTAATGTATGTGCAAACTTCAAGCCTTTATAAGATCACTTTCGTTTTAGGGGGTGTGTTAACAAATGAGTATCTGATCTATAATTGAATCTCTTCCAATGACTCGATTTATTGATACTAGTGAGTTAGTTAAACTTGTTAGATAGGTTAATGTTAGTTAGTGAGTCGCTTCAGGATGTTAGAGAATATAAATACAAAATAATGAAAATATCATCCCTAATTTCCACCATAATGATAAAAGAAACTTGAATGCCAACCGAATGAATTAATAAATCAAAATCCAGAATTTCTGGTTTTCTTGATTTTTCAAAATTAGTTCCACCTGATGCGAAATCGATCTGAAGATCCACACATTGGACATGAGTGGGAAGCGAGGATTAGCGTCTAATTAAAGACAGCTATTTATACGTTGCCTCTCTCACTTCACAACAGACAATATCTCTAATTACATAGAAAATAAACACACAGATCCTTAACTATGTGCAAAGGCCAACGCCACAAATCGCAACATTTATAATTTTATTTTATTTATATATGCATCCTTTTCCTCACGTCACTTATATTACAAGGAAACATTTTTTTTTTTTTTTAAGGAAAAAACAACAACAAAGAAGCGGCTGTCTTTCTTACACAAACGATCTTGGAGACAATATGTTTAGTCGAAAAAATCTTATGTTTCTCACTGACAATCCACGTTTTTGGTAAGTGTCGGTAATGGATTGTCCAAAACGAAACCAACCCCCTTCCCTCCCACTGAAAATGGCCCTCCAACATACAAGCATATGTGTATGTACAAATATTATTATAAAAAAAGAGTTCAAAATTTGTGTGCTACAAATATAAATCTTTTGATCTTAATAACTCGAATTATTGGCATAAGGTTAATTATCAATATTGTGTCGTTCTTACACTGATCCCTCCCTCTCATATGGAAGTTAATTTATAATATTGAAGTTTGCACATACCAACCATATCTTGCGCTTTAATCAATTGTTGGTATTGAGAGATCGTAGAGATTGAAACACACAACCACTTGGCCAAACCAGATATGATGTCATGTTAAGAACCATCAACTCCCAATAACTCAATACCATATCATAAAATGTGAATCTTATATCGCTCTCATACATGTGTGGTGGATGAGTACTAATCTTGTGTTAAGCTCTGACATTGCTCAATTATTTGTCACCAAGGCAATACAAGTTAACGATTTTCATTAATTATATGAAGCATGAGTAACATGTATGAGTTTTTTTTTATAGTTTGGTTGAGATAGTTACAATGCAGGCATTGTCGTTAATGCATCGTTTTTTGGAATTTTTGTGCACAAACAATACAAGCATTGTTGCTTGATTTGACACAAACTATCACTCAAAATGAGCGATAGTTAAATCTCAAGTTTTGGATGAGATTGTTGAGATTGTTTGGTTGAGATTGTTGAGTTTTGTTTTTGTTCCCACTATGACCCTACTTTATTATGTGTGTTGCTTTTTTATATTAAAAACAAAGGGTAAAAATGACATTTCACTCAAAAAGTAATCCAACCTATTCAATACTATAATAATTATCACATAAACCAAACGATGTAAACTACAATACACCAATTTTCGTATACACATGTATATTATTATGTATGCATTGATAACAATGCATCAATTTAACTATCAACAAAACCAAACGACGTCATATAAAATTCCGGGTTGTTACTTATGGTATGGGGTGCCCGAATTATAGCATTACACAAGTTCGGTGAAAATTGAAAAAACATAATTGTAAGACGATGATATAAAATTTTTTGTGGGACTTTTTTATCAAAAATAACTTATTGCCACATAAGCATTTGAAGACTTCCTAAGCTGCTTAGGTGGACATGGTTTCCAAACAAAAAATTTATTTGATGATCTATTTATTGAGCTCTCTTTCTTCTTTTAATAATTTTTTAATTTTTATTTATTTATTTAACCAAAAAAAGAAAATTTGGTTTTTTTTTTGTCGCCTGTTCATGAAGACATTCTCTAAGAGTGACTTGGTGGAGAGAAACATATGTGAATCATTCAACAATTGGATATTGCGATTCAGGTCTCTCAGACCGATTGCAATGTTGGAGGGGATTCGAGTGTCTGTTATAACTCGACTTGTGAAGAACCAAAGGAAGATTGATCAATGGAAGGACATTTTCCCACCAGTGGTTCGAGGGAAACTGGAGAAGGCAAAGCATGAAGCGAGAATGTGTACTAGCCGCCCTTCCTCTGAGACAATGCATGAGGTATCTGTCGATGGCAAGGGCTTCATGGTCGACTTGAACAACCAAAAATTTACGAGCAGTTGGTGGGCACTAAATGATATACCCTGTTGTCATGCATCCATCACAAGCATGCGACGACAATCGGATCTTTATGTTGATGGTTTCTTCAAGATGGAGTTCGTCAAGTCGGCATCTCGTCAGCATCGTTACAAATATAATAAGCTGAACCTGGACCTTTGAGATAAGATGCATGATGCGAAACAATTCTTTACGAATTCTTTTGGCCAATGTCAACATGATGTTGTAAAGTCCATGCTCCTCACAAACAGATTGTAAAGACATCAACCTTATTTGAGCACCAAACATAGATTGGTTCATTTCTTTATTTAACCAAAAATCTTTTTTCTTAATCTTATAATTTATTTTTGCCTTTGCATTATATATATATATACATAGTGTAGACTAATTCCTTTTTTCGTTTGCATTATATGAAAAATCATTTTTTCTTTAATCTCATAATTCAAACTATTTTTGTTGGTGTGGTCTCCAGAACTAAAACCCAAGTCCCAACTAAAGAATATGAGAAGGGCAAAATCATTGACTAGTAACTAGTTCAAGCAATACCCTACAACCTGTACATATAGAAAGCCAAGTAAAATCATAGCCTAGCTTCAAATCGATGGCATGGTGAATATTGTTCTTATTGTTGTTGTGGTTGGAACAACGAAGAACTAATCTATAAATTAGTGCTCCCTCTTCTATGTCGTTTAGAAATTGAAATGAACAAATAATCCAACCAAGCGAGAAATTAAAGTAGTTCTTCATTGGTCGTTGCTACCAAGAAGTGAAGTGCGAAAAGAAAGAAAAAAAGAAACGAGATCTTGAGGGAAATGGCGAAGCGGGAAGAAGAGCTTCTCAAAGAAGCAATTGGCTCGATGCTGCAAGGGGACAAGGCAAGGCGACAGGTAATTGCCCACAAGTCCAATATTGAGTTGGTTGAAGGCGGGATTGAAGCGCATGAAATGGAGTTGGAAGCCGCTTTAGATAGGTGGAGATTCGGGAGGTGTATGTCAAAGAATATCTGGAGATGGCTTTGAGGCTGAGCGAGCGCTTTTACGTGGCCCCGCCGCTAGAAATTCTCATCTACAGGGGTTACATGTCGAACATTTCCTTCCACTACATCGAACAAGAAGCCCGCAAGTACCGTATGAAGATGGAGGTCGATACGTACAAGAAACCGCAGGTGAAATAGCACTCGAACGTCGACTCCATTGCTGTAGAGAGGACAGCTGGGGTAATCAAGATACTCCGATGAGGTTTGATCACTTTCGCTACATAAAGGACAGTTGATTTTTGCTCTTCTTGCGTGGTTGTCAATGTGAGTCGTTCTTTTTTCTTTTTTTGTTCCTTCACAATGCGACGTGGCTGTTGAGAACTGATTTGGGTTGGCGGTGTACGTATTTTTGTTTTGTCCTTGGCGCTGTCTCCCATGGCATTATTAGTGTTGTTAATTTGTTCGAGTATCAAGATTGTCCCGGAACATAAGTATTTTTTAGAATTTCGTTTACTTGAGAGAGCTCTTTGCTCGGAACAGAAGTATCTAAACCAGTCAGAAGAACAACTGTACATGAAAACCATAAATGTTTTTATTGTCACAAATCTGATCACTATATTGCTCACCGCAGAAAACGAATAGCCAAAGGGAACAGGGTAAAAGAATGTACACATGAATACATGCTAAACCATTTCAACCTTTGGAGAGTGTCTAAACTCGTTATTATACATATAAATTCGAGAGTGTAATCTTTGCATATCTATTTACCCAATCTTAATTAAGGCTAGTGGTGATTTATCCTTCTTCACGTCTTCATGATATGCCATTTTTGACGTATAAATATTTTATGAGATCTGGATTTGATTCCAGCATGAGATGTCACTATTCATGCACAACGATGCCCTCCATCAATTAATATTATTAATTAAGTTGCAAGATGAACTTAGAACTATGTTTCCAAATGAGGTGGCAATTAGTGGTGACAAAGACATACATGCACGTTGTTTTTAACTTGTTTGTCAATTGTCCAGAGACACATACATACATGAACTTATATATCAAATCAATGTATTTAAAGTACATATATATGAACCGTGAAAGGCAATTCCCCTTGTCACAATTGTGTTGTATAATAATTAGAGCTACTTATTATCACTCGAAGAGGCAATTCCATTTCGAGGGATGGGATGCTACAATTATTTTGGGTTGTACAACTCCTTATTATTTTTCAAAATCGAATTTGAGAAAAAAAAATATGTGATTTTAACATTTTTAAAGGACATGTCAAGATCTCTATAGTATAGGGTGACTATGAGATTTTTTTTTCTTCTTCCCTTCAATAGTTGCTCGTTATCAATCAAATTCAATTTTGTAAGAAATGAAAAGTAAGCATCAAACATAAATTGATAAATGTATCTGGCGATAATTTATACAACAAGAAATTACGGCTGGTAATTATAATTTTGTTGAGATTTTGAAGTCATTGATGTCGCAAACATAAAAAAATGGATCTTCTTAGCTTAAACCTCAAGGAGGGTTACCTATAGGTTATAGCCTATAAGGTTACTTATAAGTGTTTTAGTGTTTTATACTTTTACTAGGGTTTTCCCAATGGCTTCTTTGACTTACCTTTCCCAAGTGAAGTGGCCTCCTTCCATACACAAAATATTTCCAACCTTTATTTCTCTAAACAAGATTTTGTTTCTTGAAAAAAAAAATGTACAATTATCTTACTCTAAACCCGCAATGTCATATATCAATATAGTTAGAGACAATAAGACGAACTAATCAGATCAACGATACGAGCATATTAGGTCTCTCAACATTCTTTCCACCTTAGAAGTATTCCTCAAAATGCATGTGAAATACTAGCAAGATTTTCCAGCATAATAAAATTACCACTTTGTTCTTGGCTGGCCATGTAAAGACGTGCTCTACAAATCTATAGTGAATCTCCTAATTACTTTCTATACATTTAATACTCAAAATACAAAATCACAACCATATCCACATTCTATCCCGCGTAACCTCACTGTTTTACTACGAAAGGGTAAAAACTCAAACACGCTCAAAGAATACGTCAGCCACCGTGTAAACGCGAATCCCACTTCATAAAAAAAAAAAAAAAAAAACGAAAAAAAAAAGAAAATAGAGAAGCAAACAAGGCGTCTTCTCCCTAATTTCCTTTTCCAAGTCCAATTCGGCCCCCGAAAAATCCCTCTTACTTATCACGTGCATTTATTATACCCTTCCTCGTAATTAAAATCAATTAATTAAATTTCCCATCTAATCACATTTTTTCTAATTAACTTAATCCCAATTAACCCTCGCCCACCTCCCCGCCCCGTATATAAACCCCAATCGCCTCCTTTCTTCCGCCAAATTCAACTCTCTCTCTCTCACACACTCTGTTTTCCTTCCTTCTCAATTCTCTCTGTTTTTGCTCTCTTCCTTCTAAAAACCCACAAACATGGACTGGATCCGCGGCGACTCAATTGGTTACGGCAGCTCCTCGACGGTGGATTTAGCCATTTTCCGAGGGACCCACTTCGCCCCGCCGTCGGTAATGGCGGTGAAGTCCTGCGGCGCCGGAGATTCCGACTTGCTCAATAACGAGAAGCAAGTCCTCGACCAAATCGGAAACTCCCCGTACATAATCCGCTGCCTCGGCGACGACCGCAGCTTCGAGAAGGGGCAGAGCCTCCACAATTTGTTCCTCGAGTACGCCTCCGGCGGCAGCCTGGCCGATCACGTCAAGAAATCCGGCGGGAGATTGCCGGAATCGACGGTCAGGAGCTACACGAAGTCGATTCTAAAGGGGTTGGATCAAATCCACGGAAAAGGATTCGTTCACTGCGATGTAAAGCTCCAGAATCTGTTGGTTTTCGGTGATGGGGGAATTAAGATTGGGGATTTCGGACTGGCGAAAAAAACAGGGGAGGCGGAAGAAAAACAAGGGAGGAGGGAGAAGAAAGTGGAGATTCGTGGGACTCCTCTGTTCATGGCGCCGGAATCGGTCAACGAGAACGTTTACGAGCCGCCGTGCGATATTTGGGCTCTGGGTTGCGCCGTCGTCGAGATGCTGACGGGGAAGCCGGCGTGGAATTACAAGCCCGGGACGAACATCTTCTCCTTCTTGATGAGAATTGGGGCCGGCGACGAGTCGCCGGCGATTCCCGACGAATCGTCGGTGGAATTGAAGAATTTCCTGTCCAATTGCTTCGTGAAGGATCCCGCGGCGAGATGGACTGCCGCGATGCTTCTTGAACATCCGTTCCTTAGCGCCGACAAAATCGGAAACGGAGACGAAACGCGAAACGACGCCGTTTGCTGTTCGGGAGATGAATTTCCATCGGTGTCCCCGCGGTGCCCGTTCGATTTCCCCGAGTGGGTGTCGCCGTCGGTCCAATCGTCACCGGCCCGATCGGAATTCGAATCGAACCCATTCGATTCGTTCTCGAGCTGCTCGACCGCCTCGCCGGTGGAAAGAATCCGGCAGCTGGCCGGCGGCGAGCGGCAGGGGATGTTGAGTTGGGGGGATTCAGAGAGCTGGCTGGTAGTGAGGTGATGATGATGATTGAGACAGAGAAGAGAATTTTTTTTTTTTTAGGGAAAGCAAGTTGGGCAGATATTTAGTAATTTTTGTTTTTCTAATTTTAAATTAGGATGGTGGTGGTGAGCAATTTTTGGTTGCTGATGGGTTGGGTTTCTTCTTCTAACAATTCAATTGATTCATTTATTTAATTATTTTTCATCTCCCTTTTTCTGGGTTTTTGTGGAGGGAAAAAGGGGGGTTTGGGAAATTGTTAAAAGGTAAAGTAGGATTAGAGAGATTAGCAGGAAACAAAGCAAAGCTGACATTAGTAGTGTTTTTGACAGAAGAGAAGGTTATATGATTGGTGGCTCTTTGTGGCCTGGCTGGCTGAATGTACAGATAGATTCTCTGGTTGATTCCTTAATGGTTTCACATTATGATCAGTTATTATTATCAATAAATTTTGATTGATTTCTCCAATAAAGTTAGCAACTTTGAATCTTTGATCTTTAAATGTGTTCCCTTCTGTTGTTACTCGTCGTGTACGTTCGATGAAATTGAAACGGAGCTGATTGTTGGATAAATGTGGTGAACATTTTGTAAGTAAGATCTCCTTCGTTCGTACAAATGTCGTGGAAAATACCCGACGACTTGATCGAACGACTGTGTGGAGCTATATACGTGTCCTTACGAATGATGTGGTAATCAGTGTAGCCGAATTTGATTAGGGGTAACTTATAATCTAAGCACTGCAACAGTGAGGGATGTTAGTTTGATGAACAGTGACTTGATGAACTGGAAGAGAATGATAAAAAGGTTACTTGTGCAAGTGAGAATGGGGGGTGGATGGGAAGTTTGTTGTTTAGAAAAATGGAAAGAAATGGGAGATTGGTTGAGTGCAAGTAGAAGATGAATGTCAAAACGACCAAACCAATTGGGCACCTAAAAAGGGTTTTAGGTAGATTTGGGGGGAAGCATCTTCATAGATATTCCCGTGGCATCATCTCAACAAAAGGGTTTTAGGCTGGTGTCATTTCAACTCAGAGTTTGGTTTAGCTTCATTTGGGTTTTCTGTTTTAGCTTACTTAGAATCAAGATTCATTGCACCGTATGACGATGCAGAAACACGAAACTAACTTGTGTCGAATACGTTGTATTACCTTTTCGTGTTTCTAAGAGAACTGGATCATAACAGTGGTGTTGTTGGTTGTGTAATGGCTTCCATGTTGATCCAATAGTTGGACACACAAAACTCATGTCGCTGTGTCAATCCGAAGGCTATGAACATTCAGGGGGCAGCAATCCGGCCGATGGAGATGAAGTCGTCGGATACTCGGATGATCCCTCTCGTGATCCCAATTGTTAGATCAACATCATGACATTATTTGAAGAACCTACTCTGATCCATGTCGCTCGGATCCAACGAACAGGAGTACATGTTCACTTCATCACTCCGAGAATAAAAAATAGAAGAAACACATGAGATTTAATCCAACGATGTAGACATGTGCTAGTATTTCCCGTCGACCTAATAGAGGTACAATGTTTTGTTACTATCATAAAGGGGATGGTTTGATTGAAGGATTTTGTGTGATCTACGAGCTTATAAGTCAGTACAAAAGTGAGCATCCATATTCAAGTTAATCTTACAAGTTACACCAAAGAATACAAAAGTTCAAGATTTAGGAAATCCAGCGACTGAGTAAAGCCAAAAAAGAAAGAAACAAAGGGAAGGAATCGCTATTAGCGTGGTGGAGGAATACTGAAAAATCCAAAAACTTGGCAACAATAGGGCACAGATCGACCGGCGGCGGCGGCAGGAGAGGAGATGCTTTGGTGACCGAAGAAGACGAAGTAAGAAGCAAGCTAGGCAGCCTATCCATTTGTCGGGAATAAGCTATAAAGTTGGATGTTTATATTCATTAAATTGTTACTCCGACGTCACTCGTATTATCTAACCTACGTACTATAATCTTCACCAATTTGAATGATTTTCAACAACCCTCATAAAAAAAGATAGATCACAACCTAACAATCGCTCACTTAATACGAATAATCTCGCGATCTATTTTTCTTCGAAAGACCATCAACTAATAACCCTGTTTTCATCTTTGCCACCTCCACTAAAATATGGTGGGTGGAGAACTTGTAGCTAGGCCAGTTATTGTCTGCTCTAATCTCACCCTTGCAAATTATGTCCTCCGTCATGTAAATTAACTGCATAAACACAGAGGACCACATGATATATGCTTTACTACTGTCATTAACGTACGTAATTATAATAATTATATAACTAATCACAAGATCATTAGCACTTGATCTTCCAGATCCTACGAGCTAGATTCTTCCCCATTAAAGAAACAGAGGAAATCCCAGCCAGCCCCCAGCCCTACGGGAGAGGATTGAACGGTACAAGAAGCCATCCAATCTTTGATCAATGTGAGTAAAATATTGAAAGAATTTAATTCATTATCGTTCGAGAACCGAACCTTCTGTCTACTCGTCGTCGTCCAATCGATCTTGTTGGGGGGATTTAAGCTATTTGAGGATTGCGTTTCAGAGATCGTTACGTTCTTCGACAATTTATAGCTACAAACACATCTCGTGTGTAAAAGGTGGCCGAGTGACGAGGTTGAATTGAGACCACGAAACTGGTGGGCAGCCAACCCACGAGGTGAAAAGAGTGGGCCTTATTGGGCTTCAACCAATGTTTTTGTGTACGGACGAGCCTGCTTAACTGGACCAGGAAACCCAACCGGGCCCCTCTCAACGGAACGAAACCAACAGGAACCCGCCACGAGGACAAAAGAGAAGCTTACGCGAAGAACATTAGGCGGCCCGCGGTGGTGCTCTAAATTTGATTTAAATCTAATTTAATTAATTAAATGAATCGGACCAAATCTTTTCCCCCCTTACTTTCGATTAAGTTCAATGCACCCTTATATAAGGTTTCTAAATTCACTCTCGCCCAAACTAAAAATTGTGAGATATTAGGAAAGTTTTGTGTTGGAAGAATATCCACATTTGTTAAACCTAATTGTATTCTATCTCTTTTAACAATTCGAGTTATTAACATCAACCGATACATAACATGGTATCAAAACTTTTTTGATCTTAAGGCAGCGTCGACGAATCCATTACATAGTAGAGCACTGGGGCCACATTCGAACAGGAAGATACCAGCTGGTAATGGGTCGAACGAGGCAGAGAGGGTCGGGAAAAAAACAAGCAGATCTCGTTTTGCTATATACTACCACTGGACTCAAAAGAGGACCAGGTCGTGGCCTTAGAAGGACCCTTCCCTGAATCTGCCACGCTGTTCGTAAGGTATTAATGGTCGAGTTTTCACCGACCCATCAACAATATTAACAATTAGATGTAAACACCTGATATGTTCCATCTGAAACCAGAGGTTCTAAGTTCTAACACGTATGCCTCCTACCAGTAGTTGTCTAGTTGATGACTGATGACCCTCCTTCCATGGCGGCAAGCCCTTATTTTCTCTTCTCTTTCTTCAAACACAATAGTTTATCTAATCTAAATCTAATCGTGAAGCAATTAATAAGCAAATCAGATGGACCAATATTATCATAATCATCATATAATTAAAGATAAATATAATAATGAAGTGATTGAGGGTGCTAAGCAAGATGGCAACGTTTCGACAGTCGGTGGCTGGCTTGGCTAGGGCTAAGTTACTTTTGAGATGACCGAACTCTATAACACAGTTGGGGGTCCAGATTCGATCTGACGGTGAGAGCAATCAAAAAGCGCCCCCACCGTCCGCAATTATTGGCTGAGCCGCCGTCACTTCCTCCCGGCTTTTTCATCTAAGTGTGTGTTACGTATGAATTTGACCTTCCACTTCCTCCCGTCTTTCTTATTTTTTTAAACGTGCGTAAACGAGCGTTTCTAATTCGTATTATTAGTCCGACACGACGTAAAATGTTCTATATACTCATATTAACAGAACCGTTTACAGAAATCTAATGACTTTTATTAACGAAAAAAAAATTATGTTACATTGATTAGTGCTTAATTGTCTTCTGCCGACTGACCACCATGCCCCATATATTTGCCTTATAATCTTAATATTTTCTAATCGGTCGGTTGGGTTGCAGTGGCCGGCCCACCGCCGCCAACCCCATCCGCTAAGTTACTTCACTTCTGGCTGCCGACTGCCGACTGCCGCCTTCTTCTCATTTATTATTAGTTTTAAATTGTTTTTTCTTCCCTTTGAAGTTTTATCTAATTTTGGACTTTGGTCGGTTCCCTTAAATTGTGGATTCCGTTCGTTAGTTCCCATCATTTCCCAGCTTAGCTCCACTCCAGAATTTCCCCTTATGAACCACTCTACCGGAAAACCGACACGTACAAGTAACTCATGGTTTGGGTTGGGAACCAGCTAAGCTCGGTAAAGAACGGGGCAGGAGGGGACGGAGCAAGACAGAAGTAGTATTCATGTTTCACGTCCACGTAACTATAGGTAGAACATTACGCGCACATCCAGCGCGCGGAGACATATTGGGTAAATATTCGACGGGACGGGTTGAAATTGTCATCACCAATTATCATAGAAGTGTTGATAATTGTCTGGGTGCAGAATGAGAAGTGCAAAAGAATACATGCCCGAGAGAACCGGCTAGCTTGTCTCGAAATGATAATTCATCAGACTTATTCGTTAAGTGCCTATCCGGCTGACTGACTGATTGATTGACGATACATGGTCGTCGCACGATATTGTCAGATATGTCGAACCTCAAACGGTAAAAGAAATTGTGTCTTTCTAGTTGCCTAACCTCTATTATGTAGAGTGTAGACAGTATCACAATTCCATCTATATCATGATTCATGTCTACTCTAATAATAAAATCATTATCATCTCATCTATACATGTAAATAGCGAAATTACAATTATGGGTATCCAGCGGCGGATCTGGGGGGGTCGCCCCCGGCTACGACCCAGCCCTCCCCGGATCCATAGCTCCTATAGTACTTGTAAATTTCCGATTTTGGATATATATTTCAATATTTATAGGGTTACGGCCCAAACCCTTTCCATCGCTTTTTAAATGCGGCTCAGTGTTCTAACCTGTTTTGGATCCGCCGCTGTGGGTATCTACCAACTTCCTCAATGTCAAGGCCCAAGGGCATGCCATTTTTTGGGATCATTAACGGGCCTAAGAGACACGAGAGCACATTTCATTGGTAGGTGCACTTGTTCTTGAGAGGAACTGCCAAGTTCATCTTACGATGGTCCATCATCAGTTCACCACGCCGCAACGGATCCTATTGTCCAACTTGGGCCTCACTAGCCGGCCCAGCCCGTTCGCTCTGGACCGGACCATCAAGCCGAACGCCAGCTGCACGAGCTGAACCAGCGCGCCCTTCATGACTTTGATTAGTTCTCTGACTATGATTTGAATAATTTTTTTTTATAAAGTGATTTAAATAATTATTAGTTGTTATTGTCGAATATTAAAATTTTTTTGATGATAAATTTGAGTGTTTTTAATTTTATTGTGGATTTAAATTTTACTATGATATTATACGCGCAGTACTTAATTATAATATTCTTCTTTATAAGACACCAGTTCATTAACGAGTTTTTAACGGTCTAATACCGGTTACACCAATAAAACGTGAACCGCTTTTTTATACCATTTGATACTCCGATCCAGTTCTGACAGCATTGGAAACAAGGCCTCTCGATTCCATTGGTACTTTATCCCCTCGACCCAAACCTCTAGATGGGTTTCGAACGTAACACATAAGAACTTCTAGGTGCTGCTATTGCATGATATTCTTGAGCTGCAAACGAGTTGAGTTGGGTCGAGTTTGTCTTACTTTTTATTCGAGTAGTTAATAAACAAGTCAAATTCAATCTCGATTTGTTTACATTCATAAATCGCGTACGGACTGACTCAATGAACACACTATAGAGCCGGCTCATGGGCTCAGAATGTATCAAGCACACGAATTAAACTCAACAACCCACCAAATCGAGTGGGCTCTTGCTTACCTCAAAAGCTGTACAAAGTTTAGCCAAAAAAAAAACAATTTGTTTATGAGTTGAGCATCACATAAATTTTTTCAAATCACTCATGAACAAGTCAATCCATTTGCAACCCAGTTATTGTCGAAGACTGTTTTTACTTCTCTTCTGCAACCCAGTCATTGGCAACGACAATAGAGACCTTTCTTGAAGTTTTCTTCAATTCCCTGTCTATAAAAATCATTCTAGAAAACTGGCAGCCGTACATTAAAAAAGTGGAATTTTCCATAATCAAAGTTCCAAATTAAACCGCCATTGCATTTCCGATTCTTCTAATGTTAGTGTTTCTTCTTTAATTCAAGACGTTTCGACCTAAGTAAGATATATATTCAAACTTCCAATTCATACATGCTAGTCTTGGGTGTAGTTGTTAATTGGACTAAACAATTAATGGGTTTTACAAGTACATGTTGCATGATAAAATGCAAACGGAATATTATACAATCGAGATAAATAACATCGATTTTCAAATACACTGGACGAAATACACACCGATGAGCATGATTGTTATCACAAATTTGCTAAATAATGGGTAGCCATGTGTAATTGTAGTCAATGAAATTTGAAGCATGATAATGATTTCACATAGATGTATTTTTGTGATCTAAAAGCGTAAAATCGAATGTTTTTTTAACTTTAAGAGTATCATAAACATCGGGACAATGGCACAATGTGACTGATCATCAGATGTATGCTCTCAGCCCCTCACGAGATTGTGATTAATTTTTATTTAATTATCTCTCTAATCTCGAATCTGCTGCAGCTGTACTCTAACGCAGATATAAGCTCCTTTCTTCATGTGTCTCACTACGAGATAATGGACATGTGAATGTGATCGACCCCCCACTAAATTACTAATTAGTTTTTAATGTCACTAACATGCAATTAACAAAAAGTATGCTATTTGTTTAGTTGCAGTATCTTAATCATCTTAATTACTTACTTTCAGGAAGAGGAAAATATTAAAATTTTGATCTGACTTGATGAGTTGATATGGGCATCCTGAAAAAGCTACTGCTACCTTGTGTTATGGAGTTATGGTTTCTGTTGCTCATAACAAAAATCCACTCTCTAAGAATTTGGAGCAAGGACATTGATAAACTACTTGCAACCGAAGAAGATATCAGGAGTTATCGATTTTTATATAAAGAAAATTCAAAAGAGCACGAGCAACTGATAAGACGAACAAATGACCCCATATGTCTTTCAATCACATATTTATCCATGACGATCCGTAATAACTATTATGAAAGTAGCCTCGTGGTGGGGATCATTGTCAAATGATCCATCACAGTGAATCTCTTTTGAAGACTCCTCGACGATGAAGGAGAACGTGAAAGATTGTTTATGGGTTGATGAGTGATGAGGTAGAATCGACGTAAATTGGTTCGACAACAACGAAAAGGACTAACATTGAGATAATTCATAAGGTAACAAAACGATGTCCCAAAATAAATCATTATACACCTTCCAGATATTTTACTTGAGAAAGCCTTTTTTGATGTGAAAAAAAACATTTAGTGATGGTTTTCCTCCATATCGGTGCCCATTAGAGAAGTCAAATGTTTTTGCTGATAATTTTCTTTATAATACTTTAGGGTTTAGGCAATTACATTGATATGCTCATAATTAATGTGATTTAAGTATGCGCGTTGTGTTTCATCACAACATTTTGTAATTCTTTTCCCCGATCCAATTGGGGTTTTGTTGAACACGAGGTCCATTAAGCAACAAAGCTTTAGAACTTTCAGCCGGAAAACGGGAAAAGACTAAAAGAGAGGTAGTTTAAACTTTAAACGGTTGAAGAAGAATTGGTCTAAATTGGAAATAAAGCTTGTTTGTAATTTATCGAGTAGCTTCCTGTTCTTGATCAACAAGATTTTGACGTAATCAAGTTAAATAAACACTAAGATCTTCCTGACCTTCATTTGTCATAAATTGTTGTTGGTGTAGGCACTTTCATATGAAACCGATCAACTTGTATATGGGATGTGGTTAACCATTATATATCAGACAAATTATATCACGTATTGTCATTATATCGGTTGACCAGATTTAGAACGATAGAGGGTCAGAGTGCTAACAACCCATTTGTTAGCATGGTGCTAATAGTAGGTCCAACCAATGTGAATATTTGAATTCTACGTCCTGCGTCTATGATCACATGCCAAACTGCGAGGCATAATAAATTTAAGATACTAAAATATAATTTTTCATCAATATTTTTGGCACTTATACGAAGAAGAAAAAATTATGTACTAAATATTAAATTTTATTAAGTATAAGTAGGTTATAAGTAGTTACTACAATACTCTTAATGAACTATGTTCACAACCAATCCGTTCTCATCTAGAACCGATCAATTAAAATTGTCCGACGATTAAATCATGTCCCTAAAACTATATTTATTTTTCTTAACGTAATTAATTTATACAAATACTAAAATAACACAGAAAACACAATCCAGATTGTAAAAGTAAACATGACATTTATTTTTTTTCCATACCGTGTGAGAAGAAAATCTCAGACCATCTTCGACCAAAAAACAGAAATCTTAGGCCATCAAAACCCAAATATATATGGCTGCTGCAAACAACAATACAACAACATAGTTTGGACAACAAAACCGCATCACCGAGATCTCCGCAAACGACCAAACACGCCCTTGTAGTTTTTAAATAGTCTTTGGTTTTTTTATTTTTCCCTCTCACCCACCGCCCAACTTTTCCCTATAAACCTCTGAATCTCTGATCTTCCCCTTCCCTATATCTCTGCAATCCCCCCCGCCATTTTTAATCTCCATAGAAAAAACAAGGAAAAACCCACCGCCAATTTCTCCACAACCCCTTCCTCTCCTGAAATAAGGTCCTATGCCATTCCGGAGATGAAGGTTCATTCATCTTCCCTCTGTTCTTCCGAACCACCGCATTTCCTCCATTTGCTTGTTCAATTTCCCTCTCTCTCTCACACCATGTTAATGATTTGCAGGGATCAAATGTCGTCGCCGCCGCGGGGTTCAATCTTCCCCATCACCTCCGGATACTCTTCCTCTTCTTTTTCGCCTTCCATCTCCTCGCTACTTGCTCCGGCCTCAAGGTCCATTTTTTCCCCCCGTTCTGTTTTCCTCTGTTTTGTTCTGCAAATGGGTCATTGTGAATGAGGGTTTTTTTTTTTGTTTATGGAAACAGCTGGGGGAGACGTGTTCTTCCGATAACCAATGCGACGCCGGGTTGCGCTGCCAGACCTGCGCCGCCAATGGCAACACCCGATCCAGATGCGTCCGCATCCAGCCAGTGATACCCACCACCAAAGTAAATTACTTTCCTTCCTCTGTTTTTTTTTTCCTTCAGATGAACGCAATGTGTTCGATGGAATGTCAAGCTGAAGCGAGAGATGACTAAATTTGTTACCTTTTTTTTGTTTTTGTTTCGATGTTTGGTGATGGGTGATGGAGTTAGATGAAAGGTCTGCCGTTTAACAAGTACTCATGGCTTACCACGCACAATTCCTACGCCATGATGGGTGCGAAGTCGCTTGTGGGATCCATTCTGCTCTCTCCCAGGAACCAAGAGGATACTGTTACCAACCAATTGAATGTGAGTTTCCCGCTTTCCTCTTGTACCTTTCTTTCTTGACCATTTCTGGGTTTTGCGGAAAGAAAAAGTCCTGATTTGGGTTGTTTCACATTTGGGCGACGGTTGTTTGTATTTGTTCAACTCTTGAAAGCTCGAGCTTCCAGAATATCAAACTAGGTAACCGGGGATTAATCAACTTAAGCAATGAAGGAAATTTCTCGCGTTCTGATCTCTTTTGGGAACCACTATTGAAGTGGTTAGGACTTTGTAATGTTGCTGCGCTGATGGAAGCACAATTGATAAGATTAAGGAGCAGTTGACTTTAGAAATCATGAACACAAGTTGGTTTGAGAAGTAACAGAGGCCAATGGTCATGTGACGTTTGTCCGGGTTGGTAAAAAGTTGCAATCTTGTCTGGTGATTATTGATTCTTTCTGTTTCTTTTTTTTTTGGCAGAATGGGATTCGAGGCCTCATGCTTGATATGTACGACTTCAACAATGGCATCTGGCTGTGTCACTCTTTTGGTGGCCAATGTTACAACTACACCGCATTTGTGAGTTCAAGTAACTCTGAGTAAAAAATACCTTACCTTTTTACCATCAGATCACAGTAACAACTAACAAGCTTACCCTTTTTGCCAATTTCCCAGAGACCAGCGGTGGAAGTGCTTCAAGAAGTTGGGCAGTTTCTATCTGGACATCCATCAGAGATCGTCACCATTTTCATTGAAGACTACGTGACAACGCCACAAGGCCTCAGCAAGGTCTTCAACGAGTCCGGTTTAACGCAATACCTTTTCCCCGTATCGAGCATGCCAAAGCGCGGTGGAGATTGGCCCATAGTGGACGACATGGTCAAACAGAACCAGCGGCTCCTGGTCTTCACCTCCAAACCCGAGAAAGAGGCTGCTGAAGGCTTTGCTTATATGTGGAGATACGTTCTTGAGAGTCAATGTGAGTTGCTAATCCCATGCTGGATTCTCTGAAATTCAATCAATCAACCTACAGGAAGAAAAGATTTGATGAGTTGAGTTTGATTTGTTTTGGAATTTTGCAGATGGAGATGACGGGTTGATACCGGATACATGCAAGAACCGAGCGGAGTCACCACCATTGAACACGACTACAATGTCGTTGATTCTAGAGAACCATTTTCCAACTAATCCAAACAACTCTCGGGTCTGCATGGAAAATTCAATGCCATTGGAAGCATCTGTTAAAACCTGTGCAAGGGCGGCTGGCAACCGGTGGCCAAACTTCATCGCTGTTGATTTCTATCAGGTTAATTAACTTTCCTGGGACTGATATAGTAGAATGTTTTTCTTTTCCCCTTCTCTAATTTGGATTTATGAACAAATGCAGAGAAGTGATGGTGGAGGAACACCAGAAGCTGTAGATGAAGCCAATGGCCACCTCACTTGTGGATGTCCCAATATCGCCTTCTGCAAGGTTAGCTCATTTTGTTTATAAGACACAAGAGACACTTCCATTCCCTGTACCAAAACTGGAGTCCCATCCCAGTTTTCTTTCAGCTCAAATATGTACTTCTGTATCTTGTTACAGGTGAATGCAACATTTGGCTCATGCGACATCCCACCACTAGCCCCACCTCCACCTGCAAGTGGAGGAGAGCAGTCACTTTTTGGTCCTCCTCTCTCCGACAGTGCTTATTCTCAAAGAGGCCAACTCCAACTGCATTGGCTGTTTGGGGCAATTTTGATCACCAAGCTTCTCTTGTTACAGTTCTAACCTCCACTACTGCTGCCTGCTGCTGTTGATTACACCTTTTCTTTAACCCATTCTGTAAATAGAGAGAAGACAGTGGCGGAAAAGTACTTAATTTACATACTGATACGATAGAAAGGCTTGAGTTTCTGAGATCTGAGTTCCCTTTTAGAGGGTTTGTTTTTACAAAAAGCAGTCGGTGGGTGGTGTTTTCAGTGGAAGTGTGGGACATTACAGAACCATGCTGTTCTTTCATTATTACGATTTATTTGTGTTGATGCATGGCCTTCTCCAGGTGATTGAGACAGCCTTTTGGGAATTGCCAGTTGTGACCATAAATAAAAGCTACTGCTACCTTTTGATTTGTACTTGTGAGCTTTTTCGCTGGTCCAATTTTGTGACTTTTTGGCTCCAAGACTTGGTGGGAAGGAGAGATTGAACAAGGAGTATTGGGACCATTGTTCTTCTGGAAAAGAAGAAAAGGGCTCACTTCCTTGCCAGCCTTTTGTTTGTTACTGGAAACATAAGACCACTTTATCTGGCCCAGGCTTCTTTTACCTTGCACTCCAACTCTTGTTCTACTGCAAAAAAAAAAAAACCAGACGCAGTCACCTGGAAATGGCACATTTGGAAGTGAAATTGTATTTCTTTCTTCCTTTGATTGGAGATGTATGAATGTGGAATCTTGTGGTACAGCTTTAGAAGTAGGAAAAACTGAAGGCATGAATTATGGGGAAAGAGAATGCAAATTGATAAAGCGTTCGACTGAGTTTCTGTACATAGGGATGAATAATGAATTACTGGTTGCCCCCGGCCCAAGCAAGTTGCTGTAAGCTCAACTGGAAATCTCCTCCCGGTAGGGTCTTTCTTTCCACTGGATAGATAGCTGTCATCTTGCCTCTATAGCTCCCACCGCACTTTCAGGCCCACTTTTGCGACTACTCCCAGCACCACCACCTGATTCTGTCACCTGCTTGTCTAGCAGCCCGTCTTTCGCCCTGCATGATCGTTGGTTTGTCGGGTCCTTTCCAGCTCGACGATCCTGACAAAAATCACAGCAAACCCTGAATCCATTAGAGAATGTAGAACCTTGGCAGTTGTGAGAAAAGCAAGTTCTGATATTTTACGGGTTTGAACAGTTCATTTGAAGGTTGTGGAGGTTCAGAAACACATACTTCTCTAAAGGAGTCATCAGCCTCTAGCATATGTACAATGTGTCCCATTTTGGGCCGTTTCTGCGAGTTGGGATCAACGCAGCGTAGAGCTACCAGAAGAGCTCGCTTCAACGCCCTTGAACACGGCTTCTCCTGTAGCTTGGGATCCAACACCCCTTCTGCATTTCTGCTCGTAACCATCTTCTTGATCCAATCAACTAGGTTCACCTGTCAAAAACAAAACAAAAAGTAACCACATATCATTTTCTTCTCCATCAACTCAAAATGAATTACGATACAGCTCCGTGTTGGGTGTGCATTTCTCGATCCATCCGATGGCCTGCACAAATGCTGCCCCATAGCTGGGTTGAACAAAAGTGGGGGGTGGGGTGGGGTGGGGGCAGGGAGAATCATTTTGAACAAACCTCTTCAGGAGGCCTGGCGTAATCGACTGGGTTCCTCCCACTTATAATCTCCATGACAAGAATCCCAAAGCTGTAAACGTCGCTGCTCTCGTTCAACATCCCTGTGCTTGCGTATTCTGGTGCTACGTACCCGAACGTTCCCATTACCCTTGTGGTAATGTAGCTCCTCTCCGAGTTTAGGAGCTTAGCCAGGCCGAAGTCCGAGACCTTGGCATTCCACTGCTGGTCGAGCAAAATGTTGCTCGATTTCACGTCCCGATGGACCACTTTCGGTTCTAAACCCTCGTGAAGGTAAGCTAACCTGGTTCAGAAACATTCATTGATTCACCACGGTTACGCAGTTTCAGATTGTTATCGGATTTTCAATTTCATTAGCAGGGTTTTGTATGAAGGAAAGTATAAGCTATGTTTACCCTTTGGCAGCTCCCAGAATAACATTCATTCTGATCTCCCATGTAAGAGGGCTGCTAGGTCCTACTTCTCCATGGAGCCACTGCTCCAAATTCCCATTGTTCACATACTCATAAACTAACATCCTGCATAAATTTTGAATGAAACGAACTGCTGAATTCTATCTCTTCAATCAAATTGCAGCAGCAGGACAAGAACGAAATGCCAAGAAATCTCAAAGGAAAAAAAGAATCCAAAACTGTACCTTTGAGCTCCTTCAGCGCAATAGCCAAGCAGCCTTACTAAATTCTTATGCCGAACCCTTCCAATGGCTTCCACTTCTACCTTGAATTCCCTTTCAGCTTGTCCCCTGCAGTAATATGCAAAATGAGCCCCAAAATTGACACCCAGAATTCAGATAGAACTGTTCAATGACCGATTGATGAACCGCATTACCTGTTATTAAGCAAGTTTTTGACGGCGACCTGGGTCCGATCCTGCAAAACACCGTGGTAAACGATGCCGTATCCGCCCTCGCCGACGACGTTCCCGTCGGCGAAACAGTCCGTAGCTTCCTCCAGCTCACGCAGAGTGTACCAGTGTCCCCAGCCCAAATGTGACACATCGGGAATCACCGTCGCCGAACCCCCACGGCCGTGGCTACTTCCTCCGCCGCCGCCGCCGCTGCTCCCGCTTCCGCCGCGAGGAAGGAGGCCTCCTTCGCCGGACGACCCACCGGGGTACAGAATCTTGTTGTGCCCCCTCCCAATTTCCACCTGAACCCCGCCGCCGTGGTGGTAGTACGACCCGTTACTGCATCCTCCGCCGCGAATCGCGTCGCCGGAGGACGAATTGGGCACGAGGAGGGACAGCCTCTCGTTGCCGACGGGACCCGCGTCGGCCTGGTTGGCGGCGGCGGCATTGGTCTTGACGGGGTCGATTCTGATCTCCTGGATCTCCTTCGATACGGCCGGGATCGCGTGGCGGCTACCGCCGGCTGCGTCGACGGCGGCGGCGTTGGCCCGGGATTTGGAGGATCGCTTGGAGGCGAGCCAGAGTGTGATTAGGAAGAGGAGTATCACGAAGGAAGCTCCGGCGCATACGCCGACGATTACCCATAGTTTCAATCCGAAAATTGAGGTGGGTTTTGATAATTGGTCCGTCATCAGTACCGTTCACCGCCAAAACCCCCCTCCCCCCGTCGAGAATTCTTCTCTATTTATTCCCCTTTCCTCTGATCGGGAAAATGGGTTTTCAACTCCGGCGAGGGGGTTTGTTTCAGGAAATTAAAGGGGAACACAGAGCATTGAATTGGAATGTGGATGCGGCTCGATTGGGGCGGTGCTGTTCATGGCGGTGGACAGAGTGATTCAGTTTGCAGAGAGTGACAGAGAAGAGAGAGAGAGAGAGATTGAACAGAGCTGGATTTTAGGGGGTAGTTATTTTACGCGCGGGGTAATAACGATAGGAATGGAGGAGAGAATACTGGCACGTGTTCGTCACGTGGCCTAATTGATTGTCAAAACTTTTGTTTTATTCTCATCGGACCACCATGGAGCGGCGGCGGAGGAGACGGTGGTGAAAGGGAATTGCAAAAGTTCGTGAGGTTTGGTGGTGGTCGGAGGAGCTTTCCGGTCGGGGTTTCTTAACAACTTTATATTGAGGGAAAAATTGTGCCGGCCACCGGCCACTAATTTGGGTTGTATTTTGATTGAACTGTTTTTCGGTTGATTTGTTGGGAATTTTATGAAAAAAGAAGGGTTGCTTTCACTTTGATGGAGAATTCACTTAGTATAAGAAACACGTGTAATTAGGATTAAGTAGTCTGATTTTTTTGGTTAGATTCATGTTGAAGTTCCCTTACCAAGACATTAACACCCCCTCCTTGAATAGGGTAGTACTAGGTTTCTCAATAATAACAAGAGCAAGAGTTTCTCTAATGTTTCAATCTTTGATGGGTTTTGTTGTGATACAATTGATTCCATGTAGTTAGGCGAAGTTTTTGTCGAATTTGTTGTTGACTTACTATCCATGTTAATGATTATCCTCAAACGGTAAAATATTAAGTGAAATGAGTTGCATATGTGGCTACTAAGCGCAGTACAATCGACTGTTTAATAAACAGTATTGTATTCGCCAGTCCGACTGAAAAAAAATTGTCCATCAAAACTCCGATAGGTATAATTTTTTTACCGATGTGAAACAGTTAAATCACGATTAAACCATAAAACACCCTATCACACACTTATTAGTACAACTTTGGATTGATCCATAGTATTTCATATTCAATTGGATGGTAGGTATAGTTTCTTGACCAAAATTTTGTAAGAAGTATGTGAATTGTAAAACTACCTCATCAACGAGGTTAGGTTTTCTGTTGGATTCAATAGAGTAATTGGACAAAAAAACAATTGGACATTTCTAGCACAGGTTTGGTACAGGTTTTGGTTGTTTTTTGCTCTCTGAAAAAAATATGAGTATTTTAGTCATAAGAAAGAACAGAATACATGATTATATTTGGCTTGAATAGATGTCTTTCTTCTTCCCCTCCATCCCTAATGGTTGGTGGTTTGGTTGGTTTTGGTCCAAAGATTCTTCCTGTTTTTGTGGGTATTATTAGTGTCTTTACCATACTTTCTGATTGATTAATGATACGGTCAATGTTTTCTTTTTCATTTGTTTTGGGAAAGTTCTTTCTGTCCATGATTAGTCATGGTTCGGAATGTTTAACCACTACATATGTTTGTGAAATCATACTAGAAGTTGTATCGAAAAAGTTAGTGGTAGGGTATCACTATTTTTGTACTGAAATCGTGGTTGAACAGTTATCCAACCGCTTTGTACCGCTACCACCGCCTACCGTTTAGAGTTCAGTATCCCGTATTTCCGATTGGACCGATCGGTATGGTAGGGTTTCTTAAACCATGATCATATGTGCAGCATGGTACAAGGCAGATGGCTGGCAGAGTTGTAAATCTGGGCCTAATAATCTGATGAACAGTATATACTTAATGAGTTTTGTTTTATAGACTATAAACCAATCAAATGCTCCGACATGATATCAAATCTTAATCTTCGATGAGTGAACCACAATCGCCAATTTTCTAAACTCAAATCATAAAATTAATTAATAAAAAAAATAACAAGAGAGAACGTATATTATACGTCAATCATACGGTAAGACTTCGCAATATTATTAACGTTTTTTTTTTATATTTTTTGCATTTTTAGAACAATTAGTGGCTCACTAATTATTGCATAGTATTGAGTTTTCTTTTTACTTCTCTGTGTTAATCATGTTAATGTTGTTATTATTATTATTATTATTATTATTATTATTATTATTATTATTATTATTATTATTATTATTATTATTATTATTATTCCTTCCCCCTCCTACCGACAGAAGGGAATCCAATCATACACACCATCGCAGGCCAGAAGACACAGACAAAGGCGCGGCTGGCCGGGCGAGTGGCCACTACAGGGACAAAGCCCCTTTTCTAACAATAAATGCATTTGTAGGAATTTCAACCTAACCCAAAATGTTCATTTAACTAATATGATTCTACACAATCCAAAGTAGATATGCCGGGTTCTAACCGTAATTATTTGGTTTGAATTAGAAGATGATGAGATCAAAATCAGTCGGCGATTGGGCTTGAAAAAGCGAATATGATTTTGTGGGTTCGAGGCTATGGGTCAGGAATGAAGTTGCTCTGACTGAAAGGAGAGGAAGGGAATATGTGAGTGTTCGAGTGGTTAGGGGCGAAGTTGTTTCCTTTGTTGAGTGTGGCGTTTTTGCCTATATTGGATGGTTAACAACCTTTACCGGTTATTAATCAAGTAACCCCCAACCGCCGATTAATTAACAGTGTATAGATTGATAATCCAATAAGAGATTTTCACCTTCCGTTAACACAACCCACATGCTTCTTGATGGTTCGTGGTTAAATATTAAAAGCCGGCTAGCGATTAAACCGTGAACGACGTAACCATTTATTACACCTAGTTACTACAATTTCCCCCCCTTTTGAGGTAAAGTGGTACTTTGGTGAGGGCAAACTGGTTGTCACACCAACTTCCTAACGTTCAAGTCAACCTGATACGATCGGTATATGTCACCAAACCGGTTAGAAAGGGGGTCAGTATTCAGTATTGGTTAAATCCGATCAATACCAAGAATAACGACCTGTTAGACCCTAAACTAAATTTCAGTATTTTTCACACACGTCATTAAAAAATAAACCAGCTATGAAGGGGTTGATATTCATTATTGGTATCCAGTCAATACCAGGAATACCAATTGGTTAAACCAGCGAGATTTGAACCAACTACTTCATGCTCAAAAGTTTCAAATATACACCAAGAGGTTACAACGACCTTTGTTATATATATATATTAACCTTATATATATATTATGTAACCAATGCTATTAAAATTCATTTTATATACTTTTATTTTTATGTATATGATTGTTTGCTATTAATTATCTAATGCTAACTATAAATTATTTTGCGTTAATTGACTCTTTTAATTACTTTTTCCTAATTAATTTATTTGGTATTGATTATTTCCATTTTTCTCATGTACTATATTGAAATCGTTACAAGTTACAATCAGTCATACCGTTCCACTTGACAAATCCACATAACGAAATCCGGTTTGACAACATTGGGCTTGCGAATCCAAGTGAAAGGCGGGTCTTCAATCCAACTGAATTGATTGACCCATAACTTATTGGGCCCATAAATTGTGTAATTAGAGCCCGCTAAGAGCACATGCCGCTATTCTTCAACTGAGCTGGCACGCAAATTGCGGGCTACTTTACTTGCATCATACATCGGATTGGCGCCAACCTGCTCTCAATTTTCCCGCCATCTAGTTGAAAAAACCCTTGGTGAAATCATTTCCCCTCCTTTCCTCACGCCTCTCATTCACTGCAAAACCCTAGTCGCCCGTTCTCCAGTAATTCAGGCGAGCAGTCTCCAAGAAGCGAAATGAGCGACGAGGAGCAGACAGTAGTGGCCAGCAGGCGGAGTAGCAGGGTATCTGGGGCGGCGGCGACAGCGAGGGCGGAAGCGTTAGAGCGCCTCAAACTCCTCCGCAGCGGTGGCCGTAGATCTGAAATTGGAATAGGATACGACATCAAGAATGAGAATCCGATCTACGACACCGTCCCCGAGGAGGAGTACGCCAAGCTCGTCGCTCGCCGGAAAGAAGAAGCCCAAGGATTCATAGTCGACGACGATGGGCAAGGGTACGGCGACGAGGGCGAGGAGGAGGATTGGTCCAAGCCTGGTCTCCCTACTTCTTCCGACGAGTCCGACGGCGGAGGGGACAACAGGAATAGGTCGAAGAGGAAGAAACCAGAGAAGAAGAAGGAGAAAGAACCTCCGCAGAAGAAGGCCCACGCTTCTCTAACAGCCGCTGCGGCGATGATGGGGAAGCAGAAATTGTCGGCTATGTTCACCTCGACGGTGTTCAGGAATCGGGATTCTGGTAATGTCAAGACTTTTGACTGCGATAGCATTGTTGATGATGTGATTGCGGAATTTGCACCAGATGAAGCTGATAGAGAAAAGCGAAGAAGGGGCCATCCAGTGGCGAGCGGTGTGTTGCCAGTTAAAATTAATACTTCTGTGGTCAGTAATGGAAATCAAGTGGTGGATAACTCAGATAAGGTCGCCTTGCGTAGTGCCGATCCTGTTGTTAGTTATGTTGAAAATGATTGCGGGGGTGATGAGAAAGAGATCCTGGTTATTGATGCAAAAGAGGAGGAGGAGGAGAAAGGAGTGGAGAATGTTAGTGAGGTAAAGTTGGAACCAGTGGTAAAGGAAGATGCAAGGCAAACTCTGAATGCCAAGATTGGTACTGAAGAAAGAGATCCAAGTTTAAGTGCCACAGCTGGATGGGAAGAAGTGAAAAGAAGTGGTGGGAGTGTTGTAATTAGTGGTGTTAAAGAGGAGAATAAGATGGGTTCACGGAGTGAAGAGCAACCAGAGTTTGAGGTTGATGCCAATGGATCTTTACCGTTTTACATACTTGATGCTTATGAAGAGGTGTTTGGAAACAATCGTGGTAGCCTTTATCTCTTCGGAAAGGTTAGACATTTTTAATTTGTTGGTTTTATTTTGAAGCAACTACTTTTAGCATTTTGGTTTGACGAGCCTTGTTTTGTGGAAATACTGAAATTCAGGTGAAAGCAGGGAATGCATATCATAGTTGTTGTGTGGTAGTAAAGCACACGCAGAGATGTGTTTATGCAATTCCAAACAGTTCTATATTTCAAACTGATGAGATGCTGAGGCTTGAGAAAGATGTTGAAGAATCACGGATTCCTCTTGCAGATTTCCGTAGAAAGCTTCAAGTAAGCATCTGCTGTGAAAGAATACAGATTGATAGATGAGATCACTCAGAGATAATATATAATCTTCGTTTCCTCACTTTTTATTGCCTTTGCTATAATCTTATTCTCAAGGATGTGGCATGTGGACTGAAGAATGAAGTAGCAGACCAATTACTAAAGCTCAATGTATCAAGTTTTAGCATGAAACCTGTCAAGGTTTGGAAAATATGATTGATACTTAATACTGGCGAAATTGTGTACTTCACACTTCCTTTTGCAGCTCCGTAGTGCACAACTCCTGTTTATTGTGTGTGTGTTTATTTAACTTCTTTCTGTTGGCAGAGAAAGTATTCGTTTGAGCGTCATGATGTTCCTGTCGGGGAGAATTACGTACTTAAGATTAGTTACCCATTCAAGGTATGCAGCTGTATAGCTGATTGGTCCTGGCACTTGTGAATTTCGTTTAAACCCTGAAAATACAGCTCTTCAACTTGTTTGGACCGTAGTTATATCATACTTTGCTAGACATTGTTTGTGAAAGATGCTGAATTTGGCTCCATTGTTTCAGGATTCATCACTTCCTGCAGGTCTAAGAGGAGAAACATTTTGCACTTTGCTTGGGACCGATAGCAGGTGTGTTTGGAGCTCATTTCGCTGCTGTTCGACACAGAGATTGCTTTTTATATAGCATTTGTCCATATCTGCCATTCATTGAGGTTTTGATAGTTGATATTATAGCACAGTCCCTTCAAAGTCGATATTTGACATGCATCTCATTGTAATGCATTCTGGAGATTCATGTTGGCTTTGAACTTGCTTTGTTTGTCCTGGCCTTTGAAACTTTCTATGCTGAAGAACCCAAATACCCACTCTCTCTCTTCAGTTTGAAGAAAAGAAACAACAAAAAATCTCAAAACCTTTTTGATTTCTTGTTATTGGAAAGAAACTAGTAACAATGGTGTTACATGTGCAGTGCCTTGGAGCTTTTTCTTGTGAAAAGAAAGATAAAGGGACCGTCATGGTTACTGATTTCAAAGTTCGCTACTTGTCAGTCTTCTCAGAAGGTAAGATTTCAATCTTTCTCAAACTGTCTATTGTGCTGTAAAATGATTTTATGTATTAACTTCTATTGCGATGATGATCAACAGGTGAGTTGGTGCAAGTATGAGATTGTTGTTGACTCCCCAAGAGACATCCAGGCTGCATCTTCGTCGAAAATTACTTCAGAAATTCCTCCTGTGGTTGTTACAGCAATAAGTTTGAAAACTATCTTCAATGAGAAGCATAATGCAAACGAGATAGTCTCTGCATCTGTCATCTGCTGTCACAAGGCAAAGGTGTGTTTATAAGCCGTTAAGCTCTACTGCTGTTAATTTCAATTCTTCTTCTGTGTTACTGTATGTGTTCATGCTTTCTGCTTGTTCTGGTTGGATTATGAAATTTACATCCTTGCTGCATTACTTTCCGAGATAACATTAGTCTTGATCAATGAAGATGGATACATTGATTAGACTGGGCTGCTTATGGTTTTGCCTCCCTATGATTAGTGAATGGAAGGATTAGTTATCCGTGATGTTAGGCATAAGTGTCCACAGTTTGACTGACAAATAAAGACTACGATCTCTCTCTCTCTATGAAAGAAAGGTTGCTTCCATCTTGTCATAAAATGATTTTTGAAAGGAGTTGCAGTTTCGGTGATCTCGTTTGAAGATCAATGAAGATGGATACATTGATTAGACTGGGCTGCTTATGGTTTTGCCTCCCTATGATTAGTGAATGGAAGGATTAGTTATCCGTGATGTTAGGCATAAGTGTCCACAGTTTGACTGACAAATAAAGACTACGATCTCTCTCTCTCTCTATGAAAGAAAGGTTGCTTCCATCTTGTCATAAAATGATTTTTGAAAGGAGTTGCAGTTTCTGTGATCTCGTTTGACTATCATGCCCTTATATTTAATGGGATCAATCCACTTTTATCGTGAATAGTTCTAGAGATTACATGCAATAGGTTGTTGATTAATTACCATGTGCGTGCTTGAGCCTATGATATCTTATAGCTGGAGTTGTAAGTTATGTTGCTAGTTTCTCGACTTTGGATTGAGCTGAAACTATGTCACTTATCTGTTCATGCTTTCAGATTGATACCCCAATGTTGGCTTCAGAATGGAAGAAACCTGGATTGCTCAGTCATTTTACTGTGGTTCGCAAGCTTGATGGAGGTATATTTCCACTGGGGTTCTCAAAGGTGCTGGCTGACAGGAACACGAAAGCTGGGCCTGGGTCAACCGTCTTATCTATGGAAAGCAGGTAAGGTGAACCCTTGCATACGATGGTTCTACTTCTATAATTGGAAATGACTTATGTTGTTCCCAGTTTTAAGTAAATTTGACAATGCATTGCAGTGAAAGAGCTTTGTTGAATTGCCTGATGACGGAATTGCATAAATTGGATACTGATGTTCTTGTCGGACATAACATATCCGGGTTTGACCTGGACGTTCTTCTCAACAGAGCACAGGTGCCTTCTGACCCTTCTATTGTAAATAAGCTTTTAGTCGGAGTTATGTTGACAATCAGTTATGGATTGTTTTCCATTTTCTCGTGTTAGAGTGAAATTCTACTCTTGTATACATATTATAGGATGTTGGTGGTATATAAATTAGGTCGACCAGATTCCACGGAGTTTCGGTAGGTAGGTATTGTATACATAACATCTTGTTGGCGTCAAATATTTGAACCAGAAATGTTGATGAACATAATTGGTTCACTATGCAAGGTCATCTGCAATTAGAAGGTTGTATCGTTGGGTCATTCAGTCTCATCTTTAATTTTTTTCTATCTCATTTGTTTCTTTTTACGTGAGTATGCAATGCAGTACCTTAAAATCAATAGGGACATCCATGGTTTTTATAGAGATAGAGTTCATATTCACATTTTATTTCCAATATATAATGGAATTTCATTGTGCTTAATGTACCCTTTATCAATCTATGTATAGGCTTGCCGAGTTTCAAGCAGCATGTGGTCCAAACTAGGCCGTCTGAAGCGTTCTGTGATGCCCAAGCTTTT